TGTGAATTGGAAAGTAACACCTCAATTAAGGTTCAGTTCCTAAGAAGCCTCATTGTACTTCCTGGATTGGATTCTCTGAGACAGACCCGAATTCTTAAAACAAATGTCATTTTCTTAAGCTAACTTGAGAGGATTTTGATTTGTTTATTGATTTTCAAGTAAAAAAGCTGGCACTAAGTACCCAGTGCTCTAAATATATTACCCATACAAGGGGTGTTGCTTTCTTCCTTTAGGACATGAATAAACTGAGGCATAAGCATTACATAACTTGCCAATCCTAATATAATGACATATTTACAATTAGAGGCAGAGCCAGGATCTGAACTGTGGCCATCAGAATCTGCAGTTCAGACTTTCTCCACCAATCATGCTGTCAAGTTTATGCTAATTGACACAGATTCAAAATACCAATATAAAAGGATATGAGGTTTAAGTGAATCCTGTAATCTATTTTTAATATCACTGCAAACATACAAGAACAAAAGCTTATGAAATCATTCTCAAATGTTTAATTAAAATCCATATAGCATTTAACATGTATAGATGTTTAAACTCTTTCAGTGACTTATATTTTAAAATCCTTTTACACATTTTGAGGCTAACTTCATGCCAAAAATCTACAAATGTACAGTTTAACACAAAAATACATTTGGAGTCCATTCCAATGCAAGTTGAAAACACTTTAATTGCAGACAATGTATAGATATTTAAAAAAGAAAAGCTACAAAATGAGCACATAAAAGTCTTCCCTTTTGAATTTTTAATAAAATACTGCTCTGTATAAGATCTAATGAAAAATTCCAGTTACTTATAAAATACTTAGGTGAGGAAAAAAAAGAATTAAGATCTATATGTATGAATTATACTTACATTGTTTAAATGAAAAAAATGTTGAACATGTTCATGATACAGTACACTATCTATTACTCATATATCAAAATAGATGCAAACACTCAAAGAAGCAATTGGATGCAGGCAAAAGAAAATATAAGACTTAAGGCCAAAAAAAGCCCCTAAGTTCCAAAACAAACAAAAAATTCACTCCTATTACTTCATGAGAAAACAGTATGAAGATTTGGCTCCAATTACTAAAACATCTACAGGCATTTAATTATTTGGCCTGGGCAATTTACTAGTACATCAACTGCTGAAATAACAGCAATAGGTGTATTGTTGGAAAAAAATTAAATTTTATAGGTTTAAATATGTAAAACTTTATCTACTGGAAACCAGAGTCTCCATCACGAATTGCACTTGAGATGGCTGAATGCATTGATTGAGCAAGGCATTATTGTTGGTTCACTGAAACACACAAAGAAACACAAAAGCAGCTATGGATTTCTGATATTCTTAACTATGAAGACTACTGTCTGTGTTTTCCTCTCTCTAAAAGACACATCAGTGGTGTTGGAGATAAGTCAGTGAAACTCCAGCCTGTCCTCGTTCTGATCGTCATGGTCTCTTACTGCTCCCTGGCGGAAGATGGAACAATCTGAGGGAAATATGAGCCAGCTCTGTCTGAAACATATTCATTTCTAGAATTTTTAAGCATTATCCTAACTAGGAAAGGAAGCTCCTGCAAAAAAGACTGCTTCACTGACAAAGCTTATAAAGTGTACAGAAAGAACACTGCCAGTTTAAGTTCTGTCACTCTCTAGAAAAATGATAAGGGGACTTCTGTGATTCAGTTTTTTTTCAGAGGTAGAGAATGTCTGTCATTTCTCTCCAATAAATGAATTCCCCTCCCCAGTAAAAATGCAATTTGGAAGCAAGATGGTACTAAGAAATATAGCAAGCTCAAAAAGCTGGGAAATTGTACATAGTGGCTTTAAAAAAAGAGGCTCTGGACAATGAGATGAAGTATATTAGAATGAACTTTAGTGGAGAGGGGGACAATTCTAGCTATCTTAAACTAGACAATCACTATGATAATGTATGATTTACTAATACAAACAGAACAGATGATTTGAAAGTGAGTAAACAAATCACTGCAGTTCATCTATGTCCTTGAGCTAGGAAGAGTATAGTCTGAAAATGCAGGGAGGGACAGGTCTTATTTAACTGGTCTCCTTCCAACTGCCTCCCTATCTGTCCCTCCTCCCAAATCCAGATTAGTTTGAAAAATATCAGTTTAAAACAAAATCAAGTACCTGATCATGAAAAAGGAAATAAACAACAAAACCTGCATCAAGAGTTCTTCATCTCTCCCACCAATAGGAAAAAAAAGATCAAACTTTTGTTTTTCAGTTCTAAAAGAACTATTTATCCCTCTGAACAGCAAGGAAAGTCTTAAATTGAAACCAAAGTACATATAGAGTTGAAATTAATTTTTCAGGCAACTGAGTCTCTGACGTTTACAAATGAACCTGCATGATGTTTAAATCAATTAATACAGTCTATCTGTAAAATTATAAGACTCAGGTAATGTATTGGAAATGGTGAAAAGGACTGAAAGGACCAAACTTCACAATTCACTTAATCTGCTCAAAAAAAAAAAAAAAAAAGAGAAAACTTTATTGAACAAGGTTATCTAGAAATAATGTTTTAGTAAGGAGAGGAAAGTTTAAATAGATTTAACTGCTCTTGTGATGTGGAAACATGAAGCATTTTGGGGAACCTGCCCTTCTGTGCCTTATACAGTCCAGGGTTTCCAAAGTCTACAACAGATTCAACAGTTGAATAAGCATATTTATAAATTTTGGGGTAGTCTGAGTCTGTGCCATCCACAAAAGGAAAATTGTTAAGTTTCCCAAATCTTTCAGTGGATCTAGACTCCTCAAGACTGTCATGAGATACAGTTTCTGCTTCTTACATCCTCTCCAGAGAGGGCGCATCTATTGCTCTCAAGCCCATCTCTGGAATAGGTGTACAAGGCGAAGAAAATATAGATGAATGCAAGATACCATCTAGTCATTATGGATTTCTCTCCCATTTTAATCTCTCTTTAGTCTTGAGTTGCTTTAGGAGAAGAATGAAAAGAAAATACTTTTATTGACTATCCATCTAGAATTGTCAGTTTGCTTTGTTTGAATATTGAGAAAACCTCCTTATATAGGTTCAGTGGTACTATGCTTATCAAAGTTTCTCTTAAAGTTTTTGGAAGATGGCATGTGCTCCTTGTTCGGTGCTTTAATAAAGATGTGGGCTGTACACTGTTTATATAGGATGGTCACAGAGGAATGATGAGTGAGGCAATTCTTGAATGCTGGAGTTTGTACAGTTACATAAGATGGAAAATATTATACACTTTGAAGTAGTAGAGGTTAACATAATCTTATTGTCACAATTCAACTTTTTTGTATTTCCATAAAAGACATTTCCTTAAAAAAAAAAAAACCTTTGTGAGGCAAAAAGGACAAACTCTGAGAATTACTTGAGCCTCATTACTTCAGATCCTCCTACAGAGAAACATGTATTCCCAAAAACAAAATGTTGGGAACCAATGAACATCTAAATCTAGGAAAATTAATAGAAAACAAAATCACAGAAACTCACAAGATTATCATAAATGACAAATAATGAACACTTATACTAAAGGCACTACTAATATACAAATATCCTAATAACACTTAGAGAAACTCTAACATTTAGCAGTTAGAAATCCATTTAACTCAATACTAGCATTTTAAAAAACAAATAGACTAAGACTCATGGCAGAGTTTTCAATGAGCCAGATGAAACTAGATATAATAGTAATCAGCTCCATACAAAGATTGTGGTTCCTACTTTTAAAATACTTTTTAAAAAGTATGATAACTTACTTCCTTAAAAATATAAGCATATCACAAAACTAAAGCATAAATATATATATATATATATATATGTATGTATATAAATCCAGGCCCTGGTACCACTGAGAAATTTTCATAAACTCTGATATAATTTCAACAGCCACAGACTGAATAACACACACCCACACATGACATGTACAGATAAAATGCCAGAGTCACTGCACAGTTCAGCATAAAGCTAAAAGTATCGAAAGAGAATGAGGACAGGCATTTGTCATGTAAATAATGCATATTATATACTAATTGTGCCTGTGCAAACCTTGGAATTTTTAAAAATTTAGAATTTCATCATCCCAGGAAACACTACACACGGACCAACAACGGAGCTGTCATGTATGCTTAAGTGAGCAAGTAAAAAGCTAAACAAAAGGATAAAATACTTTAATTAGTGACATGATTAATATTTTGTACTTCTATCAGAAGATTAATTTGTAATCATTATACCCTGTAGATTTTGAAACTTAATTTTTTATTAGAGGTTAACTAATGCTGGTTCTTGAATAATCTAAAAAATTGTAATTATTTCCTCAAATCTAGATCGCTATGTATAGTTCTAAGCAGTTAAATGAAATATTCTGATCAAAATTCTGAAATTGCTTTGGTACAAAACGGAGAATAAAGCAAAACTGGCAGCACCACCACAATGTGATTACGTCACAACAGGTCTAAAGGACCCTCAGAGATAACAGAACATAAGTTAAAATACCTATAAATAAGTGCCACTCTCCTGACAATCCTATTACATCATTAAAAAGAGAAATAAAATCTACATTCAGTAAATTATACTTGAGGCCCAATTTTCATGCTCCATTTAATTATCCCTCAATGATAGTGTAAAAAAATGCTTATTATTATTGCAGTACCATGTCTAATTCATAGTTCAGGATGCTTTTAATGACAAGGCCAATGGTTAGAGTGGTACATGTGAATGCTCAGTCCACTGATAGTATTTTAACACAAGGTTTCAGTTTTTTTTTTTACACCTTTATTGAGGTATAACTGATGTAAAACAAATTGCACATACTTAAGATGCACAATTTGATTTACAGTCTTTTAAATAGCATGAAAGTGCCTGACAACTAGAAAATTAAAAAATTTAATTGAAATGTATTGTTTTAAAATAGTACATTGCAATTTCTCGTGAGACACAGATATGGATTTATAAAAAGGTGGGAGGAAAGGAAAGAAATTTAATTCCAAGTACCAAATTTATTCAGAAGGTTTAGAAACGCCAAAATTGACAGCCAGTTTTCTTGATTTTCTTCTTGAAGAGCTTGGTGCCGACTTCTGGTGAGGCATACTATGGCCTGGGGAGGCAGCTGCAACTTGGAAAGAAGATGCAGGTTGAGGGATCTGAGAGGATGGTAAGGAAGCTGATGAAGTCTCCTGTGGAATTCCTTTGGTGACATCAGAAGATGCTGACTGGCTAGTGTGAAGCGGGGTGACTTGATAACTCTGGGCCTCCTTATTCTCAAAGTTCTTTTTGTTTGCAACTCTTTTTTTAGTTACCTTTGAGGAATAAAAGAATAATTAATTAACAATGTAGGCAAAAAACACTAGTGTCAGAAAATACCATAAATCATGCTGCTAATACTTGTCACGTACTGCTGACTTGTGACTTTCACTTATAATCTCCAAACCAGACTTTAGAAATTCAAGGAATTTAGTTATGAATAAGATATCTTAAATTATCCATAATTTCAGTATAAAGAAAATTTATATTCTTGATTTTAAATCACCATTTTAGAAAAGGATATTATTACTTGCTACAATTATTTATTAGAACACAAACTCAGACAGCAGGAACTAGGTTAGACAGTTCACCAGTGGTCAAAATATATTCTCAGTACCGACTCCAGTACTGATCAGGCTTCTACTTGGCACTGAGTATGAAATCACTGAATAAATAAAATTTTATCAATAGCTTTTGAACAGTAAAATATTCTCTTAAAAATATAGCAATTCTCTTCTAGGTCTCACCTGTAGAGGTATGAACTGATTGTGCACACCAGCTGGCATTCCCCCAGCCATGGGCATGGTCCCAGCATATGGTGTATGATGGAAGGGCTTCCCAGGAACTGGCATTGGTGGTCCCCATGGCACTGAGCCAAAGAGGTGAGATGATGAAGGCATGATATTAGCTATTAAAAATCATGGAAAAGCTATTTTAGTAAAATGGCATCATTAAAGCCCTGAAATTTAAGGCCTCCCTTTGCTACTTTTCCTTTTAGCTTATTTCACTTTGGCAAAGAGTATAAGCAAAGGTTAAGTTCTGCTTAACCTTGCTTACAACATTCAAAGTCCTCTTAAGGACTGTGAACCACCTACATTCAGCTTCTCATTATGCTGTCTGGCCTATGAAGGCCAATAGTACCTTATACTGATACAAGCCTTAGGAATATTTGTAATACTATTTAAAAAAAAATAATAGGGTCATAAATCTGTCCCTTGGGGGAGAAAAGCCAGGGCACAAAGAGAGAAATCTTGAGGATCTCACCTGCCCCCAATGCTAAGTTGCTTCCATAGCGATCCCAGCCTACAAAAAAAAAAACCAGAAAAGCTCAAGTCTTGAAATTTGATCACTTTCATATGATACACAATCTTTCTTTTCCCTATTCTAACATTTGTAATTCAAGAATTAAAAAAAAAAATTTCACTGCTTGTTTCCTGCTCAAAGTGCACTGAATCAGTGGTTCCCAAAACTGATGTGTTTATCTGAATCACACGGAAGCTTGTTAAATACAGATTCCTGGGCAAAGCTCCAGACCTACTAATCAGACTCTGAGGGCCCAGGAATCTGTATTGTTAATAAGCTCCACAAGTGATCCTTACACAGTCAGCACCAGTGCAGTATTTGGGAACTACTGCATTGAACAGTAACAACCAGGACTCGCACACTGCCATCAAAGAAGGTCTGTACTGTGCTCAAAGCTTCTTTTTAGAGAGAGAAAAAAGCAGACAGAATTTAAGACTATATAGCTTCACTAAAACTCAGCTACGTTTGAGAGAAGCTTGTGAGTATACCTTTAGATAACCTATATGTACTAATTACTTAAAGCTAACTTATATATAGTTTCTGGATTTTTTTGATGTGGGTAATTTTTAAAATTTTTACTGAATTCATTACAATATTGCTTCTGTTTTATGTTTTTGATTTTTTGGGCCATCAGGCATATGAGATCCTAGCTCCCCAACCAGGTACTGAACCTGCATTGGAAGGTGAAGTGTTAACCAACGGACTGCCAGGGAAATCCCCTGGATTCATTTTTGAAAGTGAAAAAGCAATCAAAATAGATTTTCTAAGTTATAGTGGACTTACTACCTTGAGTTATATGAAAACATCAGATTTATTGTGTCATAAAAATTCTATGACTAACCATTGTTCATACAGGCAAAGGAATGCCAGTGTAGTATAGTAACAAAATTGTGGGTTTTGTTACCAGATAGATTTGCTTTTGAATGCTAGTACTGCTACTTAGTAAGTTATGGCCTTAGAAAAATTACATTTTTTAAACAAATCAAAGTAAAAATAATTATACACATACGTACTGTAATAAAAAGGGTTTTCAACAAAATATAGCAGTCATCTGGTCCATCTCAGGTTTAACTGTTTTAGCTATTTATTTGCACACTGTTCAATAATTTGCTTATACTACTAGCTTATTTTTCAACTTTAGGCATTTTTAGACTAAAACTACTATGATAGATCAAACTTCAGTTCTTTTATACCACCCTTCACTACTTGCCCTGTCCTCCCAATATATTGTAATATTCGTTTAAAAAATATAGAGTTTGTGGTATGTCACTATATAAATATTATCATTTCGAAGTCAAGTGGGGTACTCTATTTTTTTTTCCTTGTAAAAATTAAAAAACTCTTTTAAGAGTAATTACCTTTTACGAGCACCTTAGTCTTTTATACACCTATCCTTCACATTTTTTTCCAAATGCTGCCCATCTATCAGATCATTATCTCACCTGCCAAGACCTTCCCCTGCCCTTTCAATTGAGACCAGTTATTTTCTACACCTGCTGAGCAGCTAGCATTATGGAATTTCCATTCATTGCATAAGTATATTAGGTATTGTGTAGTTTAATTTCATGTCTGTCTGTGAAAGTCACTCAGTTGTGTCTGATTCTTTGCAACCCCGTGGACAATTCTCCAGGCCAGAATACTGGAGTGGGTAGCCTTTCCCTTCTCCAGGAGATCTTCCCGATCCAGGAATTGAACCAGGGTCTCCTGCACTGCATGCAGACTCTTTACCAACTGACCTATCAGGCAAGTCCTTAGTTTCATGGTTTTCTTTAAAACAAACAAACAAACAAACAAACAAGCAAACAAACAAAACTACTGCTTTGCTTTTTGGAGCACAGAATTCAGTAACTTCTAAAGAACAGTGCATAATAAGTAAATCTGCTTGTCTGAAATGTCTTCATTCTACCCTTGCACTAGATTCACACTTTGGCTTTAGAGAGAAATCTAAGATGAAACTAATTCTGTCTCAGCATTTTGAGGTAATCAATGTTCAACTGCTTTCTAGCTTCTAGTCTATGTTCAATGATGCAATAATATTCTGATTTTTGATCTTTTATTTGTATTTTTCCTTCATCTCTGACCTCTCTTTATTCAGTTCAGTCGCTCAGTTGTGTCCGACTCTTTGCTACCCCGTGGACTGCAGGATGCCAGGCTTCCCTGTCCATCACCAACTCCTGGAGTTTACCCAAACTCATGTCCATTGAGTCAGTGATGCCGTCCAACCATCTCATCTTCTGTCATCCCCTTCTCCTCCTGCCTTCTATCTTTCCCAGCATCAGGGTCTTTACAAATGAGTCAGTTCTTCACATCAGGTAGCCAAGGTATTGGAGTTTCAGCTTCAGCATCAATCTTTCCAATGAATATTCAGCATTGATTTTCCTTTAGGATGGACTGGTTGGATTTCCTTGCAGTCCAAGTAACTCTCAAGAGTTTTCTCCAACAACACAGTTCAAAAGCATCAATTCTTTGGTGCTCAGCTTTCTCTACTGTCCAACTCTCACATCCATACATGACTACTGGAAAAACCATAGCCTTGAAAAGATGGACCTTTGCTGGCAAAGCAATGGCTCTGCTTTTTAATATGCTATCTAGGTTGGTTATAACTTTTCTTCCGAGGAGTAAGCATTTTTTAATTTCATGGCTGCAGTCACCATCTGCAGTGATTTTGGAGCCCAAGAAAATAAAGTCTCTCACTGTTTCCCCATCTATTTGCCATGAAGTGATGGGACCAGATGCCATGATCTTCGTTTTCTGAATGTTGAGTTTTAAGCCAAGTTTTTCCACTCTCCTCTTTCACTTTCATCAAGAGGCTCTTTAGTTCTTCTTCACTTTCTGCCATAAGTGATTCATGTCAATGTATGGCAAAAACCACTACAATATTGTAAAGTAATTAGCCTCCAACTAATAAAAATAAATGAAGAAAAAAAAAAGAAAACACACAACAATAAAATATGACAATATCATAGAAGGGAAAAAAAAAGTGTGGTGTCATCTGAGTATCTGAGGTTATTGATATATCTTCCAGCAATCTTAATTCCAGCTTGTGCTTCATCCAGACCAGTGTTTCTCATGATGTTCTGCATATTAGTTAAATAAGCAGAGTGACAATATACAGCCTTGACTTACTCCTTTCTTGATTTGTAACCAGTCTGTTATTCCATGTCCATTTCTAACTGTTGCTTCATGATCTGCACACAGATTTCTCAGGAGGCAGATCAGGTGGTCTGGTATGCCCATCTCTTTCAGAATTTTCCACAGTTTATTGTGATCCACACAGTCAAAGGCTTTGGCATAGTCAAAAAAACAGATGTTTTTCTGTAACTCTTTTTCAATGATTCAGTGGATGTTGGCAATTTGTCTCTGGTTCCTCTGCCTTTTCTAAAACCAGCTTGAACACCTGGAAGTTCATGGTTCATGTACTGTTGAAGTCTGGCTTGGAGAATTTTGAGCATTACTTTGCTAGCATGTGAAATGAGTGCATCTGTGTGGTAGTTGGAGCATTCTTTGGCATTGCCTTTCTTTGGGACTGGAATGAAAACTGACCTTTTCCAGTCCTGTGGCCACTGCTGAGTTTCCAAATTTGCTGGCATATTGAGTGCAGCACTTTCACAGCATCATCTTGTAGGATCTGGAATAGCTCAACTGGTATTCCATCACCTCCACTAGCTTTGTTCGTAGTGACGCTTCCTAAGGCCCTCTTGGCTTCTCATTCCAGGATGTCTGGCTCTAGGTGAGTGATCATACCATCGTCACTTTCTGGGTCGTGAAGATCTTTTTTGTATAGTTTTTCTGTGTATTCTTGCCACCTCTTCTTAATATCTTCTGCTTCTGTTAGGTCCCTACCATTTCTGTCTTTTATTGAGCTCATCTTTGCATGAAATATTCCCTTGGTATCTCTAATTTTCTTGACGAGATCTCTAGTCTTTCCCATTCTATTGTTTTCCTCTTACTTCTTTGCATTGATCACTGAGGAAGGCTTTCTTATCTCTCCTTGTTATTCTTTGGAACTGCATTCAGATGGGTATATCTTTCCTTTTCTTCTTTGCCTTTCACTTCTCTTCTTTTCATAGCTGTTTGTAAGGCCTCTCGGACAACCGCTTTGCCTTTTTGCACTTCTTTTTCTTGGGGATGGTGTTTATCACTGCCTCTTGTATAATGTCACGAACCTCCGCCTATAGTTCTTCAGGCACTCTGCCTATCAGATCTAATCCCTTGAATCTATTTGTCACTTCCACTGTATAATTGTAAGGGATTTGATTTAGGTCATACCTGAATGGTCTAGTGGTTTTCTCTACTTTCTTCAATTTAAGCCTGAATTTTTCAGTAAGGAGTTCATGATCTGAGCCACAGTCAGCTCCCAGTCTTGTTTTTGCTGACTAGATAGAGCTTCTCTATCTTCGACTGCTAAGAATACAATCAATCTGATTTCGGTATTGATCATCTGGTGATGTCCATGTGTAGAGTCTTCTCTTGTGCTGTTTGTTACGACCAGTGCATTCTCTTGGCAAAACTCTGCTAGCCTTTGCCCTGCTTCATTTTATACTCCATGGCCAAACTTGCCTGTTACTCCAGGTATTTTTTGATTTCCTACTTTTGCATTCCAATCCCTATAATGAAAAGGACATCTTTTTTGGGTATTAGTTCTAAAAGGTCTTGTAGGTTTTCACAGAACCGTTCAACTTCAGCTTCTTCAGCATTACTGGTCAGGGCTTAGACTTAAATTACGGTGAAACTGAATGGTTTGCCTTGGAAATGAACAGAGATCATTCTGTCATTTTAGAGACTGCATCTAAGTACTGCATTTCAGACTCTATTGTTGACTATGATGGCTGCTCCATTTCTTCTGAGGGATTCTTGCCCACAGTAGTAGATATAATGGTCATCTGAGTTAAATTCACCCATTCCAGTCCATTTTAGTTCGCTGATTCCTAAAATGTTGAAGTTCATTGTTGCCATCTCCTGTGTGACCACTTCCAATTTGCCTTGATTCATGGGCCTAACATTCCAGGTTCCTAAGCAATATTGCTTTTAACAGCATTGGATTTAACTTCCATACCGGTCACATCCACAACTGAGTGCTGTTTTTGCTTTGTTTATTGTTTCCCTTTATTACTGGTATTCTAAATTCCAAGGCAATCTGTGTCTCTTTTCATTTAGTGCTAAGCATCTGGTGGCTCTTTCAGTTTACAGATGCATGTCCCTTGGTCAGAAGAAACTATTTCTTTGATAACTTTCCTCCTTCCCATGATCTCTGGTCTCTTTTTCTGGAACTCCAATTAGATAGGTATTGGATCTACGGACCGTTCCTCTAAATCTCTCTTACTTCTTATTTTCCTCCTTTTATGTTGATCTTTTCCTGAGATTTCTGTGGCTTTGCTTTACCTATTCAATTTTAAAATTTTTGCTCAACAATTTTTGTTCTCCAATTATTCTTTTATTCATGAATTCTTGTTCTTAATTTTTTTTTTGGGGGGGTTGCAATACTGTTTCATTTCATAAGAATGCTAACCAAAGCTGTCTCTGAAGTTCTCTTCTTTCTAACACTATCTCCAGGTCCCTTTCATTTATCTTTGTTTAAGCTCTTATAGAGATTTTCCTAAAATGTTCAGTGGTTTATCACAGTCTATTATTTCTTCATATTAAAGAGCAAGACATTAAAACTATGATTAGAAGCAGTGTCTGTGTTGGGAGGGTTCAGGGCTAGATGACTTGAGATCCTCAGCTTCTCTCTAGGATGACTGAATAGTGAGCCAGCCTTTTGGTTGGGACATCCTCCAAAAGTTGGTGGGTCTTTCGCTTGGAATTCAATGAATTTCTCAAAAAACCATCCTCTAACTTCCTATCTGGGCTAAGGCTTGTTACAGCCTGGGAACAGGATGGGAAAAGGAATTTCATGTAGCCTCAGTTTCCAGCCTAGTATCTCATTTCTATTCTGTACCTGCTGTCTCATATGTATGGAGCTTTCTGGAGACCATACCTCCAGGCTTTTGCCTGAAGATGTTAACTGCTTGACTGTGTGGGGGAAGGCTCTGGGGAGGAGTTTCATCATTCTTGCTACACATGTTGAACTGATTCCCTCTTTTCAGGCCATGCCTCTGATAGCTTCTGACACTTTCAAGTTCTGAATCTCTTGGGAACTGTGAGGGATAATCTGCTCATCTGTCCTCTTTTATACACTCTTCAGTTGAGCATAACCCTACTCTGTTGCTGAAAAAAAAAATAATCCATTTCTATTTCTCTTCTTTTCTCATCACAAACTCTTTTCAAATTCTAATGTGCTGATATTTCTTCTCTCACCTCTTTGTCCTTATAGGTTCACACTTAAAATAGTTCATTATTCAGTTTAAGGGAGTCTGGGCAAAGAGAAGAGATAACCAGTTTAATACTCCCTGAATTTCTAGATGAATCTGCAGGCTCTGGTTTCAGGCTTACCCCTTACAACTCCTTACATTACCGAGACATTTAGATCATTTTTTGGTTCCTTGAAGTGATGCTTCTTAAAAGAACTTTCTAAAAACAATAATTAAATGGTAAATATTTAGATGAGAAAGATACCTTACCAGTAGGTTGGGGAAAAACTGGAGGAATGGTTCCAGGTGGCACGGCTGGAGGATAACTTGGAAATATTCGTGGAGGCAAAGGGAAATTCACTCCTAAGGAGCCCTATGGAAGTATTTAAAGTTATAAAACAATGCAGCAAAAACATCTAGAGGGATTACTTAAAGATTTAGTGGAGAATTCATGGACAGTTCTCACCAATTGTTGTATAGCAAAAAGTGCAGCTTTTTCCTTGGCTTCATTTTCAGAATGGCACTGTGGCCCATGTACCAGTAAGCCGTTAGATAATTTTACCTGGCAAACTGTCATTGTCTAAAAAAAGAGAACAGGAATGTTTATGAAGTTATCTGTCCAGGAAGTTGACCTCCTCCTAGAAAGCTTAAACAAGTAGAATAATTTCATCCATTCTGTAAAAAACAATTTCAAGAATTCAAAGAAGGACTATAGCTTAAGTTTTCAGTTATGATGCAAAAACTTTAAAACTGTTCCCTTATCTTTCAGTGTTTACAAAGTTAAAATGATCTCTAAGCTAGCTGAAGGGTCAGGAATCCTAGTGTAAATGAAAGTCAGCTAAACTTTCTTCTTTACATCTAGGATCAGGAAACTAGGTTTCCTATTTGTTTTTGTATGTTAAGATTTTATTGAAGCACAGCCAAGTCTACTCTTTTATGGTTTGCCTATACCTACTGTAACTGCAGAGGAAAGCAGTTGTGACAGAGACCATATGGCCCACAAAGCCTGAAATATTTACTATCTGGCTGTTTATAGAAAAAATTTGCTGACCCCTGCTTTCCACCATCCTTTAAATAGCAGACATTTTGCTAACATGAATTAACTGCCAAAATCTTAAAAACTCAGAAGTTCTGACTAATTTTATATTTACATTTGAATGACAATTCTTTACAGTATACTTTTTTCCTTTATAAAAAAGACTTTTAGAAAAATGCTTTTTCAAAAAGTAGTCATATTTATGTAGTAGTATTACTAAGTACAGTATTACTACTATCATTATTAATATTATGTTTGTATCATTATACTAACATAGTATTATTACCGTTATTATTAATGGTTGTTTTAGGTAAGAATATGTCAAGAGTTTGGATGTAAAAAGGATAAAACAGATTTCCTGGAGTGGTTCTCAAGGTGTGGTATGGGGACCTCAGAGGTCCCTGAGACCCTTTCCAGAGCTTCAAACTATTTTTATAATAATATAAAAATGTTATTTGTTCTTTTCACTCTCACTTTCTCATAAGTATAGAGAGAATAAAACGTTTATTAATATAATTTCAAATTCTACAATTGCACTAACTTTAAAGAAAATACCATGTTTTAATGTTGTTTATCAAAAAATATCCACAATGATATGAAAAGACTATTAAAATTTTCTTCTTTTTTCCAACTATTCGTGTGAGGTCAGATTTTCTTCATGTATTTCAACCAAAACCACATATTATCCATCTCTTGTAATAAGAAGCAGATATGAGAATCTAGCTTCTTCTATTAATCTAGAAGATGGAAAAGACTTGCAAAAATGTAGGGCAATAACATTCTTCTCACTAAATTTTTTCAAAAAGTCATTTTTAATTAACAACTTATATTTTTTTTCATTTTTAATTTGGTAAATATGGATATAATACAAGTAAACAAAAGTTCTTCGGGGTTCTCAAAAAAAAAAAGATGGGTAGTTTCTGAAACCAGTTTGACAGCTGCACTGTACACCAAGACCCCTACCCCTATCATCACTCTGAAGAATCCTGCGAGGCGACCTGCTGCCCAAGTTCCTGTCAGTGTCATTGAGGGCCCTGGTTATGCATACATGGAAAAGCCAGAGGGATAAGTATTCATCTATGCTTCTCATAAAGTCAAAAATACCAGCTCCACTATATTATTTCCAGCCAAAGATTTTCAGTTGATTTGCTTAAGCTCAGTGATCAATAACTTATGCAAATAGAAGAACAGTAGTATACTATACCTGTGGTGTTCTCAGAAAGGAGAAATCTGGTTGTGGCATTCCAACAAGGGAACAAATTCGAGAAAGTTCAGTTACTGGTGTGGACACAGGAGGAATCTGGCCAGTAGGCCAGCAAACACTGTCCATAGGCTGAACATTATGGTACTCACTAGCACTGTGAGGCTTGTTCATATAAGATGCTACAAAAATAGAGAAAAGGACATATCTACATTAAATGATACTTCAAACTATGCAATTATGGCAGGGCTTTACAGAATAGCAAGTAAGACACAGTTAAAAAGTGAAAAGAGGAACTTCTCATGAAGCAGATGTAAAAACTATTTAGTCTTGCCTAAAATAACTAGAACTAAATGAAGATTTTTAGATGATTACAATTAATTATTGATATATAATTAAGATAAAGATTTAAAAATATAAGTTGATGATTGCCAAAAATTAACATCGTGAGAGATTAACACGTTGTAGGCAAAATCTAAACAAGCAAATGGCTTTCTTGAGCTGATTTATAATTAATTCTTAAGGTTTTTTTTCTTTAATTTTTATCGGAGTATAGTTGCTTTACAGTGTCGTGCTAATTTCTGAAGTATGGTAAAATGAATCAGTTGTATGTATACATATATTCACTCTTTTTTAGATTTGTTTCCATTTAGTCACCACAGACCACTGAGTAAGAGTTCCTTGTGTTAAAATTCTTAAGTTTTGAGGCTTCAGCTTTGGTTTTCTCAAAATCCATCTTACTTTCTGAGCCACATGGATCAATGTTTTTTGCTCTAAAATAGTGATTCTTGAATGTTTTTTTCTGAACTTAAACCTTCCAAGTGCCTTTATATAGAATATGATTTAAGAATTCTGAAAGATCACATTCTTTATAAGCAAGAAACTCACCAACAGAACAAAAGCACACCCTAGTGGAGAATGAATCTAAACCTCTAACTATTATAGATTAAAAAATAAGTGGCTTGCCCAAAGTCACACATTAGTTCTGTTACATGGGCTGCATTCTGAGCTTTTCATTCTAAGGTATATGATATTTTTTACAATATGAAATATAGTAAAAGTTACTTGTTTTTGACAGTGGTATCATACTTACCTCATACTGTTTTAAAATTGTATTTTGCTCTATTTCAAGCATATATTTGTCACTATGATATATATTGTTTCCTGAGTTATTGGAATTTTAATTATTTATCCTGATACTCAGTGGATAAATGAAGTTAGGCTCTGATGTTGTCCCAGATTTTGATCCTTAATAAATTCAAATTGGCTTATTTAAAAATGCTTTTTACCTGAGAAACTTCTGTCCCCACCTACCATTATTCCTGGTGGACTTTTGAAGATAATTACAGAGACAAAATATTAAGTATAGTGGACACAGAAGTAGGGGCAATGATCGACAACTAGTGAAGTCCAGCTGTGTGCCAGCTGTTATGTTATAGGCTTCACAGACTTATGGTAAGTGCCACTTTCCAATGTGTGCCTCCATTAATTATTTTTCATTGATTTTACAGCTTCTTTTTTATGTGAGTCAAGTTATTTTAACATAATACTAATACCAATTATTGGCACCTAGGATGTGTTAGACACAGTGCTAACTGCTTTATCTATGTCATATAATTATTGCAACAGACATCTGCAATGTTATTTCACAGATAAAGGAAAAGGTAAATAATATATTTAAATTACATAATAAGTTTTAAATTATTGAGAAAAAGCTAAAATGTAAAAACTTTTCTAGGTTTGGAATCTACAGAATGAGTATATGATATAATTTAAGTAGTTACAAGAAGATAATGAGAGATCTACTGGTTACAGTTATTTAATACATTGTTATGTAATGACATAAGCATAAGAAAACATACTCTTATTACCCTTCATTATACTTAAAAAAATAAAAGTAGTCTTACCTTTAAAAATTACAAGATTAAAAAAACAAATGAACTGAATTTTTGAAGTTGGCTATTAGCTTACTTAATTTCTTATTAAGTACTTAGTTTACTTACTCAATTTCTTATTTTGTTTAGGTTGTGAAGAAGATCCATATTCATCTCTTCTACTAGAGGAAACAGTGACTTCATTACCAAACTGTTTCATTTCATTCTTACGGTCCATACTGTCAGAGCTGTCAATTTTTAGAATTTCTTTAAGCATCCGAGTTCCCTTCTGCTTTGAAAATGATTGGTATGAGATAGTGGGGGTAGAGAGAAAAGTTAAACAGAGTTACAGAGCTTACTGATCCTCCTTTAAATAAGTTCTATTGTTAAAAATTAAGACAATAACTACATTCAGATAAAGAATAAGGAAAATCAAGAGAGTTGAAAAAAATCCAAATTTCCTGGCAAAGAAATAATAATTATCATTCCTGCTTAATTTCTGACCAAATAGTCTGGGACAATGTTTGAAAAACAAGGGAGTTATGGTGGCTAAACTGCCCAGGACAGCCCGGTTTTCCTCACAGGATGACAATAATATGCATCACATCAGCCTATGTAAAAGAAGGTGTCTTAACTATTGCACAGGGTATGTATGGCCAACAATAATGAAATTACCATATCGTACAAGCTCCTACAAAATACGAACCATAGCAAATGACTGTGGTGACAAATGTTCTTCACTTGGAGGCTCTTCATGATGAGATGACTGTATTTCATTTTCTTTGGAGATATTCAAGGATGCTAAGAAGTTCTCAATTCCAGGATTAGGCTAAAAGAATAAATATTTTGTGCATGAAGTTTCGAAAGTACACGGACCTGAAAATCACTAAGAGTTTTATGTACAAAAATGATCATTTAATTTTCACTCACTCATCTTTCCAAGTGTTAAAGTGTGGGAAGAGAAACTGAATGAATGGTCTTTTACCTTATCAACAGCACTTGGATGACCAGTCACAACCTTTTGATTTTCTGAGACTTCTGAACTTTCATTTCTCTTCAGTAGCTTAATATTACATTTGGCAGGCCCTCCAAATGTCTATAAAAGAGTAAGAATGGGTTTTTGTGTAAATAAAATTATAGTTACTACTTAACAGTATTCTAAATAAATCACTGCAAACTTTTTGGAGCGTTATTTTTTCTTTTATATCATAAGAAAAAAGGGGGGGCTCATAAACTTGATGAGGGAAAAAATTACATCTTAACCTCCATTAATTTCTAAATAAGATTTAGCATTCCCTTCAATTATGAATGTAGGCAATAAACTATTAATACAATGGTGGTGATTCTAATGGCATTTCAATATAATTGGTTTTCTTTCAAATCTTATGTATTTTATTGTAGCATTAATACTATTATTCTCAGAAAGAGTCCATATGCTTCACCAAAGAGGTCCACAGCACTAAAGAGTTTATGAACTCCTTTTCTAGAAGAAAGGAAGTTATAGCATAAGAGTTTCAGAAGGAGGGGGCTTTCAAAGTCATGTAATTCAACCCTTTATTGGTATCTGAAAATTAATCGGCTCCATTACTGAGAACCTGTTGTGTGCCAAGATATCTAAGATATCTTTTAAAATTTATTATAGCTTATAAGAGATCTAACTTTTTAAAAAACTTTGTTATAAAACATAATATGTATATAAAATGTACACATGAGAAGTATACATGTATATTTTTAGATTTAAAGTGTTTTTTAAATTATCAAATGTATATACACTCTTTATCAATCTGCAGAAACTCTTAAAATAAAACATAAATGATCTCAGTTTTTCTTATTAACCTAACTCCACAGAATTAACTGTTAACTTTTGCATGTTGGTCTATATACTTTCATTGAATATACAAACATGCGTGCATGTTTAGCTGCTCAGTCATGTCCAACTCTTTGTGACCCCATGGACAGCAGCCCGTATTTCCAAATATTTTATAAATAAAATGTACACACACTCATACAAGTAGGCATGTTTGTATGTATTTATATAGGGCTTTCCTGGTAGCTCAGCTGGTAAAGAATTCCCATGGAGAGAGGAGCCTTGAGGGCTGCAGTTGATAGGGTAGCAAAGAGTCAGACAAGAGTGAGGGACTAAGCACTAGCACCATTATGTACTGTATGTATTTTATATATATGTATTATACATAATGAATGAGAAGGACAAGTGATATATTTTAGTCTCCATTTTAAAGATGAAGAAATTGAGGCTGTGAAAAGTGCAGTGACTTGCTCAAGGCCACTGAACCATTAAACGGCAGAACCATAATGTATCTCTAATTCCAAGTCTTAGACTCTAGCTGTGCAACCTCCCATCCAAGGGACTGACAGGCTCAGCAACCATCTTGCCACACACATTATGAATCTGGTTGAAAGGGCTGCAAAATTAAGGCAGATGCCACCAATTCCAATAAAAAGTGGGCTACTAGAAATTTGATTTTAAGAAGCTTACCTGCCTATTTGACATTTTTTGTGACCGACTCTCAGTTTTAGGACTCTTACACTCTTCTTTAACTAGACAAAGAAAATAGAAATTCTGTTAAATGAAAATTGCTGCATACCTATTAAATTTACCAAATATTTACCACAGCAAGGCACAGTACTAAGGAATTCACTGAATTTCACGGAGGGAGACAAAGGCCCTGCTTTTGAGGAACTTGTAATCTAGATGAGGGGGAGAAAAGATACAGGCAACAACAAGGGAAAAAGAAAGGTGGCATCTAATTGAGTCTTGCAGAGCGGCAAGTTTCCAAAGGGCAGAATAGGTAGCTAAGTATTCCAGCAAAGAAAATAATAAGAGAAAAGACAAATAATAGGAGAAGCAGAAAGCAAGGAATATTTGTGGCACTCTAAACAGACAAGTTCTGCTGGAGGCTAAGAAGTATAATGCAACTTAGTTGAACTAGAGGAGCAGGCTGCAGGCATAATCTGCCAAGGACTGAAGACTATGGAATTACACTGGAGGTAATGGGCATAATCACAGAAAAGTTTTGACCAGGTAGGAATCTGATCAGAATTGTGCTTTAAGAAAATTAAAATATAGCAGTGGCTTATTATATAGAAAGAGTAAGAGACCAATGAGGAAGCTATGTTAGTATTCTTGTTAAGAGAAAATTAGAACAGAAAGAAAATGAAAAAGGATAGATTAGAAGACGAAGGAGGGAAGGGAAAAAGGATGAAGGAAAGAAAAGAAGGAAGAAAGAAAAAAGGAAGGAGGAAGAAAGAGAGGGACACAAGAGGAAAGAGAGGATGAGGAAAGAAGTAGAGGGAAGGGATAGAAGGGAGGGAGGGGATGGAATGAGAGAAAAGGGAAGGAAGGCACAAATATGAGAAGGGAAGGGAAGAGAGAGAACAGAGAGGGTAAAGGAAGAAAGGAAGGAAAGGAAGAATTCTTGCAAAAAAGGAGGAAAAGTACAAGTAATATGACATGATTCAACATTAAACCTTTGTTGAGACACACAAGAAAACTAATTGGAATTCCACATAATGTAAATGGCTTACATACTTTTACATAAAGAATAACTTGAAGAAAAATCACAAACATTTTGATTAACTATAAAATCTTGAAGCTTTAATTATCAGATTTATGGGGACATGAATCTATATTTAACTTAAAATGTAAAAGAAACAAAATAACATATAGATATTGGTGGAAAACAAAAACAAAAATCTGAACCAAAGTTATAAAACAAGAAAAGTTTTTTCAAAATAGTTTTTAGAAAAACATTTTATAAAGACTATTCTTAAACTATAGGAAATATATAAATACATAAAATACCATGTGCATATAAAATATAATCAATTAGACTCAGGACTTGGCACTTGGTATTTCCTCTGCTGGAAATTCAGCAAGCTGATTCCACTTCCCTTTTATTTGGGCCTCTATTCAAATGTATCCTTGGAGAGGTATTACTTGACTATCCAATTTAAAACAGCATCTGCATCACTCAATCTTCTTACTCTGCTTTATTTTTCATCATAAATTTATCATTACTACAGATTATGGAATTTATTCTTTGCCTAATTGTTAGTCTCAACCTTAGAATATAAAGTCCATTAGGTCAGAAAACTTGTCTGACTTATCCCCAGCACCTAAAACAATACCTTGCACATAATACAACTGAATAAATAAATAAATGAATAACAAAAGAGCCATATTTTGAACATGAAGAGCAATCTGATACAATTTGGGAATACTATGATCAAGAGAAGAGAAAAAGTAACTGTAAGATGAAGGTTCTCATCTGTGTATCTGTATTCCCTACTGTGCCTAAAACACAGTGGACTACTGAAACGAATGAAAAGAGTCAAAATATATAAAATGTGTTAGAGAATATGAACAACAAAATACTTGCACATAGTCTTAACAAAAATCTGTAATATAATTTGAATTTATTTATCTATTTATTTTACATTTTTTGGCCATGCCTTGCAGCACGTAAGATCTTAGGTTCCCCAAACAAAGACTAAACTTGTGCCCCTGTAGTGGAAGCATGACGTCTTAACCACTGGACTGCCAGGGAAGTCCCTGGAGTAATGTAATAGGCAAGTGTTTATATACACAAAAAGGTAACTGGGTTACTCTAAATAAAATTTAAATTTATCTCAAAATGTGGTTAGTGAGGCGACATCAGCAAAAATACTGAAGGACCTTACAAATTCTTTCTTCCATAAAAGCAACAAGAAAATGAATATAAATATTACCAGAATCCTAATTTTCAGAATGATGGAAATTAATCAAAGACCTGCAACAATCTGGGATGTAGTTCTTCAAGAAAAAAGACTGAATCTTAGTAAAAGCAGTGAGCTTTGTGACATTTGAATTTGCCCAATTCAGTTCCATCCCTTACTCTCCAGTTCCATGAAGCCTTGGAAAAAAAAACAGGTAGTATTTTTTTTGGTGAAAATCCACAGCCTGGCTGCTACTTGAGATTAGAATGAGGCTAGAGCTCTTTCAAAGTGTTATTCCAACATTCTATGAGCCCAGTATTACCATGATACCAAAATTAAAGACATCACAAGAAAATTACAAATGTCCTTTATGAATACAGATGCAAAGATCCTCAACAAAATACCAGTGAGTAGAATCTTGTAGTGTATAAGGAGGATTATATACCAAGATCTACTGGGATTTATCCCAGGTATGCAAGGTTGGTTCAACATATGAAAAACAATCAATGAAAAAAAACACATCGAATGCATAAAGGACAGAAACCATGTGATCATCTCAAAAGTCAAAGAAATAGCATGTGACAAAAACTAACATCCCTCCAAGGTTAAAAAAAATCAACAATCTAGGAATACAAAGAAACTTCTTCACCTAATAAAGGTCAGCTATCAAAACCCCACAGTTAACATTATATTTAATGATGAAAGACTGAAAGCTTACCCTTAAGATCAAGACAAGGATGCCTACCCTCACCACTTCTATTTAACTAGTGGTTTTAGCCACACAATTAGGCAAGAAAAATAAACAAGGCATCCAGATTGTATAGGAAGAAGTAAAACTACATTTGTTGAAGCCACAAAAAACTAGGGCTAATAAATAAGTTCAACAAGGTGGAGAAATACAAAATCAATATACAAAAGTTAGTTTTATTTCTATAAACATTAATGAATAATATGCCCTCAAAATTAAGAAAACAGCTCCACTGACAAATGCAATAGAATAAAATACTTAGTAATAAATTTAACAAAAAATTCAAGACTTATATACTGAATACTACAAGACATCATTGAAAGAAATAGAAAGGCTTACTGAAGATGACAATACTACCCAAAGTGGTCTACAGATTCAGTATAATCCCTATAGAAATTCCAGCTGCCATATTTGCAGAAATAGACAAGCTGATCCTAAAATTGACATGGAAATGCAAGAGACCAGAACTTGACAATATAATCTTGAAAAACAAAATTGGAGGATTCAACTTTGTTGAGCTTTCCAATTGCAAAACTGATAACAAAACTATGGTAATGAAGATGGTGTGTTGTGCACAAAAATATGGAATATAGATCTGTGAAATGCAATCAGAGACTAGAAATAAACCTATGCATCTGTGGTCAACTGATTTCTGACAAGGGTGCCAAGACAATTCAATGGAGTGCAAAGAAAATTCAATGAGCAAAGAACAGTCTTTTAATACATAGTGCTGGGACAACTAGATGTCTGTACGCAAAAGAGTGAATATGGACTTATACCATATATGGTATGCAGTTATTCAAAAATGGAAAAAAGACCTAAATGTTACAGATAAAACTGTAATGCTCTTAGAAGAAAACACAGGTGGAAATTTTTGTGACCTTGAATTAGGTAATGGTTGCTTAGATGATACCTAAAGCACAAGCAACTAAAGAAGAAGTAGAAATAGAAAAATTGGACTTGGTCAAAATTAAAAACTTTTGTGCTTCAAGGACACTGTAAAGAAAGTTAAAAGACAACCACAGAATGATAGCACATATCTGCAAATCAAATATCTGAATAGCATATAGTATATAGAACATAGAAAGTACTTCATAGGATATGAAATATTAAAAGTACTCTTACAACTCAAGAACGAAAAGACAGCCTAACTTTAAAAATTTTATTTTCAAGCAATGTATTTTTAACTTGGATGCAAACAAACAACAACAAAAAAAAAGAGAGAGAGAGAAAGAAAATCCCCTGGAGACCAAAACTGTAAATCAAGGTAGGATTAGTTGATTTGTCCCTCTGGGCAGTGTTCCTGACCTGGTTTGATTTAAACTTCAGGTATTTGGTTCTTTCACTTTGCAGGTGAAGAACTGAAGGCTCATAAGGGGCATGGCATTTCACATGGATGTGACTTCTTAGGGGCGTGGTTTCCTAGGAGAGGTGATCTGAGGTTTTGAACTCAACTGCCACAGCATACGAAAGTGTAAGGTCATGGTTCTTATGTTCTCACACTAGTCCTCCCATTATTGTTATTACTACTATTGCTGCTGCTGTCATTAATAAAAGCACTGAGTATTCCTGATGGAACCCAGAACCCAGTGGCTGTTCCGAGGAGTCAATAAGGGCAGTTCAGCTGATTCAGTCTTTTCTGGGTGCAAACACCCTTAAACTTGACCACTGTCCACTGAGGACGAGGCTGTTGTTCCATCTTCCAGAAGAGAAGCCTGAGGCCCAGCATGGAGGAGCCCGGGCTTGGCCAGGATTCTTGAAAACCCAGTGTACAAGGAGAGGGCAGGCTGCATCCCAATACACTCCTGCTCCTACCAGAATTCAGGGTGGAGTGGCCACAGGTCACCAAGGCTTGGCCACTGACACAAGTAATCCCTTGCCAGGGCTGCCACTGCTGGGGGTGTACCAGCAGCAGTGGGGTACAGGCTGGCACCCTTTCCCAGCTGGGTGCATGCCTGACTGGGGTGCATGCTCCTTTCAGGGTACCCACACTTTCCTCCGGCCTACACCTTCCAGCCTGAGAGACACATTAGCTGTGACCTCTCATCTTCTCCCAGACCCTGGCAACCACAAACCCACTCTTTCTCTCTCTGGATTTTCTTGTTCTGGATATTTTGTAGAAATGGAATCACACATTCTATGGCTTTCTGTGTCTGGCTTTTCTTACCTGCATTGTATCTGGGGGCTCACCTGCTTTGCAGGGTGTGTCACCACCAAAGTTTGAATTTGTACTGCCTGCCCTGTGTCCCTGGGACCCCAGCAGCATGAGTACCTTCCCAAAGACCAGGATCTGGAGAGGCACCCCACCACACCCCTGGCATGGAGCATGGTGTTGCACACACACTCTGGGCCCAGTGGCTACTCATACCTGGTCCTCTAACATCTGCCCAGAACCCTTTGTCCTTTCCTTTCTGCAAGCTAACACTCACACACCCTCTTGGCCTCATCTCACTTGCCTCCTCCTCAGGGAAGCCCTCCATGCAGGCATGGACCTCTGAAAGTTTGTCTCTTGGCTCCGTCCATTTCCCCCACCTCGCCCCTCTCTTGTAGGGTTTGGAATGACACTTCATCCTGCCACCCTCTGTGCCTTATCTGTCTCCTGGGTTAGGCTGCAGATTCAAGTGGGCTGGGTGTGTGTGTTAGTCATTCGGTCATGTCCGACTCTTTGTGATCCCATGGACTATGGCCTGCCAGGCTTCTCTGTCCATGGAATTCTCCAGGCAAGAATACTGGAGTGGGTACCTCCTCCAGTGAAGACAACCTAATTTTATTTATTTACTTTTATTTATTTATTTTTGACAACCTAATTTTAAAATGAGCAAAGGATTTGAACGTTTCTCCAAAGAAGATAAACAGCCAATAAGCACATGAAAACATGCTCACCACTATTAGTTATTAATGAATCAGAAATGAAAACCACAAGGAAACTAAACTTTACATTTACTAGGATGACTATAACAAAAAAGCTGGATAACAACATTCCGTAACAAGTGTTGTGGAGGATGGGAAGAAATTGGACCCTCATATATTGCTGGTGGGAACGTAAAATGGTACAGCCATTTTGGAAAACAGCGTGGTAGTTCCACAAAAACTTAGGCATAGAGTTAACTCAGTTAACTCAGTTAACTCAGTAAATAAATAAAAGACTCAGTTATTTCTTAACTTCATATATACTCAAGAGACCTGTAACCATAGCCATTTTGGAAAACAGCGTGGTAGTTCCACAAAAACTTAGGCATAGAGTTAACTCAGTTAATTCAGTAAATAAATAAAAGACTCAGTTATTTCTTAACTTCATATATACTCAACAGACCTGTAACCATATGTTCACACAAAAGTGAAGTCACTCAGTTGTGTCCGACTCTTTGCGACCCCATGGACTGTAGCCTCCCAGGCTCCTCCATCCATGGGATTTTCCAGGCAAGAGTACTGGAGTGGGTTGCCATTTCCTTCTCCAGAGGATCTTCCCGACCCAGGGATCGAACCTGGGTCTCCTGCATTGTAGGCAGACACTTTACCGTCTGTGCCACCAGGTGTTCACACAAAAACTTGTATATAAATATCCACAGTAGTGTTATTTATTATAACACAAAAGTGCAAATGACCAACATATCCAACAATGGGAGGATGGATCAACAAAACGTTGTATTCATATAATAGAAAATTGTTTAGTCCTAAAAAGGAATGAAGTACTCATATATGCTACAACATGGATGAATCTTGAAAAGATTATGCCGAGTGAGTGGAATCGGTCTCAAAGATCACATATTTTATGTTTCTATTTATAGGAAATGTCCAGAACAGGTCAATTCACAGAGGCAGAAGTAATTAGCAGTTGCCAGGGATAGGGGAATGACTACTAGTAAGTACAGACTAATGAGTATGACTACTAATAAGTATGATATTTCTTTTTGGGGTGATAAAAATGTTCTAAATTTAGATACTAGCATTGGTTGTACAACTTTGTGAAAACACTAAAAAAACACTGATTGAACTATAAAAGGATGAATTTTATGATATGTGAATTATAACAATAAAGCTGTTAATTTATAAAAATAAAAGGAAGCACTTGGCACCATATATATACTTTCTAACTCATAACTTACATTTTCTGTGAGGTTCATGTTTTCTCTGCTTAACGCTGTTGTCATTAAAGCCAGTTTTATGATGTTGAGTTACTTGACTTATTTCTTGAGGTAGAACTGCACCCTGAAAGTTAAAATTCTTATAAATGATTTAAATAAACTCTTAATATTAAACCTACTTCTCTTCCTCAATGCTTAATAGTTACTTTATTATTTTTTTGTAAAAATTATAGACTTCACTAGAAAAAGATTTAAGGAATTCAGAAAAGTAAAGAGAATTTAAGAAAACCATTCAAATTCTACCACCCTTGAAATAACTATTATTGACATTATGATCATCACTCCAGACACTTCTCTATGCACTAGATATAAAGGTACATAGAAAACAATCACTTTATAAAAATGCTTTCAACAGAAAGAATTAAGTTTAATTTTGTTTGAAGTTAATTCAGAAACCAAAGATCAAACTTTAGTTGAATGTTTCTTCGCAACAGAAATATCAGCCTCTAAAGATCTTTCTAAATTTGCTTCCAAGTAACCCTACCTCTAGAGTATGTGAGATGAGAGATGAGTAGGTGTTAAGAAGAGAGAACTGGACATGTTCAAGGTAAAGGATCAGTACTATTCTCTTGACTTCATTACTTTAAATATTTCCATTAATGAATTTTTAAAAATTTATTATTCCTGCCCCCATGTTATAAAAGTTGAGGATATTAGTCCTTCCACATCCCTTCCCCCAGCACCTGATCTTTATTAATTAATATTTATGTTGTCAAGGTATCCAAGTGCTGGAAGACTACTACTACCAGATAGCAAGACTGATTATAAAGCTACTGTAACTGAGACAGCACATGAATGGATAAAATTAGCAAAATGACATATGAGTAAGTTTCATATAAAGATCATATCTAATCTTTTTGCTTTCTGATAGGGAGAAGAGGCGTGAAGGCAAAAAGAGACAGATAACTTGCCATAGCTGAAGTGGGAGGCAGAAGCAGAGTAGAGGGTGGAGATGTTCAATATAAATTAATCTTTCTCTAATGATTAATTTTGCTTCTGGTGGACCCTATTTATTTTCTTCTGAGGACAGATGAATGAACACTGGGTATGAGCAAAGGCATCTCATGTTCTAGTTGGCAGTGGACATGCTCCAAAACAGTTGTGATATGCACCAAAGTGTGAAGGAAGGTCTAGTGAATTCACATGCACAGGAACATCTAGGGTTCTTTGGTCTTTAAGACTAAAGAAAAGGGCCAGGAGATTTCCATCTGCACAGCACAATGGCTGGTGGGAATCTGGGCTACAGCAGTTCATTTCAGGGAATTCTGATGCTAAAAAGGGAATCAAAATATCAGGATCAATAGATTGCTTTGAACAAATATTGTGTGTCTATTATGTGCCAGGCATAGTAAGATGTACTTTGCATCCATTATCTTAACATCATTATAATAATGCTACAATCATAAAAATGCTATGGTGTATTCAGATTCTATGTTATAGATGACAGAACTGAGGCTCAAAATGATAATGGTTATAGGAGAGCTGACATCTGAGCCCTAATTCTAAAACCCATGTTCACAGTATGATTTCAGAGAAAAAGTGCCATAACTTTAATAAGAAAATATTCCACTTTTAAATATAGTTTTTTGAATTATTCTGTTTGATGTCTACATGTCTATTTATGTTAGTTGTATTGTTATATTCTGCCAAAAAAACTTGAACGTTTCTTAAAAGACTTTTTAAAAAAGCAGTTTTATCAACAGGTTCACAATAATACTGAGAGGAAGGTACAAAGATTCCCCTATCCCCCCCACCCCCACCTCCATACAGGCATAGCCTTCCCCATTATTATCATCTCCCACTGTAGTACATTTGTGACAACTGATGAACCTACACTGACACATAACTGCTATTTAAAGTCCATATTTTACATTGGTTCCACTCTTGTTGTTATATATTCTGTGGGTCTGGACAAATGTGTAATGACATGTATCTACCATTATACAGAATATATTCATGGCTCCAAAAATCTGTGCTCCACCTATTATCTCTCCCTTTCCCAATAATCCCTGGCGACCACTGTTATTTTTACTGTCTCTGTAGTTCTGCCTTTCCCAGAAGCTTGAATACCTTAAAAAAAAAATCATGTTGAGTTCTCTTGAATTTGCTTATTAGATGAATAGCAGGCTGTTTATTAATGCTTCATGGATATAAGGGTTGTATGTGGTAGCTCATAATTCTTAGAATATAGAGGAGAAAAAACATGGGAGTGTTCAGTTGACATGAATAATGAAATAGCACCTTAATAACAGGAGATGCATACAGAAGATTCTATGGAAATACAAAATATCAAGTGTTGAGTTCCATCTAAAGGAAATTGGTGGTAATATGCCAGTAGACCTTTTGGCAGTGAGAGAGGAAAGAGAAGGAAGAAACAATACAAACATGTAACCTGAAATGGAAATTATCTGTTTATGGGAGAGGGAAAGTAAGGAGATCAATTTGACTGGAAGAGAGCATTTTACCAAACAGATGGACATACTTTATATAAGAACTGTGCAGGGTTAGATTATAGAAGACCTAGATATTAGTTTGAGTTGAGGCTGAACTCCAGTAGTTTTAAACAGGGAGCCCTATAAATTCTAGAATATTTGAGTAACACTGTTTTAGGGTTTGAAAAGACCTCAGAGTTCATCTACGTCCAATGCCTTAATTTTACACCTGAGGCCAAAGAAGCCCAGGGAAATTAGATTTGTGCAATTTGAGGCACAAACCTGATTTCCTAATTCTAATATCAAGTTTATATTCACTATTCTGCCTCAGGGTATAAAGTGAGTTCAAAACTAGGAATCTTGGACTTCCCTGCAGGTACAGTGGATAGGAACCTGCATGTCAACGTAGGGGTCATGGGTTCGATCCCTGGTCTGGGGAAGATTTCACATGCCGTGGAGCAACTAAGCTCATGTGCTACAACTACTGAGCCTGAGAAGCCACAGCAATGAGAAGCCTGCACACCACAACTAGAGAATAGCCCCTGTTCACTACAACTAGAGAAAGCCCACACAAAAGGACGAAGACCCAACACAGCCAAAAAATAAATAAATAAAAATTATAAAAAACTCCCAGGAGATCTTATTAATTAGATACTTGACTCAATTATGCCATGGGGCCAACACAGGTGAAAAGATCTTTAGGAAAGATTATGTAGGTAGTACTACGTAAGAAGGGCTAGAAAGACATAACAAACAGGAAGCACAGACAGGAGGTTTATCTAGGGCGAGGGGCACAATTTAAGGTCCCGTTGTAAAACTGAGAAGGGGCAAAAAGATTTGGGATCTCAATGCAAAAAATATTAGAAATATTAGAAAGAAGCAAAAACGTTTAACTTCATGCTTTTCAGATATATATATATACCCGGGTAAATGGTTACGCTGGAAAGAAGGTATAAGAGGTTTTAGGTGAGGTCAGTTGTGAGATATCTTAAAGTTCAGGCGATGGTGTAGCATCCATCTATACCCATCTTCTAGAAAGTGGAGATACTGGTTGATCCTGATTGAAAGGTTGGAATCAGAGACACAGACCAAGTGGTAAATAGCAGAGAAGTAAGAGTCACCTTTAAGCAACAGGGAAAACAAATCTGTTGTGTTTTGGGAACAGTCCCCAGTGAAAGGTTGAAAGCATACAAAGAACTTGAACACACAGGGAAGGGAAAAAGGAGACTCAGGGTAATGTTTTCTCTTAGAGCAGAACTCCTTGAAAGAATTACCTATATTTGCTTCCTCCAATTTCTCTCTTCCTCTTCTCTCTTAAACCCACTCTTATCAGTATTTCACTCCTATCGTTCAACTGAAACTGCTCTTGTCAAGGTTCCCAATGGCCTTCATGTGTTAAATTCTGTATGTAGTCAATTCTCAGCTTTCATCTTAACTGATTCATCTACAGCATTTGACACAGCTGATTACTCTATTATAACACCTATTCTTCACTTGGCATCTATAAACCACCCTTCCCTGGCTTCCTTCCTTCTCAGTCTTCTTTTTAGTCTCTCCATCTCTTGAAAGATGGAATGCTCTAAGGTTAAGTTACTGAACCCCTTTTATATCTATATCCAAGAAAGTGGATACAGATAATTCAGTTGCTCAGTCGTGTCCGACTCTTTGCGACCCCATGAAGTGCAGCATGCCAGGCCTCCCTGTCCATCACAAACTTCTGGAGTTTACTCAAACTCATGTCCATCGAGTCGGTGATGCCATCCAGCCATCTCATCTTCTGTCGTCCTCTTCTCCTCCTGCCCCCAACCCCTCCCAGCATCAGGGTCTTTTCCAGTGAGTCAACTCTTCGCATGAGGTGGCCCAAAGTATTGGAGTTTCAGCTTCATCATCAGTCCTTCCAATGAACATCCAGGACTGATCTCCTTTAGGATGGACTGCTTGGATCTCCTTGCAGTCCAAGGGATTCTCAAGAGTCTTCTCCAACACCACAGTTCGAAAGCATCAATTTTTTGGTGCTCAGCTTTCTTCACAGTCCAATTCTCACATCCATACATGACCACTGGAAAAACCATAGCCTTGACTAGACGGACCTTTGTTGGCAAAGTAATGTCTCTGCTTTTTATTTTTTTTTATGTCTCTGCTTTTTAATATGCTATCTAAGTTGGTCATAACTTTCCTTCCAAGGAGTTAAGTGTCTTTTAATTTCATGGCTGCAATCACCATATGCAGTGATTTTGGAGCCCCCAAAAATAAAGTCTGACATTGTTTCCCCGTCTACAGATAACATATATATATACATATCTTGGGTATATTTAAATATATGTATATATATATATGCACATATATTCACATCTGCACATACGTAAAACGACTTCCAAATTTCAAATTTATCTCGCTAGCCTGAACATTTATGACCTTCAGACTCAAATGTCCAACTCTACATCTCCACTCAGATATCTAACTCTGATATCTCTTCTTAAATGTTTAACATGCATCTCAAACTTATTAAAACTGAATTCCTGATCTTCCCCCACAGATCTACCAGACCTTCAGTTTTTCCCATCTCAGTTAACAGCCCACCTATCATTTTAGTTACTCAGACCTGAAGAGTCATATCCTTTAATACATTATTTCTCTTTTACCCCATATCCATTTCATCATCAGCTGGAAATCCCTTCCAAATACGTTAAGAATTTGACTACTTCTCACAGGGTCCTACTATCCTGATCCAAGTCAATATCAACTCAATCTTGATGATTTCAGTAGTTTCTGAACTACCCTGTTTCCATCTTGGTTCCTCTACATTCTATTCTCAAGGTAGCAGGCAGAGTGATAGAATTAAAATATAAGTCAAATCATGTCACTCTGCTGTGCAAAACCCTCTACTGATTCCTTGTCTGAGTAAAAGCCAATGTCCTTATAATGATCCAGAAGGACCTACTAGTATCTATCTGTTAGCTCTCTAATTACATTTCTTACAACTCACTGTACTGATTCAGACAAACTGTCTTCTTCCTTGTGTATGTCAGAGATCACCACTCCTAACAGGAGCTTTGACTTCGTCTGGAATACTCACTCCTCAGATATCTATATATCCTACTCTTCATTTCATTCAAATCTCTGCCCAAATGTTACTGGAACATTCCATTTAAAATTACAAAACCTTACCTGCCCTCTCCACTAAATTCCCTATCCTGCTTCCCTACAATTTTTCTCAAACTTATATTATCATCTAATACCATTTATTTATTTTTGTCTTATTTATTATCCTTTTCTCCCTACTATACTAATTGTATGCGAGCCCGGATTTTTGTTTTGTTTTCAGCTATATTCTTGGTGCATAGAACAATGCCTGGCACATGGTAGGCACTTAATGTATTGAATGAATGAAAGAATGATTTAAAAAAGCACTCCTGAAGAATGAGTGGTTGGCAATATTAAATAAACAGAGGAAAAAAGGGTTTAAAAATCTGGATATGGGTTACATTTATGTAGAAAGCATTTATGAATGATCTAAGGAAAACTTAAAATATATTACATTGGCAGAGGTGACTTGTGCACTGTCACTCTCACCCAAAAATTTTAGATTTTTTCCCCCCATTTATTATTTATTTTAAAATTGAAGTATAGCTGACTTAAAATGTTGTTATCACTCTCATTTTTATTTAAATTTCACCATCACTGCCTTTGCTATTTTCCCCTCTCTAGCACTGATAATGCCACCATCACTGGAGATATTAGAATAAATTAGGCCCTCATGGTGCAGGCCACCATGAGAGGACATTCCTTTTTGACTGAAGCTGAGAAGAAGGTAACTAGCAAAAAATGTAGTAGGAATTTGTTCCTTTTCATCTTCCTTTGTTTGGTGCCTGAGTCTCCTCTTTTAGCAGAATTTCTTTCCTTTTCTTAATCTTGATCATAGAATGTGAATTCGCTCATTCATATTTAAGACAACCAACTGCCAGCATAAAGCTATACATTCAAGTGCAAGAGAATAAGTTAATGAATACCATTAAAGCCTTTATTAAATTTAAAATATAGTTATTATGATTTGTAAACAACTAGAAAAAAATCCCAAACTGATTTAAAATAAAAATTTTCTATAGTCTTACTCATTGGTCTGAAAACATATGTGGCTGAAGAGAACTATGAAAATTTAAGATCAAAAGTGTTATTTCTCTTTTATGAGATTTCAGAAGAAAAACTAATCACTGCATACCTAAAAGAGAAATATAAAATAAATTTAAAAAAAATGAAATGTCCATTAAGCAAGGTATACTAACCTTCTCTTGTAGCAGTGGCTGAAAGTGTTGAACCTTTCCAGATCCTTGTAAGGACTGCCAAATGTTACAAAATTCATCATCATCTCTAGCAGGTACCTGAGGAAGTACAAAAAACTTCTTAAGGAAAACTGAAACATAAATATGCACCAAAAAGACTAGTAGTTACCTACAAGATTTGAGAGGATTTTTGCTTGTTTCCTTTGTTACCATCTACTTACCTGTTTCCTAATCAGTCTATAATAAACCTGTTATTTGGATTTAAAAGTTTGGTTAAAATTTTAGGCCATGAAATTAAATCAAGTTAAATATCTCACATAAAACAATTCAAGTTTTGCCGTCAGGGAGATGAAATAAAGGAAATCACACAAGTTATATGGTGGGCATTTGAAAACTGCTTTTGATAAACATGAAACATAAACATGAAAAACTCCTTTTTACCTTTCAAATTAATGTCATTTCGTAGGGGATAACATAGATCATTTGGGTGATATAATTCAAAATATGAGTTAATCCATGAAGTAAATGTATAAAGAGAAAAGTTATTTTCAAGCTCATTATTTAAATAAAAATCTTACTTGAGTAGGAACAAAAAGTGATTGAGGAGAATGGTTCAGGCCTCCCAAATGCCCAGATGAAACGGATGAATTTGAGCTATAGTGATTCACAGCTGGCTGTGGTTTCACAATGGCTGTCAACTTCTGATTTCCAGTTTCAGAGCGACTCCCATGAGAAAGGTTCACCAAGGCACTTGTTGGCAGTCGATAACCTCTACCAGGTGAGCACCTAAAAGTAAAAAGTTGTATCAGGGTAAGAGGGAACTAAAACTAAATGTGCTAGGGAGAGGAATCAAATAATTTTGGGTGGACTGTTCATAATTTAATTAATAAACATTATTTTTATTTTCAATTAACTGATTGATTTATGGCTGCACCAGGTCTTAGTTGCTGCATGAAGGCTTTTGCTAGTTGAGGCAAGCAGGGGCTACCCTCTCAGTGGGCGGTGGCTTCTCAAAGTTGGGCAGCTCTAGGCTGTGGGCTCAGCAGTTGTGGTGCACAGGCTCAGTGTCCTCCCTGCCCTCCTGCATGTGGAATCTTTCTGGACCAGAGACTGAACCTGTGTTCCCTGCAATAACCACTGGACCACCAGGGAAGTTCTGAATATTACTTTTAAATTCAGGAACTTGAATTTGGAGAAAGATCTCAATTTGTAAGATGATATATCTCTGGAAAGTTTTTGAATAGACTATTCAGTGCTATTAAGTGGGAGAAAAATGTTCCAGAGGTGTAGGGGAGTCTGTGTGAGCTAAGCTTGTCCTCGAAAAGGCTTGCAACAGAATAGCTTAGTTAACTAATGAATTAAATTTCAAACTTCTTTAAAAAAAAATAGTGGTTTATACAGTCTGGGTTATGAAGCTACCCAATGTGCAGCTAGTGTGGCTCTACTGATACAACAGGAAAAATGTTAGCTTTGATCACTTCCATTTCCTGATCAATTGAGTTGAGCTCTTTTTATCCTCATCTTCCTGTCTTAAAGTTCTAGACCTGGGAAGGCTAAGAGACAAGCATTTGTGATTTCTTCCTTCCTGGTCATGATAAAAGTGTTTAGATATTAAAATATGCGCTCTGTGGTCAAAAGTTTTCAACTCTGTCACTTCTTTAGAATGTAATATTCTTATAGTCTGAGATCATGGGGAAGTAGAATTCTTTCATAAGAAATCTTTGTAAGATTTCCAGAAAATATTTTTGTGAGAACAATACTATAAGATTCTGCATTATGAAATGAATATACTGCAGGCAGGCAATCTTTTATATAACTCTCAATCAATCAAGAAATCCAGTGTCTCTACCTAGAAGGAGAAAAACAAACCCTGAGAAAGAAGTTAATCTTAAAAACATATATCAAAAGTTATTTGGCTAAGGTTATTGGTAACCAACTGAAAATCAAAATCAGATATGGGATCCAGACTCTGCTGCTGCATTTAAAGGCACAGACAATGCCTTTGGCTAACAGGCACATTCAAGTTGCAAAACAATAATACCATTCTGAAGGTGATCACTTGCTGTAAGGATTGAAGATTGTGATTTTATGCAAAGAGATTAAGTAAGAGTAATTCACTTTTAATTTTAATTACCACTAATCAAAACAGAAAAGAAACTAAACAAACTTCAGTTGAGTTTTCCAGCTGGTGTCTGGAAAATAAAGGAAAACTGGAAAGGATTTCACTGAATCCTCACAATCACCTAGTGAAGTGTACACCTTCATTATGGATGAGGATATTGAGGGTCAGAATGCCTTTAACTAACCTATCCAAGGAAACACCAAAGTTGAGTGAGAGAGCTCACAATTCTAATATTCCACGGTGCCTCCCATTCTAACAATCCTTTTTTCTGTCACTTTAAACTTTCTATTAATGGCTGCCCAAAATAGACTTGAGGAGGTCTCCGCCATGGTAAGCTAAAAACAAACAATACAACCTTTTTGCTTAAAACCTCCTAGTTCAGTTCAATAGCTATCATGTCCAACTCTTTGTGACCTCATGGACTATAGCACGCCAGGCCTCCCTGTCCATCACCGACTCCTGGAGTTTACTCAAACTCATGTCCATTGAGTCAGTGATGCGATCCAACCATCTCATCCTCCATCCAACCATCTCATCCCTTTCTCCTTCCACCTTCAATCTTTCCCAGCATCAGGGTCTTTTCAAATGAGTCAGTTCTTCTGGGCATCGGGTGGCCAAAGTATTGGAGTTTCAACATCAGTCCTTCCAATGAATATTCAGCACTGATTTCCTTTAGGATGGACTGGTCGGATCTCCTTGCAGTCCAAGGGACTCTTGAGTCTTCTCCAACACCACAGTTCAAAGGCATCAATTCTTTGGTGCTTAGCTTTCTTTATAGTCCAACTCTCACATCCATACCTGACTACTGGAAAAACCATAGCTTTGACCAGATGGACCTTTGTTGGCAAAGTAATGTCTCTGCTTTTTAATATGCTACCTAGGTTGGTCATAACTTTCCTTCCAAGGAGTAAGCGTCTTTTAATTTCATGGCTGCAATCACCATCTGCAGTGATTTTGGAGCCCCCCAAAATAAAGTCTCTCACTGTTTCCTCATCTATTGGCATGAAGTGATGGGACCAGATGCCATGATCTTAGTTTTCTGAATGTTGAGCTTTAAGCCAACTTTTTCACTCTCCTCCTTCACTTTCATCAAGAGGCTCTTTAGTTCTTCTTCGCTTTCTACCATAAGTGTGGTGTCATCTGCATATCTGAGGTTATTGATATTTCTCCCGGTAATCTTGATTCCAGCTTGTGCTTCATCCAGCCCAGTGTTTCTCATGATGTACTCTGCATATAAGTTAAATAAGCAGGATGACAATATACAGCCTTGTCGTACTTCTTTCCTGATTTGGAACCAGTCTGTTGTTCCAGGTCTGGTTCTAACTGTTGCTTCCTGACTTGCATACAGACTTCTCAAGAGGCACGTCAGGTAGTCTGGTATGCCCATCTCTTTCAGAGTTCACCACAGTTTGTTGTGATCCACACAGTCAAAGGCTTTGGCATAGCCAATAAAGCAGAAATAGATGTTTTTCTGGAACTCTCTGGCTTTTTTGATGATCCAGCGGATGTTGGCAACTTGATCTCAGATTCCTCTGCCTTTTCTAAAACCAGCTTGAACATCTGGAAGTTCACAGTTCATGTACTGTTGAACCCTGGCTTGGAGAATTTTGAGCATTAGTTTGCTAGCATGTGAGATGAATGCAATTGTGCGGAGGTTTGAGCATTCTTTGGCATTGTCTCTCTTTGGGATCAGAATGAAAACTAAGCTTTTCCTGTCCTGTGGCCACTGTTGAGTTTTCCAAATTTGCTGGCATATTGAGTGCAGCACCTTTACAGCATTATCTTTTAGGATTTGAAATAGCTCAACTGGAATTTCATTACTGCCTCTAGCTTTGTTCATAGTGATGTTTCCCAAGGCCCACTTGACTTCACATTCCAGGATGTCTGGCTCTAGGTGAGTGATCACACCATCGTGATTAACTGGGTGAAGATCTTTTTTTGTATAGTTCTTCTGTGTATTCTTGCCACCTCTTCTTCTTTTTTTAAAATTAATTTATTTATTTTAATTGGAGGCTAATTACTTTACAATATTGTAGTGGTTTTTGCCATAGATCGACATGAATCAGCTATAGGCGCACATGTGTTCCCCATCCAGAACCCTCCTCCCACCTCCCTCCCCATCCCATCCCCCAGGGTCATGCCAGTGTACCAGCCCTGAGCACCCTGTCTCATGCATCAAACCTGGACTGGTGATCTGCTTCACATATGATAATATACACGTTTCAACGCTACCCTGTCTAATCATCCCACCCTCGCCTTCTCCCAGAGTTTAAAAGACTGTTCTTTACATCTGTGTCTCTTTTGCTGTCTCACATATAGTGTCATCATTATCATCTTTCTAAATTCCATATATATGTGTTAGTATTGGTGATTTTCGTTCTGACTTACTTCACTCTGTATAATAGGCTCCAGGTTCATCCACCTCATTTAAATGCATTATTTTTAATGGCTGAGTAACATTCCATTGTGCATATGTACCACAGCTTTCTTATCCATTCGTCTGCTGATGGACATCTAGGCTGCTTCCATGTCCTGGCTATTGTAAACAGTGCTGTGATGAACACTGGGGTACAGGTGTCTCTTTCAATTCTGGTTTCCTCAGTGTGTATGCCCAGCAGTGGGATTGCTAGGTCATATTTGCCACCTCTTCTAAGTATCTTCTGCTTCTGTTAGGTCCATATCATTTCTGTCCTTTATTGAGCCCATCTTTGCATGAAATTTCCCTTGGCATCTCTAATTTTCTTGAAGAGATCTCTAGTCTTCCCCATTCTATTGTTTTTCTCTATTTCTTTGCACTGATCACCAAGTCTTTCTTATCTCTCCTTGCTATTCTTTGGAACTCTGTGTTCAAATGGGTATATCTTTCATTTTCTCCTTTGCCAGTTATCCTAACTGCCAGTTATCTTTTCTCCCCTTCAAGGTCAAACTTCTCAAGGGTTAGCTGTTTCTTGTCTCCTTTACTCCACTTGCTGTTCACTCCTCAAACCATTCCAACCTAGCCTGAGCGTCTACAATTTCACTAAAACAAATGACAAAGTTATTATGTCTCTCAATTCAAAGAATGTTTCTATTCCTCAAGTTATTTAACCATTAAAAAAATGCAATCTGATCATGTCACATTTCTGATTTTGATAGCTTCATACTGCTTTAAGGATAAAGACCAAGATACCACAATCCTTAGCATGTTCTGAAAGCAGGTTACCAGTTCCTGCACAGTGTGGTCCATGTTCTTTTCCCTTACTCTAATCTTACATAGTTGCTGAGGCTGACACACCTGCATTCTTTTAGTCTTTTAAATGAGTGAAAATGTCCTCTGCTGCATATGCTATTGTTTTTCTGACCACCTGTTACTACTCTTTCAGTACCTAGTCTTCATGTCCCATTTTAAACATCACTTCAAGAAAGACTTTCTAGAACTCTCAGAACACATCACACTCTATTATAGACACCTGAACTATTAATACTTCTTCCCAGCACTTGTCACATTTTAATTAAAAATTATTGTTTTTAGTAAGTTAGTTATATCCCTTACTAAAGTGAAAGTTCTGTGAGGGTAGAAACCATGTCTGTCTTATTAACTGTTACAACCCTAGTAGCAAGTATGATGTCTCATATGTACTAGGAACTGAAATTGTGGACAAATAAGCAAGTGATGTAAAGTCACTGGCCATATGGACATATTTATGAAGTGTAATTATCATCTGGAAATACAAACCTTATTGTTAAGCCTCCAGGAAATTCTTCATCAAATAATACTTCAAATAGTACATCAGCTTCTCTATTAGCTGTTTAAAAAAGAGAGATTGAAAAATCATATGATAAAAAAATAGAATGTGAGTTTTTGGAGTTTTAGAAGCATTACAACTATCAATACAGATGCAAATGAAAAGAAGATAAGCTCACAGATTCCCTTACCGGTATTAACTTAAAGAAAAATAATACTATTTTAAATTAGATGCTGTGAGAATTAATTATATTTTTATCTGTTTTTTATAAGTTGGAAATTATTCACAAAAAGAGAGTTAATTAAAGAGATAACTCTGGAATTTGTAGTTTAGAAAGTTTTACAGTTAGACAAAGGAAATGAAGATTTGAAGACATGGCAATAATGAGAGAAAGAGAATGGAGAGAAAGGATATATTACTAGATAGAATTGGCAGGAGTTTGTGACCTGTATAGATAAAAAGACTGGAGATGGCAAAGATGACTCCAAGGTTCTGGCAGGAGATGACTTGGTAGATAATGGATGTCATGATTGAGACATGATACATGTGAGGAAGACTATGGTACAATAAACCTTAAAGAGGAGCAGAGAAGAATAAATTTGGCAGACAGGATGATAGGATAAAACTGGAGAGTTTAAATTTACTGAAGTTCCAAGGTAAAGTGAAATCATTAGCTGTAACAACATTTGAATTCTAAGCCCAAACTAATCAGAGTCTATCACATAAGTTCAGAACAGAATCTCTCTCTCTCTCTCTCTCTCTCCCCACCTCCACGCTTTCCATTCCCTTGGTTCTGTTTTTCTGGAGAACCCTGATTAATATCATATCTGATACTGTATTAACCCAGGGTAGGCACTGGGGGATATGTCCCTCATTCTCAGTCTTTCATTGTCCAATTGGAACCAGGCCTGCAGAGCTTTGAAGGCTATATCCTTCATCTGACACTTTTACCTAAAATCTAAACCCAAGAAAGTGGGGCTCAATGAGAGGCAAGAGTCTCTTCTGTGAAGGTTTAAGATCCACTTTTCAGGTTTCTTTTCTTGTCTGAGGGAGGAGCCACTTACTGAAAAGATTATTGAACGAAGGACTGTTCACCCCTTTTAGTGGAGATTTCTATGGAGATAATGCATCAGGTGAAGGCAGCAAGATAAATATTCCCCTTTACATTCCATGTCCATGGGATGTATGCTTAATAAATGACAAAGCTTTTTCCACTTAGTGTAGATACAGCTTTAAAATTCTTCTCTAGACAAAATTCTAACTGGTCACTACTATTGAGTGGGGTTGTCAGAAGAAAGGAAACTTCTGTTATCAGTACTAAGGCCTTTTCAGGACAACCTAATCAGACTAGACTTCACTAAGCTCAGAATTTGAACTGCCAATGCATGAGGCCGGGCAGACAGCAGCAGGAGGGTTGCTTCATGACATGCATGTGCCCCTTACCATACCTAGCCTGGGTGTGTTAACCTACTTGACTTGCTTGTCTTCGTTTTAAGCACCAAAAAACACATCCAAAAAATTCAAACAAGAATCAGGGAAGAAAATTCTCTTTTAGAGATAGACCCCAAGAAGATGTGCAAAATATGGAGAACGAGCGCTCAAAGTTAGAAAAGAATCAGGGGAAAGAGTTCAAATCCAAGCTCTGTCACTTATTTGTGTAAACTTGGGCAAGTCACTTAAACTCTTGGATGAAATAGTATCAGGACTTCCCTAATGGCTCACTGGTAAAAAATTTGCCTGCCAACACAGAAGACATGGGTTTGATCCCTGATCCGGGAAGATCTGAGATGCCTCAGAGCAACTAGGCCATGCACAACTATTGAGCCTGTGCTCTAGAGCTGGAGAGCCACAACTACTGAGGCCATGTGCTGCAACTACTGAAGCCCAAGCACCTAGAGCTGGTGCTCCACAACAAAAAAGCCACCACAATGAGAAGCCCACGCACCACAACCAGAGAGTAGCCCCCACTTGCCACAACTAGAGAAAAGCCCACACAGCAACAAAGACCCAGCACAGCCAAAAATAAATAAATAAATAAATAAATAGTTATAATAAAAAAAGAAACAATATCTACTTCTCATGTGGATGGGAGGGTTAAACGTAAACGTGCCCTGCACCTGCACACCACTGCCAATAAATAAGCAGTTCTCTTAGGCTCATGGCCTGTCTGCTCTTCCATCTTTCTGGACAGTGAGACCAAGACTGAGTGCCTGAGATATGGAAGGACAGTGCTGCTGGTGCCCTAGCCTCTAGGTACCTGATGTGTTCCTTTGGGTTGGGTTGACTAGTTTTAGAATCTATATTGCAAAGCTTCTCACTCCAGGCATCCCTTTGAAGAATTTTTAGATTCTTAGCTAATTCTTCCCTTTTCTTTCCATACTCATTTTTCCTTTTCTTTTTGTAAAAAACACAACATAAAATTTATCATTGTAAACATTTTTAAGTGTACAGTACTATAGTGTTAACTATATGTACATTGTTGCACAATGGATTGATAGATTTCTTTTATATACATAATCTAGTTGTATTCATAAAATTCAAATTAACATGCAAATCTCTTAACTGTAAATAAGCTCATACATCATGTTTGTTTATTTCTCTGCAGAAATCAAGTGATTACAAGGACTATTAAGGCAAAGCCCCAGACACTGTTAGATGAAACCCAGCAAAATGTTTGTCTTAGTTTCATGAAAACACATATATGTATTCTGACCAAGCTTTTAGGTAATTTTAATGTGTTACACATAAGCTACCAAATTTTCAGCAGTCCTTCTCCAACTTTCACATCTTTTAATTATTTCCCAGATGATTACACAGATGGAAAAGGAGAATTTCCTTTGAAAACTGAAGCTGGAAAAAATTAACTAAAACATAAAAGGATTTAGTGTTTTTACTGATTTACAGTTGCTTTCTGCTTGTATATAAGACATACAGTATATATATATAAAAGACATACAGTATAAATGCAGATGGAAACATATCAAGTATTGAGTTATTACCCCCTTTAATTCCTATGATGGTGCCCCGAAGGCCAACTGGAACGGAAAAGTTCTCTCTCACATTTACAACACGGTCAAAGAGACGAAATTCTGCATCCCGATCAGGAATAACCCCATGTTGCTGTTCTAAAGGCTAAAAAGAAAGATGTAAATATAATTATCAACTGTCATTTAAAATTTTTCTACTAATATACTGAAAACATTTTGTTCCTTCTGTACTTTCAAAGCAAAACAACAACTATGAATTCTCTGACAGGAAACTTACTCTGTATAGCAAATGGGGCTTCACTGTCACTCGAACTTTCTTATTATTCTTTCTTTGCTGAGGAAAAAAAAAATTAAAAATATTAAAATTAAAAACTATTATCTAGTATTTGCACATGCCTTAATTTTAAAAAGCCAAAAGAAGTCAGTAATTTTAAGACTATATGACTTTCTTCAGATGCAAGCAAGGATGAATTAATTAATTATTAAACCTTTTTAAAGTAAAACTTTTTTGTTGACATATACAAAAATTTTTAATATGATAAAAAAATGACGGTCTTACTGACAAGTTTTCAGCCCAAGGCAGATGCCTACTGAAAACAGCAAGAAAGAAAGATATGAGAAGAAATTTAAAGCAATTTAAAAGAACTGTGCCTGGAAGATTGCATATGAAAATACAACCCATATGCTTAACACATCCCTAGGCATTATTACTCGGAGAAGGCAATGGCACCCCACTCCAGTACTCTTGCCTGGAAAATCCCATGGATGGAGGAGCCTGGTAGGCTGCAGTCCATGGGGTTGTTAAGAGTCGGACACAACTGAGCGACTTCACTTTCATTTTTCACTTTCATGCATTGGAGAAGGAAATGGCAACCCACTCCAGTATTCTTGCCTGGAGCATCCCAGGGACGGGGGAGCCTGGTGGGCTGCCGTCTATGGGGTCGCACAGAGTCGGACATGACTTAAGTGACTTAGCAGTAGCAGGCATTATTACTACCAATAAAATTATAGCATTGATTAGAAAATATGGCATTCAAACCTGATTATGAGGCAAATTAACAAACAAGGGCATTTTCACTATAGGTCCCAATACATAGCTACTGAATAAAAAATTATGGGGAATAACTACTCAAAGTGTGATCACTTGGGAGCTTGTTAGAAATGCAGAACATCAAGAGCTGCTCATCTGAGAGCTACTGAATCAGAACCTGTATTTTAACAAGATCCAGTGATTCATTTGGACATAAAGTTTAAGAAGTACTGCTCTGAGGGTGGAATCCAGAATGTGTGTTTTTTAAAATATTTCTCCAGTAATTTTGATAATTAGCTGAGTTTGGGAACCACTGTCCACTAAAAAAACTATGGATACTTTTAATCATGACCCTGTATTAAACAGAAAAGTTTAAATTATATTCAGAATGTTAAGTTCAGTTTTTCTCCTTCTTTAATTACCTAATAACACTATAAAACTGAAAAGGGGAAAAAATCACTCATAACTGCTCCTCCTTGACTCGTTAACAGGTTAAAAAAAAAACCCTGTCTTATCTATATGTACACACATTTTAAAAATGCTACTGTCAAAATGACAGACTACAACTTTGCATGTGTATTATCAGTTTGCAAAATAAGGGGAGAGTGTGCAAAACATTTTATAATGCTCTGCATCCAAATGGGTTCAGATAAAATTTGGGGACTTAAAAGTTATAAACTTTTGTTAAGTGGCTAACTCATTTCAAAAGTAATGCTGGACAAATAAGACTTTACATTGAAAGACAACTATTAAAAAGAAATGCAGATTTTCTATATTCAACTGAATATCATTAACCTTTCAAAATATCAAACTCTTGGCTCCAAGCCTTATATTATTTTCTTAAGAGTCATCTAGTGGTGATTTTTCAGGCTGTATTCACAGCTCTTCAGCACATGACAAAAGAATTCAAATAATAACAGCTAAGTATTATTAAACATCAGTAATAGCCAGGCATTATTAGAATGAGTTTATATGTATTAATGTAGATGATTTTTTTTTTTTGAGGACTATATGAGATGGTACTATTTTATTCTTATTTTACCAGTCAGGAAATGCAGGCACGGAAAGGTTAACTATCTTGCCTAAGGTTTTAAGCATTGAAAGAGGGATGGGGGACCAGGGCTTCAGACCCAGTTCTTAACTTACTCTGCTATTAGTTCAAACAAGAGAGCACTGTGTGAGCAAACAACATTATTTTAATAAAAAGGCAAATGTGTGAAAAATAAAATTGTAGGCTTAGAAAAGGAACATAATTAACCCATTTTCTATTGCATCAAGGCAGAGAATCAAAATAGATAAAAACAGTTAAGCTTACATAGAAGGTTATTACTTTTTAAAATCAAGACATAAGAATGGAGAGTTTAAGTGGAATTTCAAAAATACACAGTAGTTGAATGAGTTTATCAGTGGGAAAGTACATTTTAGGAGTGATTCTGTAAAAGTGAAATAAACGTAATTTTTATGTTCTATAAAAAGATGGGAACTTCCCTGGTGGCACAGTGGACAGGAATCCACTTGCCAATGATGAGAACATGGGTTCAATCCCTGGTTCAGGATGATTCCACATGCCGTGGAGCTAGGCATTATGTTCCACAACTACTGAGCTCAAGTGCTATGACTACTGAAGCTAAGTGCCTAGAGCTTGTGCTCCACAACAAGAGAAGCCACCACAATGAGAAGCCAGTGCACTGCAACTAAGAGTAGCCCCCCTCGAAGAAACTAGAGAAAGCCCATGCACAACAACAAAGACCCAGTGCAGCCAAAAAATAAATAATTAAAATAAAAATGAATTGTATCTTTAAAGAACTTAGAATAGGAAAGAACTGAGAATTAACCTTATTTCTCAATCACAAACTTTTTATTGACTCGACTCATAAAATATTAATTCTTAAAATCAGAAACAGTCCATGGAATTCTCTAGGCCAGAATACTAGAGTGGGTAGCCTTTCCCTTCTCCAGGGGATCTTCCCAACACAGAGATTGAACCCAGGTCTCCCACATTGCAGGCGGATTCTTTACCAGCTGAGCCACAAGGGAAGCCCAAGAATACTGGAGTGGGTGGTCTATCCTTTCTCCAGTGGATCTGCTTGACCCAGGAATTGAACTGGGATCTACTGTATTGCAGGCAGATTCTTTACTAACTGAGATTATCAGGGAAGCCCTCAGAAACACTACAAGGACATAAAAATTTAAACACTATGGGCTTTCTTATATTGACATACATTTATATTTATGTAGACAAACTTGATGGACACTAGAAAAGGCTGGAATACTTTTTAAAATTATAGAATAATTTGATATCATTTAGAATCACTAAATATATGTTTTATTTGATTGATACAAATTATTTATAGGCTAACAAATAGTTTATTTAACTTCAAATCTCATCAGTAATCTTCATTATTGAAAATTATACCTTGCACTTTTCAATTTCTTCTTCAATTTTCTCTACAATAGCTGCATCCAGAATTTGTAAATCACAAGAAGACCGAGACAAAGTACTGACAGGATGTCCCTTTAGCCAAGTAATAATTTCTTGAACTTTCTCAGCACTATATTAAAAACAATAATTTTTTCACATTAATTAAAACTTTCTGAGGACTTATATAAAAAGCTTGATATAAACTTTCTGGAGGCTGTGAATTATAAATGATATAAAATATTTAATTAACCACTATACTTAATTGAGACTAATTATAAATCTAATGTAATGTAAATATGGACATTACTTCTCAGTAATTAAAAAACACAAAAATTACTTTAAAAGTACTTTACTGATATAAATGAAAGAAAAAAATCATTTTAAGATCTTAAAGCAAGAACAAAACCCTCCCCCCAAAAGCAATATAAATTCTTGAGAAACTAACTACTACTTAACAGTGGAACCACTAAGTTGAGCTATGAGGCAATGAATCTCATAAATTTTGCTTACCCATTCTCATTTTCTCCAGGCCAAATGTCATCTTCATAGAACACATCCTCTTGGCTATTTTTGGCTATATAACTGAATAGTTCTGGAGCTCTAGCCAAAGAAACAAATGATAACATTGCTTTTAAAGATTATACATGCCAAATTTCATAAAAACTTCTGATCAAATAATTCTGGGTCTTAAGGGGATATATTAAATATATTGAGAACTGATTACTACACACATATAAGGGATAGAGAGTAAAAAATTCAAAGTATTCACAGGCCCTCATAAAAAGATGATGGAGAAATAACAATTCATAAATATAATAAACTATTACAAATACTTATAAACTTCAGTCACTGATTCTGTCCTTCTTGGACTATAATGACAGGTGATAAATATACAAAATAATATGTACAGGTTCACAATAAAGCTAGAGCACTTCACAATAAAATGAATGAAAATCTTTTAAAAGTTTCTTCTGATATTTTTTTTCTTCTGATATTCTTCAAAATTCCACTGTTCCCTGAACACTGTAGCAGTTACTTCCAAATACATATACCAGACAGAATATATGTGCTTATTTTTGCTCCTTTCCCAGCCTGGACCTAGAAGACAGATGAAGAAAGAAGCAGAGAATCTGATAGCATATGTGAGTTAACAAAACTTTAGAAACTGAAAACTGAATAGAGAAGTGTGAAATGATTTGACAGATGGGAATAAGCTGTACCCTAAGCCACCAGAGTGGGAAGTCAACAAGAAGCAAGTTGATGCGAACTGTGGCAGTCTGCAAAAGCTCAGGAGATATGAACTCTGTATGTTTTAATGCCACACTATGGGGTGAGGTTTATGAGGCTTTTAGTTGAAAAATTTGTATAATAAACAGTTAGGCAATCACCTCTACCTCAGTGTAAATCCTGTAGTTTATTTTTGGAGAAGTTGAACAGGGGCTGCTCAATCCTTGTATATTCCAGGCACAGGAAACTGGATGCGAGGGGCATGAGGAGAGGATAGGTGCTCTACTGAAAACAGGGCATAAAAGAAAGTATAACTACTATATGTGCTACTAGGAAGCAGGCTAGGAAGTATGACATCTTTAAGAAGCAGACCCTGAGATGAAGATAAACATGGAGGAAGTTTATTAGTGTGGTCTGTGAAAATAACACCTGTGGAAGGGAAGGAAGCAGAACTGGGCACACGTAGAAGTTGGGCTGTCGTTCATTCTTAATGAACGCCTTGGCCAGCAGCATAAAGATCTCAAATCAGGATGGCTCCCCAGACTTATTCTGAACTGGGACAGTCAGGTTGGCTGAGCCTTTATATCACTGTATTTATTTTTTTAAACATATCTCCTTGTTGACGAGGTACTGGATATGACTATTGCAGGAAAGGGATGTAACTATACGTGAGTCAGTTCTCTTCTGCCAGGCAATTTCTGCAGAGGTCTTACTGCCGAGGGCTGAGAGACAGCAGCAACCCTGCTGCCCAGGGAATAGATTTTCAGTCCTGAAGAGGCACCTGGGGGTGTGCTACAGAATCCACTATGTAATGAAACCCCATTCCTCTGGTTAATTTCCAGAACACTTGAAGTTTGTTTTGTTCTCCACATCTGTGCTCCAAGAAAAACACTGGAGAACACATTTCTGGGAAAACTACTCAGCCCAACAGAAAAGATATACATATAGGTAGTGATATTTGGAGATGCTCTGCCAAAATAGCCCAGTTCCACTGAACAAGCCTAATTGAAGCACATTAAATTTCCAATCAGTTTTTTTAACACTGCACACTAAAATATGGTAAGACACTAAAGAATTACCAGGCCAAAAGAAAAAGAAAAAGAAAAAAAAAAAGCTTCAAAACAAACAAACAACCCCTTCCCACCCCAAATCCAAAAACACTTTAACATGAAAGGAGAGATAAAATCAAACAGAAAAGAAAAAAAAAGAAAAGCAATCTGTAGAAAACAGAAAATATTGAGAACAGAAGAAAATCTAGATTGCTATCATTAGATAATAAAAGATATTTCATTTATTATAAGAACAAGATGCTATATATTAGGAATGTCAGAGAATGAGGATACTCTTTTAGAAATTAAAAATGGTTAAATAAAAATAAAAAATGGTGTCAGTTAAATGTGAAGAAATCTCCCACAGAGTAGAACAGGAGTATAATATAAAAAATGGATAAGAAGAGATAAGAAAATTAGGAGAATTAATCCTGTAGGTCTAACATCTATCAAAAGGAATCTTGGAAAGAAAACAACAAAATGGTGACAAGGAAATTATCAAAGAAATAATACGAAAGTTTTTTGGAATGGAAGGGCATCAGTTTCAAGTCTGAAAGGGCTCAACAGCAAAATGAAAGAAAAATGACACACCATCGTATTATTAAACAGCTTTGGTAAAGGAACATTCTAGAAAGGTTTCAGAAAATGAAAATAGATCATCCATAAAGATTTAGAATCAGAATGGCACAAGACTTCTTGACAGCAAAGGAAACAAGAGAATGGAGCAGTGCTTTTCAAATTCTGAACGAAGAGAACCTCCAATCCAGGACTCTAGACCCAGGTGAGCTATCAATCAAGTATCAGGGAGGTTTGAAGAAATGTCCAGACGTGTAGGGTTTCTCAGGAAGCTACCTGCATATATCAAGTTGAAAAGTCAAGAAAAAGCAGGCTAAATATGACATTTTAAAAGAAATATGTAGGTAAACAGAAGAAATAATCTAAATTTTCAGATGGTAATTTGGGGTTGAAATGTATCCCCTCCATCCCTCTCAAATAAGAGTTGAAGTTTCAACTCCTAGTACCTCAGAATGTGACTTTACTGTGAAGTAGGTTTTTTTTTTAATGTCTTTAAAAAAAATACTTAAGTACAGTTGATTTACAATGTTGTACCAATCTCTGCTGCAAAGTGACTTAGTTATAAACATACATATATTCTTTTATATTCATTTCCATTATGGTTTATCACAGGATATTGAATACATGAAGTAGGGTTTTAAAAGAAGTAATTAAACTAAATGTCATTAGGATAAGCCCCAATTCAATATGACCAGTGTTCTTATAAAAGGGGAAATTTGGACAAAGAGGTAGATACAAAGGAAAGATGATATGCAGCAAAGGAAACCATAGACAAAACAAAAAGATAACCCACAGAATGGGAGAAAATATTTGCAAACAGTGACTGACAAAGGATTAATCTCTTAAATACACAAAAAGTTTACATAGCTCTACGTTAGAAAAACAAACTACTCAATCAAAAAATGGGCAGATCTATGAGAAATAGACATTTCTCCAAAGAGGACACACAGATGGCCAAAAGGTACATGAAAATATGTTCAACAGTGCTAGAGAGAGTGTGGAGAAAGGAGAACCCTCCTATATTGTTGGTGGGAATATAAATTGATACAACCACTATGGCAAATAGTATGGAGGTTCCATGAAAGACTAAAAATAGAATTACTATCGGATCCAGCAATCTCACTCCTGGGACAGTATCTTAAGAAAAACATAATCCAAAAAGATAAATGCACCCTAATATTCACTGCAGCACTATTATTTACAATAGCCAAGACATGGAAGCAACAGAAATGTCCACCGGCAGAAGAATGGATAAAGAAGATGTATCCATATATTCAATGGAATATTATTCAGCCATAAAAAGGTTTGAAATAATGCCATTTACAGCAACATGAATGGACCTAGATTATCATACTAAGTGAAATCAGACAGAGAAAGACAAATATAATATGATATCACTCATAGGTGGAATCTAATTTTAAAAAAATGATACAAATAAACTTCTATATTTGTACATCATACAAATGTACAAAACAGAAACAGACTTTCAAAAACAAACTTATGATTACTAAAGGGGAAACGTGGGGGACAGGGATAAATCAGGAGCTTGGGATGAACACACATACACTACCATATATAAGATAGATAACCAACAAGGACAGAGGAGCCTGGCGGGCTACAGTTCATAGGGTCGCACAGAGTTGGACACAACTCAAGTGACTCAGCATGCATGCATAACCAACAAGGACATATTATATAGCACAAGGAATACTATTCAATGTTCTGTGATAACCTGTAAGGGAAAAGAATGTAAAAAAGAAAGAATATATATATGTTTTAATATAACTGAATCACTTTGCTGTACACCTGAAAGACAATGCTGTAAATCAACTATACTCCAATAAAATTAAAAGAAAAAGAAGGTATTAAGACACATAGGGAGAAAAACCATGTGAAGATGGAGGATTGGGGTAATACAGATATAGGCTAAGGAACAAAACTTGTGAGGCTATAAGAAGCTAGGAGGGAGGCATGGACAGTTCCTTCCCTAGCACCTCCAGGGCAGGTATGGCCCTATCAACACCTTGATTTTGGACTCTGGTCTCCAGAACTGTGAGACAATAAATTCTTGTCATTTTAAGCCACACAGTTTGTGGTACTTTGGCAAAGCAGCCCTAGAAAACTAATGATTCTCAAATATGAGAGAGAAACCAGTGAAACAATGGAGAGAACATTCAAGCATTTAACAGAAATAAGAGATATTTCCTGTAAATCTTTGACACTGAGTAAAATCAGTAAATCCTGGTACTCAGATTTCTCACTTTTATAATGAGGAGTTGAGACCTTTTGATTTCTCAGACTATTTCAGTAATAAAAATCAATAATTCTAGGATAGTAATCAACTGTCCAGCTGGAGTTTTAAGAAAATTCACTATGCCAAGGGTTGTTGTGTTTATACATATTAATTTTATTACTACTGACACAGACATTTAAACTAGTAAAAAATTTGTGACAGTAAATTAAGGAAATTTTTAATTAAAAATTAAATTCTCATTATCCTTTTTCACTGTGAATAATTTAAGTACAGTATTTTCGCACTCTATTTTAGTTAATGTCTATAATACTCCATGACATTAAATCAATTTATATGTATCATGTTTTACTAAAGGAAACACTTTCCTTATCAGCAAGGGAAAATCCTTATCACATTCTTATGTTTTTGGATGCGTCGTAGGATCCTGCCACAGGAACTTACCTCTCCAAGTACTCTGCAAGAAGCTGTTCTGCTGCAGATGAATACATCCATTCGTTTCCAACTTTCTTAGTATATCCAGGTACCTCCTCATTTTTTTTGTTGAATTTGAGATTCAAACCCACATTTGCTTTATGGTCTCCATGAGGGCTGAATTTAAACCACACACACACATACACACAAAAGTTTTAAAATTTTGTTCAAAGAATACAAAGCTTTGCTTTCAATTTTTAGAAAAGTTTTCTATGTTTTAGCTATCATGGTTATTTCCAAAGTAGTAGAAGTAGAAAAACTAGAGGAAAGGCTTCAAAACCCAAGTTATCAAAGCATATAAATAGATTATATAATTAGAGAGGAGAATGAAATAGGAAAATTCAGGGAAATATATTATGAGATTCACACACACCTTCTGATACCTTTTTTCAAGGTTCAATTTGTTAGCTGCTAAAAATAAGAACTGTCTTTCCAACCACCTACAGCACGTGCCATTTAGATGAAAGATCACCATCAGAGGATTTATACGGAATTTTTAAGGAAAATACAAAGCAATAAGAGAAAATAAATACTGAAATATTAACCATTTTATTTTTATCATTTATTTTTTTCTGCCACTTTTAAGTAAATTTCTCTAACATAAACTTACTTTCTCCTAGATCCTCTTCCAATAAAAATACTTCCTGTAAACCTTGAAACAAGGTATCCACTCACTCCAAGGCGACTGGCCAACACATATCCTGGGTTGTACTTTATAGAATATTTCTTTAAATATAAAAACAAAAAAGTCAATTATGGAAACAAAATGCATTAAAGCAGTATATCTTTACCTTTAAAATCTGGAGACAATCAAGACACCACTAACATTTTGGATTGTGGCAATTAAAAGATTTTTTTAAAAGTAAGTGACCTATTTTCCCACCCCACCCCCAACTTTTTTTAAAGAGGATTTATAGGTAGAATTTTTCTGCTCTTTTCTATCCTTAAAGGACAGGATTCCCAAGGATGAATGAAAGGGGGAGGAAATAACACAGTTTGTGAAACTGTCTCAAGACATAAACTCTACTGTAAGTACTAAATGGCAAGTTCTATAGGTGAGAACTAATTTTAAAAAATTACTTTTCATATTCTAAGAAGGACCTGGTAAAGTACCAGGGACAAAATGAGGTCTTGATAATTACAACATTGAATTAAAACATGAGTATGTCATCAAAATAGTTGCTACTGAGCAAGACTGAGTGCCCTTCATATGTGGATATATGTAACATTTATTTCTCCTAATTACTAATTATCATATGAAAATAACAAGTATGTAGAGGCTCATAATAGCATCGTTAATATAATTCAGTCAATGAAATGTAACCTTTATTTATGTATTTAGGGGAAGAAACTATGAAGATAGTCAACTTAAAAAGAAGTATCAGATCATATAATTTTTAACCAGGAGGCAAATTACTCACACATTCAGTACCAACGCGGGTAAGCTATCACATACTACTAACATCATGTGTGCAATAATACACACATACTTATTTTATATAAATTTCATATACTATATTCTTGTAAATGAATATATAAATACAATAAATGCTATATTTATTAATAAATTATATAATTATTTTATATTCTTATTTCATGGGAATATAAGGATAGTTTATCATCAGTAAAGTGAAATTTCCAGAGATTTGTAAGGAATTATTTTCCACCATTATTTTTTTTAATGATCATGTCTATAATGACCCCTAAATGAACAAATTCTTTAGGCACTTGAGACAAAGAGTCACTTTTTTTTAAAAAGTCACTCAGTCGTGTTCACTCTTTGTGACCCCATGGACTATATATACAATCCTTGGAATTCTCCAGGCCAGAATACTGGAGTGGGTAGCCTTTCCCTTCTCCAGGGGATCTTCACAACCCAGGGATCGAACCCAGGTCTCCTGCATTGTAGGCGGATTCTTAACCAGCTGAGCCACCAGGGAAGCCCAAGAATACTGGAGTGGGCAGCCTATCCCTTCTCCAGCAGATCTTCCCAATCCAGGAATCGAACCAGGGTCTCCTGCATTGCAGGCAGATGCTTTACCAACTGAGCTACTAGGGAAGCCCCATAAAGTCACTATCACAATACATTAATATGCTAGTAAAGAATGCAATTTTTCCATCAAAATCATTATCAGATTTAGAAATAATACAAACAAATCAAGTAATGCTTTCCAGAATAGAAAGGAAGAATTAAGGCAGTAGTTCTCTATCAGAGATCATACCACTTTTTGAATAAGCATTTGAACAACAATTAATGACACAGGCTACAAGTACTTAGTGTCCAGGGACCAAGGATGCCAACTGTCCTGGCATATACAGGGCAGTTCTCTTTAACACACAGTTGACCCACTCAAGAAAACAATTAGTACTCCTTTTGAAAAATACTGGGTTATAGTATGGTTAAAATTAATTAAATCACCATAAATATCCTAGTATATGTAAAATAAGAAGCAGAGAAAGAAGGTTTGAGTGAAAGTTAAAGAAGGCATTTAAAGAGAAAGAAAATATACTGGAGAAGGCATGCCTGTACACTTAGAACTGGGCAGGCTGTTTCAGATCTAGAAAAAGCCAAGGATGAAGCAACACAAGTTCTACCTCCACTGACTCCCAAACAAAGCTCTAGCTTCTTCATTTAAAGGTTCACGTTCCTGATTTCCTGACTATGACTTCTGAATTATTTCTCCAAAAGAGACCCCATGGCAAGATTTTAGGGCCTTCTCTGCTCTTCATAAAGGTTCCTCATGTGTATGCTGATAACTAACACCTTAAATTCATTTCTTAGGAAGTAAAGTTTTAGATTTTACCACTAGTGAAAATAAAATATAAGTAGCAACAGTTGGCTAAATGTGAATTAATTTCAGTCAAGTTAATTATCTAATCAATCAGTATGAACAAATGACAGATATCAGGATTATCACCTTATTTAAAAGGGAAAAATAAAAGAATGTCATGAACTTAAGTGCAGTTTCTAATTTTGTCCAGCGACTGTTCATCTTTAGCTGAATAGAGATGCACAATCTTTGCAAGAAAGTCATTTGTCACTTGTAACCAAAAGTTCAGGCTTTAACTATGAAAAGCTTTAAAAAACCGGTCTATTCCCAGAAGGTATACTAATCAATGTGCCGCTTACAAGCTTGAACAAAATAACCCATAACAACTATTACAGATTAATAATAGGATTTCAGCAGTTTTTTTCACCCCAAAGATCTGCATGAAGTTTTGAGCACAGATGCCATACTTATTTCTAAAAAATACTACGGGCAACTGTGAGAGAATTTAATCAGTGTTAAATAAAATATTTGCAATAACTCAAAGGAGGTACCAAAAATATCCTTCTAACATTTTAAAAGTTAATTCTAAATTAAACAATACAGACTGTTATACTCACATGCTGGTTCTGTATTAAAGCATCAAGATTGGGTTCACATGGAATGCTGAAAACCACACGAATTCTGCCTTCTGTAATCACATCCCCTGAATCCTGAACCTTAGAGTGAAAAAAAAAATCACAATATATTTGAGTCTCTTTCATTACATTTTATTTACTTATTCTTCTACTTATTCAAACAGCTTATTATTTCTGAAATACAGTAAAACAAGGTGGATAGTGGAAATTTTCTTGGAACTTATAAGTGAATGTGCTTATATTATAAATTTGAGTCACTGTACTTTGCTTTAACCAGTTGTTAACCAGTCTTTTTATTTAAAAAAAAAAAACACAAAAAACTAACTTCAATTTGCAAATAAGTTCAAACTACCAAAAAGTTGCAAAAATAATAAGTCAAAGAACATTTACCCAGATTCACCTATTATCAGCATTTTACTAACGTTTGTGCTCTATGGGTATTTGTGTGATTCCATACTCAGTCATTAAGTTGTGTCCAACTCTTTGTGACCCCAAGGACTGTAGCCCAACCAGGCTCCTCTGTCCATGGGATTTCCAAGGCCAGAATACTGGAGTGGGTTGCCATTTCCTTCTCAAGGGGATCTTCCTGACCCAGGAATAGAACCCAGGTCTCCTGCTTGGCAGGAGGATTCTTTACTCCTGAGTCACCGGGAAGCACCCATGTGTGTATTTACATATACATAATTATTTTCTGGAAATTTCTGAGGGTATATTATATATATCATATATGGGCTTCCCTGGTGGTTCATGGTAGGGAATCTGCCTGCAATGCAGGAGACCCTTGGATCAGGAAGATCCCTTAGAGAAGGGAATGGCAAATCACTCCAGTATTCTTGCCTGGAGAATTCCATGGACAGAGGAGCCTGCAGGCTATATACAGTCCAAGGGGTTGCAGAGTTGGACATAACGAAGCGACGAACACTTTCACCATGTGTATATTTCAGTTCAGTTCAGTTGCTCAGTTGTGTCTGACTCTTTGCGACCCCATGAATTGCAGCACGCCAGGTCTCCCTGTCCATCACCAACTCTCAGAGTCCACTCAAACTCATGTCCATCGAGTCGGTGATGCCATCCAGTCATCTCATCCTCTGTCGTCCCCTTTTCCTGCCCCCAATCCCTCCCAGCATCATTTTCAATGAATCAACTCTTCCCATGAGGTGGCCAAAGTACTGGAATTTCAGCTTCAACATCAGTCCTTCCAATGAACACCCAGGACTGATCTCCTTTAGGATGGACTGCTTGGATCTCCTGGCAGTCCAAGGGACTCTCAAGAGGCTTCTCCAACAACACAGTTCAAAAGCATCAATTTTTTCGTGCTCAGCTTTCTTCACAGTCCAACTCTCACATCCATACATGACCACTGGAAAAACCACAGCCTTGACTAGACGGACCTTTGTTGGCAAAGTAATGTCTCTGCTCTTTAATATGCTATCTAGGTTGGTCATAACTTTCCTTCCAAGGAGTAAGTGTCTTTTAATTTCATGGCTGCAATCACCATCTGCAGTGATTTTGGAGCCCAAAAAAATAAAGTCTGACACTGTTTCCACTGTTTCCCCATCTATTTCCCATGAAGTGATGGGACCAGATGCCATGATCTTAGTTTTCTGAATGTTGAGCTTTAAGCCAACTTTTTCACTCTCCTCTTTCACTTTCGTCAAGAGGCTTATTAGTTCCTCTTTACTTTCTGCCATAAGGGTGGTGTCATCTGCATATCTGAGGTTATTGATATTTCTCCTGGCAATCTTGATTCCAGCTTGTGCTTCTTCCAGCCCAGCGTTTCTCATGATGTACTCTGCATATAAGTTAAATAAGTAGGGTGACAATATACAGCCCTGACATACTCCTTTTCCTATTTGGACCAGTCTGTTGTTCCATGTCCAGTTCTAACTGTTGCTTCCTGACCTGCATATAGGTTTCTCAAGAGGTGGGTCAGGCGGTCTGGTATGCCCATCTCTTTCAGAATTTTCCACAGTTTATTGTGATCCACATAGTCAAAGGCTCTGGCATAGTCAATAAAGCAGAAATAGATGTTTTTCTGGAACTCTCTGGTTTTTTTGATGATCCAGCAGATGTTGGCAATTTGATCTCTGGTTCCTCTGTCTTTTCTAAAACTAGCTTGAACATCTGGAAGTCCACAGTTCACGTAATGCTTAAGCCTGGCTTGGAGAATTTTGAGCATTACTTTACTAGTGTGTGAGATGAGTGCAATTGTGCGGTAGTTTGAACATTCTTTGGCATTGCCTTTCTTAGGGATTGGAATGAAAACTGACCTTTTCCAGTCCTGTGGCCACTGCTGAGTTTTCCAAATTTGCTGGCATATTGAGTGCAGCACTTTCACAGGATCATCTTTCAGCATCTGAAGTAGCTCAACTGGAATTCCATCACCTTCACTAGCTTTGTTCGTAGTGATGCTTTCTAAGGCCCACTTGACTTCACATTCCAGGATGTCTGGCTCTAGGTGAGCTATCACACCACTGCGATTATCTGGGTCGTGAAGATCTTTTTTGTATAGTTCTTCTGTGTATTCTTGCCACCTCTTCTTAATATCTTCTGCTTCTTTAGGTCCATACCATTTCTGTCCTTTATCGAACTCATCTTTGCATGAAATGTACATAATTACTTTTTGGAAATTTCTGAGAGTGTATTAAATACATCACATCTGTAACCACTAAATATTTTGGTAAATAAGGATATTTTATTATATTACCATAGTATAGTTATCAAGTACATAAACTTACAACAAATACTTTAATCTACTGCCTGGATATCAATTTTGTCTGTTGACCTAAAAATGACTACATTTATAGAAAAGTCTTTTTCTCCCTCTACTACAGGACCAAGCAAGGATCAGATATTGCATTTTGTCATATCTCTTTAGCCTCCTTTAATCTAGAATTTACCCAGAGTGCCTTTTTTTTGGGGGGGGGGTTAATTATATATATTTCTTTTTTTTTTTTTATACACTAACCTTTCAAAGAATACATTTCATTCCTCCCTCTCCACCCTGTGTTTTTAAAAAAAGTTCTACAATTTGGATTTTTCGAGTGCTTTTTTGTGATTAGGTTAGTGTTATATATTCTCAGCCAGAAGAGTACACAGAGAATATGTCCTTTGTAGGCTATCCCGTCTGGAGGTACAGAATATTCACCTGCTCCTCAATGATATTAATATTAATCATATAATCAAGATGTCACTCAACTTCTTTATTATACAATGATAGTTTTTTGTTTTCCCTGCAACTAAATAAACAACCTATGGGGAGACATTTTCTAAGACCATGAAAATATCTTGCTCCTGGATCAAAGGCTCCCCTTAGATTTATCTTCCAATGACTGTTGCCTGATTTAACCTGAATCACAATGCGTATTAAATGGTGGTTTTCCAACTTCCTCACTCCCTCCACAATTATCCTTGAAATAATACTAGAAGCAAAAGCTCTTCCCCTCCTCATTTATCTATTTCTTATCATTATGGAATCATGCATTCCTAACGTTTTATAATTAACATGTACTCGATTAGTTTAGTACTTAAACAGTCCCACATTTGGCCAGTTGGAGGCTCTTCAACCTGGTTCCTGTGTTTATGTGATATGCTCACATCACTCTTGTGAATACTTTCTTGCTTTCCCGCATAACTACAGGTTCTAGGCTCATCTTGAACTTATTCTGCCCCAGCCCTGTATTTAGCCTTTTCTTTGAGAAGCCTCATTCCTTTAATTGGGATATGGTGTTAGAGATCAAGATCAACATGTTACATGGTACCACGGTGTCTTTGCTCCAATTCTTAAAGCAAATAGAGCCAGAAAATATATCTATGTGTGGAGACATATACATTTATGCATCTACAAATATACACACACAGATATATACACACACGTGCCGATATACATACCTATAAACCTTTAAAGGTATTTTAGTATTCATGAGTTCACATTACTACCTCCAATTTTAATCTTTCCTCACATGTTCTTCCTTGCATTCTCCTGTTCTGTGCATGCATGTACCTCTTCTCATGTGAGAGGCAGAGTTCCCCAAAACATCAACACGTATATAAATTCATCATAATTTACATCTAAAATACACAATAATACATCTAAAATAATTTCAGAACTGCCTCATGGATGCTACCACAATAAATAAATCTACAAAAAAAGAGATCAGAATCTGAGTTCTTTTTCCATCACCTCCTGATCTCAATGTGCTCAACACTAAAAATATATAGCCAAATACTGTGCTTATAAATTAGCTGAATAAATTTTTTCTTATTTTTCCCCTTCAGTATTACATTTTTACTTTACATCTAAATGAAGAGAAGTTAAATAATTCTATTAACTTGAAACCAGGAAGAATTTTAATTAGTAATAATAACAGAAACTAACCTCTCCAGCACATCCGTAGTAGGGTGTTCCCAGCATAAAGACCATACTTCTAGGAGGAAACAAGTCATCCAATGTTTTTATACTGGAGAAACGGGAGTCAAAAGCGCGGATGTCCTATGTAGAATGAAATATAAAAGTGAGTCATCATGGTCAAAATTTCTGTAGATTGCATATCAAGATTTTTTTCCTATGAGATTATGACTATGTGGTCTACAAATGTCAAATGTAAAGATTTTCTACATAACAATACTAGAAATGAAATTTTATCTCCTTATATGCCAGCCACTCTTCTAGGTACTTCACACATTTATTAGCTCACTTCATCCTCAAGACAACCCTCTGTAGCAAAGACCATTACTAGACCCACGTTATAGATGAGGAAACTAAAGCATGGGAAGAGGTGATCTTGTCTTAGGTTATACAGCTAAGAAAGAAACTCAGTCGGTGCTCTTACTCACTATGCTACACTATTTCCCCCAAATTACATTATCGCTACATGCTTTTAAAAAACCCAGTCCCCTCACAACATCTAAGATCACAAACACAATAGCAATAAATGTACTAATTTATTTAAAGCAAGATTTTTTTGAGGATAAAAATAAATAAATACAAAAGACAAGTTTCCTAGACATACCCAGAATGAGTACCTGAGCATGTTATACTCCTTTTAAAGACCATAGTATCTTGCAAATTACATTAAATAACAATATCAATTATACATTGCTGCATATTAATATGATTTAGTCTTTTCTTTATACAGTGTACAACAGTGTACATTAAGATAGAATGGAGACCTGATGGAGACTTACTTTGACAATGGTTTGATAAACAAATGGAAGAACTTGTTTTGACCACTGTTTCTCTAGACGGACTTCTCCATTTTGATTTATTTGATATTTACGACCTGTGAGTAACTGACCATATACAACTGCAGATGTTTCATTTATTATTATTCCTTTTCTTCTCAGGTAGCTCAAGGAAGAAATAAAAAAGAAAGTTGTATATGAGTGTATATACATTCTATAATGATAGTCAACATCAAACCACCAACTCATAATCAAATGCATAAATAAATTTTAAATAAATGTGCTAGTAGTTCTGAGTACCTAATAAGACTTTTTACACTATTCTGTGGCTACCCTTCCCAAAGTCTGTAAGATTAAATAAGAACTCAGAGAGTTATAAGAAACTCCCATGTTTCATACCCACTCGGCTGGCTCTAACAAGAAGCAGCAAAAACAAGAATGGTGGAAAGGATATAGAGAAACTGAAACACTTGTACACTGCTGATGGGAGTGTAAAATTGTGCAGCCACTGTGGAAAACAGTTTTGACAGTTCCTCAGAAAGTTAAACACAGAACTGCTAAACAGCCCAGCAATTTCACTTCTAGGTATATAACTAAAGAACTGGAAACAGTTCTAAATATTTATAGACCAATGCTCATAGCAGCACTATTCACAATAGCAAAAGGGTGGAAAGAAACCATATGTCCACCAACAGATGAACACATAAACAAAAGGTGACACATACATAAAATGAAATATTTGGCCATAAAAAGAAGTAAGTACTGATATATACTACAATGTGTATGAACCCCTTAAACATGCTATGTGAAATCAGCCAGATAGAAAAGGTCACATATTATGTGATTCCATTTATATGAAATATCCAAAACAGGTGAATCCAAAAAGACAGGAAATAGAGACTGACTGGGAGAGGCATTCAGTGGGTCTTTTCAGTCTAAACCAGGGGTTGGCAAGCTACGGCCATGGGCCAAATTCAGACTGCTTCCTGTTGTTATAAATAAATTTTATTCATTCATTTATTTATTTAATGTCAATGGCTGCTTTTGTGATACAACAACAGAGTTGAGTAGTTGTAACAAAAACCATAAAATCCACAATGTCTAAAGTATTTACTCTCCAGCCTTTACAGAAAAAGTTTGCTGATCCTTTCTCAGCTTGAACTTTTAGCTCACTGATTCAGTCTTCAGTATGCCCATATTTATACTTAGAACAACTACTGAACTAATTATGAACATCACAATTTTAATTTTTGTATACATGCTTATACTTAAACATATATATTATATAATATGTATTATAGTTACCTACATAGCACATAGTTTAATAACATTACTATATATATTTTCTATAGCAAAATTTAAATTATGGTGAAAAAACCAGATGTGTTCCCTATCCTTATGGAGCATACTACCATGAAAAGAATCATTAGAGTAATCACACTCATAAATCTATTAATATGATTCTATTTATGTGCTATAAAAGATAATTCAGAATAATGTGAGCTATGACAAGGGTATCTTAACTTATACTACTGGGAGGCAAAAAATGCTCTACTTTTCCCTCTAACAGCTATGTTTATCTCCTTTTATGCTGGATGGCTTTTCATGGTCGTTTTAAATTTTTCCTGTTTAATAACTTTAGAATAAGGATATTATGGCCTGGTATTACCTCTTAAATAACAGAAGAGATATCTTCTTGAGTTTTCATTTATCAGTAGATGCTATTACAGTTTAAACAGGAGGACTGATGGATATACATTTATAACAACACTTTATGTGCCACTGCCAGTTTCTATTACTCTATCTTGATTTAGGGAATTCCAGTGTTTGGATGAAAAAAGAGAGGTACAATTAAAGTGGGCTCATGGGACGCAAAGCATCCTGAAAATTCAGGGTTAGCTTCTTCATTACTTAGTTGGTATAGAACTTACATTTCTGAATTCAGGGGCATAAAGGGTTTGGATATATGGAAGACAGAAGAGTAGGGAGGAGGGAAGGGTGAAAAACAAAGGAGAGTATTCCGTCTTATTCTTATTACTTACATGTGAGCAAGAAATTTATGACCTTATGGTTAGTTAAATTAATGCTCAAATTCAGGCAACTGATTAACTGTGTATTCCTAGGGTAAGTGATTATGTCTTTCCTTCCTTTCTTTTTTGGTACATCGTGAAGTATTTTACTGACAAACTGGACAAGGTTCTAATTGCTGCTAATTAGATTTTATTTTAAATGAGAATTCATTACTTTTTTAATATATAAAATGAAGATGTACTCAGTATTCAGAGTAACCACAGTGTTAAGTGAAAAATCAGTTAAAGAATAAGTACATTAGACTACCACATTCTAGTTCAATGACATTAGATACTATTCATAATACTCACTATTCTGAAATTCCTTGTACTTCTTTTGTCCAATTACATTGTTCTTTGTCTCCGAGATGGACCACTTTAGATGGTGGTGCAGTTCTTCCCAAATAAAGTTTCTGTGTTCCTGGAGGTTCTTCCAAGTAAAACCTTGAAAATTAAAATAAAAATTGAATTACCCCCAAATTTGTGGTTTAACATAGAGTTCCAGTATTGTGAGTCTTCAAAGTGAAAAGATTTCTACATGGTATAATAGAAAGAAAAAAAAAGCCTCCTTTTTTAAAACTGCAAAAGGAATTTCAGAACAAGGACTTGTAAAACATTTTAATCAAAATTTAATAACATAGTATTTTTCTCTTTGAGAAATTAAAATACATAATAACATACAAATTTTTAAAGAATTAATACTCTCAAATTCAATACAATATTTTTGCTAAAAAAAGTTCAACTTGATCCTAATCAAGCCACCATACCTAACTCCCAGTTTACAGGAAATGTGGGATGGAGGACCAATTTAAATGACACTAATAGGAAACAACTACGTAAATTCAGAATTCTACAAAATAACTGACCTGAACTCTAAGAAAAAAAGGCAGGGAAGTAAGTTTAACTAGGTCTTAGGATATAAAATTAATATACAGGATCAATTATATTTCTGTATACTAGCAGGGGAAATGGAACCTTAAAATATAATACCATTTATTGTTGTGGTTGTTTAGTCGCTAAGTCATGTCCGACTCTTTTGTGACCTCATAGACGGCAGCCTGCCAGGCTCCTTTGTCCATGGAACTCTCCAGGCAAGAATATTGGAATGGGTAGCCATTCCCTTCTCAAGGGGATCGGCCTGACCCAGGGATTGAACCTACATCTCCTGCACTTTAGGCGCATTCTTTATCACTGATCCATCTGGGAAGCCCAATACCATTTATAGTTGCTTCAAAAATTTTAAATACTTATGTAGGTATAAATCTAACAAAATATGTACAGGTTCAGTATGCTGAAAAAACAAAATAGCAATAAAAGAAATCAAAGATTAAAATAAATGGAGTGATAAACGGAGATCCATTCAGATCAGAAAATTCAACAAAGATGTCAAATCTCCCCAAATTATAAGTTTAATACAATTCCTATCAAAATCTCTCAAAGATTTTTTTATAGATATTAAAAAAAATTCTAAAATATATATGGAAAGGCAAAGGACCAAAAATATCTTAAATAATTTTGAAAAGTAAAAAAATGGTGGAAGGAATCCTCTACCTAAGGTTAAGACTCACTACATAGCTACAGTAACAACACAATGTGGTGCTGGCATAAAAAACAGACACAGAGACAAATGGAACAAAATGGAAAACCCACAATGTAGGTTACAAATATGCTCAACTTATTTTTGACAAAGATATAAAAGCAATCTAATGGAGGAAGGAGAGTTTTTTCAACAAACAGTGCTAGAGCAAGCAATTCAATATTCATAGGTAAATATATGAAACTTGACCTTATACCTTATATAAAAATTAATTCAAAATAGATCATGGATTTAAGTGCAAAAGGAGTAAAAACTATAAAAAAATTTCAAGATAATCTTTGGGACTTAGGGTTAGGTGAAGAGTGCTTAGACCAAAAGCATGATCCATTAAAAAAAAAAAAAAACTAATAAAAAACTAAACTTCAACAAAAAGGCAGGGGAAGCGAATTCTGGTGATTTTTAAAAAAGAATCCTCAAGATTCATATTAGCGTTGACTTCTCACCAACAAAATTAAATGACAAGACAAACTGAGATCTGTTTGCAGAGATCTGAGGAAAAAGATTAGGTTTCTAATTCTAAACCTGTGTGGGGGAAAAACAACACAAAAAATCTTTTGGATAAGTAATAATTCAGAAAGCATTAACATCCTTACATTTTCTCTGGAAAAAAAAATTACTTTAGGAAGTTTTAGACATGAAAAATAAAAGAACAAGATGTCAGACCAAGTTTACATGAAATAAACATAAAAGATGTCAAAGAATAGATTGTCTAAATACTCACTGATAAAATAATTGTGAAATTTAATAAAGTGTTAAGAAATTATCTTTAGAATAGAAGATATGTGTTTTAAAAATTACATGTTATTTAAATGAAACCTTGGAAGGGTATGGAAAAGGTAAAGTTACCTTTACCTTTTTTGATATTCAATCTTGTCAGAAATAAATATATTTGCTAACAATGACAACTGGTAGGAAAGAATTAGGCTATGGAACTTTCAAGCTATTAAAAGGAAAAGAAGGCAAAAGGGTAAAAATAATATATGCATCTAAAATATATGTATCTCAAGGGATGTACAATAAACTGTGAACAGTGGTTGAACTTGAAGGGTGTGATTAGAGAACTTTCATTTCCACTATAGAGTGTAAATATTTTACACATACTGTATCAGTTAAAATGTATGAATGCTGCTGCTGCTGCTAAGTCGCTTCAGTTGCGTCTGACTCTGTGCGACCCCATAGACGGCAGTCCAGCCCACCAGGCTCCTCTGTCTCTGGGATTCTCCAGGCAAGAATACTGGAGTGGGCTGCCATTTCCTTCTCCAAGGCATGCATGCATGCTAAGTCGCTTTAGTCGTGTCCGACTCTGTGCGACCCTATGGACAACAGCCCACCAAGCTCCTCTGTCCACAGGATTCTCTAGACAAGAATACTGGAGTGGGTTGCCATTTTCTTCTCCAAAATGTATGAATAAAAGCCATCAAATAGCAAAGCACACATACACTTTCAAATTACAAATAAAATCTTACTTAGTTTCTCCATCTGATACACCAACAACTCTAGCTTCTTCAAGATGAGGCCAATTAACAAAGACAGACTTCCCAAGCACTGACGAAGCTATATTTTCTACACTCTTAAAGTAAAAGCAGAAAAGTTCATTATTGTTTTAGGTCCAAGAGAAAATTTTACAGAGGCAAAATTAAAGAATTAAAAACTGGCTTGTGTTTATAACTGTGTACTTAAAATCTACAAAACCCCACCTTAATAATTAAAATATAAAAATATTTGATCACTCGAGCCAATTATTCCCTGCTAGTAACTGCTCTTCACAGCTTTATTTCAAGTTAATTATTCTATCCAGTCAAATTTTGTTTTTTAAATTTCTCTTCTTTAAGATGTGCCTTTATTTAAGCTAACTACTCTTTTTTTTTTTCTTTCTAGTACATTTTCAAGGATTTCTGTTCCTTTAGATTTTTGTTTTTTTTCCCCTTTCCTTTTTTTAAAAAATAGTTTTAAGTTGTTTTTACCTATCTGCCTTTTTTTACTCTTTATAATTTATTATGAATCTGGAAGTTTACCAATATAACCTTCCCCTCTGCCAATCTCTTATTAGATGGGAACTATGACCAACTTAAGCACTTTTCAACAGTATAAACATCACACTAGGAAGCTTGCCTCCTCATTTCTTCAACGGCATTGGCAGTTATTAGTGATGTGTAGCCCACTGATTTTTTTACTTGGTGAGAAAACAGATTTCAGTAACTTCAAACAAAAGAACACTAACCTATAATGTATTACTGCTCGTGATATAGCCAACATTAATAGAAATATTGTCACCAAGAAACTCAGGTTTTTAGTTCTGCTTCTAACTAGCTGAGCCAATGTCTGCTTTTCAATCTCCTTAATTTCTTTTAATTTGTAAAACTAATGAGCTGGATTAGTTGCTTTACAAAATTCCATACAGTAGTAAAATTCTATGACTCTATTATTCTTATGATTATGTTTATTTTTCTCATGGGAACTGAAAAAAGTGAAAAGAACAGCACAGATGTCTAGAAAAGAGCTATTATTCATTATTTCATATCAGATAGAGAGCATAAAAAGAATCTAAGAAATGTGATTTCATTTGTGATTGGTATGATTAAATAAGAACACTAGACTTATCTCAAGTTAGAAACCATGGGTTCAAAATTGGGTTCTAGTTCTTTTCAGCTATAGAGTGTTAAGCAAATCCTTTAATCCCACCGAGTCTCAGTTTTCTTTTGTGAGAAGCTGTAACATCTATCTCACAATATTCATTTAAGGATAAAATAATATACACAAAAACCTTTGTAAACTATAAAATGCTGTACAGTCAGCCTTTTGTATCCATGGGTTCCACATGTGCAGACTCAACCAACCTCTGATGGAGAATACTTTGGGGAAAAAAAAACAACTTCAGAAAGTTTCAAAAAGCAAAACTTGAATCTGCCAAATGTTGGCAACTACTTACATAGCATACAAACTGCATTTATAATTATTTATACTGTACTAGGTATTATAAGCAATAAAGATGATTTAAAGTGTAAGGGAGGATATATGTAGGTCATATGCAAACGTGATAGCTTTTTTTTGGGGGGGGGGCACATGGATGTAGCTGTTCCGCAGGCATGTGGAATCTTCTCATATCAGGGACTGAACCCACTTTCTCCTGCATTGGCTAGCGGATTCTTTACCACTGAGCCACCAAGGAAGCTGCAACACCATTTTATATAAGAGACTTGAGCATCCACTGGATTTTAGGATCAATTGAGAGTCCTGGAACCAATGCTCCATGGATACCAACTGGTTACTGTATAAATATTCTGTATGAAAAATATCTTAAATAAAAATTCTTAAAAGGAAACATTACTACTATTGGTTAGACAACAACAACTTTGTAGTAGAAACTGAAGTTGAAATATAAATTTTCATCCCCTTTTTATTATGCTTGATGATTATAAGCAAATATTTCTTTAATAATTAGAGATGACTATTTTTAGACTTTGGGAGATAATTTTATTTTATTTATTATATGTAGACATTTCTTACTGTGAACATACAAAAGAATGACTATTCTATAAAACAAATTTCAGCATTATTAGAACTAGGCGCCCTTGTACTTTTCCTTTCTACATATCTAATTTCATTCTCCCACACTTCCTTCATTTGGAGGAAAAGCTATCCTACTTTGCCCAGATTAATCCTTTCACTTAAGCCCTACAGGAAATCCCTTAGTTCTTCACATCCCTTCCCTCCACAGTGACTTTAAGACCTCCATTGTTCTTCAGCTCTACTGCTCTGCTTAATAAGCTCTACTGTTCTGCTTTGCTTAACAAGCTGCCTCTTCTTTACCTACAGCTATGTTTCCAGCCTTTTCAATGAGAAACTTCTGAACTAAGGGCTTAAGATCTGCTTCCTTTACTTTCCATCTAACTAGTTGCAGACTAGTACTCAGGAACTGGACTTCTGCCTCCAACAACCTACTGGAATGGAATTCTCAAAGTCCAATAATGGTGACCAAAGGACCTAGTTTAAGTTTAATTCACTAGGTCTAATTCATAGACCTAGTTTTCACTCTTCTGGAACTGCACGTACCATCTACTCATGCTTTTGTGATACTATTTAACTTGTGAATCATTCTCTTTCTTCTCTGAGTACAGTCACTTTTACTGGCTACTTTTCAACCCTTTATACCTGTATTTCTTTACAATGAGGCCTTGAATCCTCAGAATTCCCTTTTATTAGGGAAGTCAGCTCCAAGGCCCCAGCCATCACTTCCCTGCTCATGACCTGCATATCCCTATTGCCCTCCAAGCCTTAGCTCTACGTATTCAACTGTGTATAATCACCTTTCTTGACTGAAGTTTTTCATCTGAACCACAGAACACAAAAAACAATTTGACTAGGGATTTTACCAATACTCCTAAGGATGATACTTAACTAGTACTATTCCAAATGCATAAAAACTAATTTAATTTTTATAAGCAAATGGATGACTTAGGGCATTAGGGCTTAAATCTCTCGTGGAACCCTGCTAAGAAAGGCTGACAGGGCAGCTCCAGATAAATGTTCTAGGACCAACTTAAAATTCTATTTCTGATCATTTATCCCCTCAAACAAGTGCCTCTCCCATTTTAACCTCTTTATTCCAATAAACAGTTTAACTATTTTTCAATTGATTAGTCTGATATTTAGAGTCAGTCATATTTAATATTTTCTTTTTCTTTGCATCCCCTATTTTTGAACAAATGACAGAAATTGTGAATTTAGTCTTGTTCATCTAGATCTATTACCACTTTCATAGTTTATGTCTTTATTATCTAAGGCTTCTATAACCACAACCTCAACTTACAGGCTTTTCCATTTTCTTCCATTTCTCTTTTATGCAGTTTAGTCTATTATGCTGCTACCAAATTAATTTTTATGAAAATACCCATTTCAAGATAACAGTCACAAAAAAATAAGTCCAAACTCCTTAGCCTGGTATTCAAGGTCCTCCATAATCTGGCCTCAATCTGTTTTTTCAACCTTATCTTCTACTATTTCCCAACACAAGTCCTCGCTTTAGTCAGGTTTATCTATTCCTTCTCCTCAAATACATCACATTTACTCTAAAAAAAGAAAAAGTATTAAAAATTTCAGACATACAAAAAGGTTAAAAAGATAATGTGTTAATATCACACTTACTTTTGACTATAATTTCCAACTCATGTTATTTTTTTCAACTGGCATACCCTTACCCTCATTTTTCCTCTGTGATAATCTATTAGTACCCTGCTTAAGTCTATTCCCATCTATATATCTGTATTTAACTTAAATTCACACAGCTCATCTTTTCAAAATTCCTTCAGACTTTTTTGCTCATTATGTCACAATTATACACATCCTTTAATCTGTGTAAATGTTTCTTTACTCTATCCTTATTTCCTGTGAATTTCTGGAGTCCTACATGTTATACCACTTTGGCAAACACGTTGCAGCTAGAACACTTTTATGCATAATATACAATAAAGAAAATACTTACAAGCTCATCTGACTCAGCATTCACTAAGATTTCCAACATCATGTTTTCTCCACGACTGCTTTGCTGGAATACTTGAACCCCACTTTTCTTCAAAAAAAACTTTAAAAGAATTCATAGAATTTAATTTTTAATTACTTCACTTTCAATAAAGTAAAAAAAATTCTGAACTAAATAGCCACCTACTTTGTGTTTGATGTGTTTCAAAGTAGGAAATCCACAGAAATATAATGCCTTCTGGTCAACCTTGGTTATTTTGTTCTTGCTTATATCTATACGCCAAGCATCTAATGATATTATTTTATACCTGGAAAATAAATAAAGGCATTTGATTTAAAATTCTTATGTTACAAGCAATCACAGTTTTTCAGCATCCCTTCAGTATTTTGCAAAAGTTATCCTTGCTTTTAAGCAGGAGAATAACAATCTGCCCTTTAAGACAAAGAAAATATACAGCAGCAGATTCTCCATTGTTACTAATTCAGACACAACCATGACTGTAACATACTGAGTGGAAATTTTCCCATTTATTTAAAAATACATATTATATATATGTATAAATATATAATATATATAAAATATATAAATTATACATGTATATATGACTTTTATACTAAAGGAATATATAACACATATTACAAATCTCTACATCCTCCATGTTCCAAAACCCAGAATGGAAAATAAACACTTTATAATGTCTATTTCATCTTTCTCTTTAAGAAAAGGAAAAATCATAACGGAGAGAAGTTTACTTTATCAACTTCCATCTGTGTATTACTGCAGGGAAGATGAGAAAAGAGAAAAAATAAGGAAAACATTTTAATGAAGAAGAGAAAGAAGAAATGGACTGAAGTGGATTTGAGGCAAGAAAACAGAGGAGCTCTTTTATTTCTTGTTTTTCTTCTTTCCTGTTGGGTGGTTAGGGAATGTAAAAGGTAAAGTCATAGCATGTCAAATAATGCTGGGAGCAGACACTGGCAATGAAAACAAAAATTCACACATTTCTTGAGGAAGAGAAGAGATATACTCTGTGGGGAATGCCAGGGGCAGCAGGGTAGGGAACAACTTTAACAGAAGACAGAAATAGAGAAGCAGAATTGCACCAAAGCAGAGAACTACAGAAACAACTGAGACAGACAGAGATGCTATGATCCTTGGAAAGTTGGATGTAATTCATTATCAGTGGCATACAAATGTCATAAATTATCTGTTAATTCTCGAAATAGATATTCAAAAGCTTTTTAAAAGTTAATTTTAATATTCTTTTTTTTGCACTCTCTGTTTTTGAAGAATTACCACACAACATTACCTTGCACAGCATCGCTCTACGGGAGGAAACTTTTCTGGCCATGGAGAGGGGTAGGTGAACTCTGTGTCGCTGTCAAACCAGCACATTAGGCACTCACTATGTTGATTTCTTTTTCTCTCTTCTTTTTTGAGGGAGTGGTTACATGTCTCCATGGCTTCTAACAATCGCTTCTGAATATAAATATTGCAGAGAGGGGTCAAAAACATAAAAATTCTGTAATCTTAACACATAGAATGAATCTTTTCCCTCAAAAAACAAATTTACTATTTGTGCTCTTAAAAAGCGAAAATCTTAATAACATTATTCTTTTCAACTTAATTACATGAAAAACTGATGTGCTGTTCTTGTTTCTGAGGGCAATAGAATATTTCTTGTCACTACAAATTCCTCTGAAAATATTACTCCAACAGCAGCCACTAAAGTGTGGCTAAGAACAGCAGAGAATCAAAATTTAAATATGAATTTATCATAATTCACTGCTCCTTAATCTCTCACATTGCAAATGTGCATTAATATAGAAATGTTCATCTTTATGATTACCTTTTATATGTAATGCAATTCCAATGAAAATCACAATGGTTTAAAATATATTTTTCAAAGGAAAAATGATGTTAGTGTTCATACTGGAAGAATAAAGGTTGAGCTGCAAAGTTATCAAGAACTTGTCTTACGAGGTCTTGTCACTTTTTATAAAATTACCTATAAGCAAAACACTTAAGTATGGACACCACAAAAGACCCACAGACCAGAAGAACAAAATAAACAGTTAAAAAAAAATCCAAATATATGTTAAACATAGTATTTCAGACACTTAAAATAATGTTTTTGTCCAGTTGGAAAAGAAAGCACACATATATTTCAATATCATACTATATATAAAACAAGTAGTAATGAGACAACAAAGTATTAGAAGAAAATCTAGAAAAGTATTGATAATTTTTTTTTAAAGTATTGATAATTTGTAGTGAAAAATTCTTAAGTAAGGCAGAAAAAAGCCTAGCCACTTTAAGGAAAAAGACATTTTTAAGTAAAAGAAAATGTATGTGATAAAAGAGGTCATGAACAAATCAACAAGCAAATGCCACACTGGGAAAAAATATTCCTAGCATACAAAGAGCTGCTCAAAATAAAAAAAAAAAAATGAGGGGAAGGATATAAACAGACAATTTATAAAAGGGAAAATGCAAAAGACAAACACACATAAAAATATATCAAATTAGGGATCATATAAAAATAAACTTGAATAATAATAAAATGGCATTCTTTATCATCAGTAGACTGGTCAAAATTAAACAGTAACATTCAGGACTAGAAAAGCAGAGAAGTAGGTACTCTCAAGTACTGATGGTGTGAATTAGACCAGTCTTTTTGAAAAAGAATCTGGTAAAATTAATTAAAACAAAAACCATACACTCCCATTAACCAAGCATTTCTGCTTTGGGGATTCTACCTTATAAAAATAAAACTACCAATACATAAGAATGTATTAACAAACAAAAAGAAAACATAAATACATAAGTACTTTTATCATAGCATTGTGTACAATAGCAAAAACATGAAGAGTTGTAAGAATTTGCAAAATCAGTATGGTGTGTTCCCATGTACTTTTCACCTAATGATAACATCTTACATACAGCCACAGTACACTATTAAAACCAGGAAACTGACACTGGTACACCATCACTACAGACTTATTAAGATTTCAATGTGCTTAGTAGCTCAGTTGTGTCCGACTCTTAGGGACCCTACAGACTGTAGCCTGCCGGGTTCCTCTGTCCATGGGGATTCTCCAGGCAAGAATACTGGAGTGGGTTGCCATGCCCTCCTCCAGGGGATCTTCCCAACCTAGGGATCGAACCCAGGACACCTGCATTGCAGGTGGATTCTTTACTGTCTGAGCTACCAGGGAAGCTCCAGATTTCACTAGTTTTTATATGTAAATACTGTGACGAGATGGCTGGATGGCATCTCCGACTCGATGGACATGAGTTTGAGTAAACTCTGGGAGTTGGTAATGGACAGGGAGGCCTGGCGTGCCGTGATCATGGGGTCACAAAGAGTCGGAGACGACTGAGCAACTGAACTGAACTGAACTGAACTGTGTATGTAGAGCAGTATGGAATTCTTATCATACGTGCAGATTCATGTGTGTGCGCTCAGTCGCCGAGTGGTGTCTGACTCTTTGCGACCCCTATAGACTGTAGCCTGCCAGGCTCCTATGTCCACAGGGTATTCTTCAGGCAAGAATACTGGAGTGGGTTGCCATGCCTTACTCCAGGGGATCTTTCCAACTGAGGGATCGAACCCAGGTTTCCTGCATTGCAGGCGGATTCTTTACCATCTGAGCCACCAGGGAAACTTCATGTAACCACCCCTAACACTGGAATACAGGACTGTCACATCATTGTAAAGAAACTCCTTCACATTATCCCTTTATACCCATACCCATATATCGCTCAGTCGTGTCCGACTCTCTGCGACCCCGTGGACTGTAGACCACCGGGCTCCGTCATCCATGGGATTCTCTGGGCAAGAAGACTGGAGTGGGTTGCCATTTCCTCCTCCAGGGGATCTTCCCGACCCAGGGATTGAATTCAGGTCTCCTGCATTGCAGGCAGACGCTTTAACCTCTGAGCCACCAGGGAAGCCCTTATCCCTTTAGAGTCACACTCTATCCCCCAATGACCTGTTTTATATTATAATAATTTCATCATTTCAAACATATTACATAAATGGAACCTTCTAAGATTGACTTTTTCAGTCAAACGAACTTTTTCCCATCCGTTGTTTATAGTTCTTTTTATTGCTGAGTAGTATGCCATTATATGAATGTACTACAGGTTTTTTTTAATCCATTCACTCATTGAAAGATATCTGAATTTTTTTCCAGTTTGGAGTTATCACAAATAACTTGCTCTGGACAATAATGTACAGGTTTTTACCAAAATATATAGCTAGCTGTTTCAGTACCAATTGTTAAAAAGCTTTTTCTTTACCTATTGAATAGCTCTGATGTCTTAATTGAAAATTTATTAACTGGACAAGTATAGATCTAGGTTGTTTGGCCTCTATTCTGTTTCACTGATCTATGTCTATTATGATGTCGGAAACATACTTCCTTGATTACTTTAGCCTAATGGTAAGTCACGAAGTCAGATAATGAAAGTCTTTCAGTATTGTTCTTCTTACAGGTTGTTTTGGCTACTCTAGATACTTTGCAGTTTCATCAAAACTTTAAAACTGGACTTTTGATTTTTATACAAAAATTTGCTGCATTTTTGCTGGGATTATGTTGAGCCCAAAGATCAATATGGGAAGAGGTTATGTCTTAACAATATTAAATCTTCTATTCCCTGAACATGGTATATTCTTCCATTTATTTAGGTCTCCATAACTCAACACTATTTGCAGTTTTCAGTGTGCATGCTGTTAAATTTATAAATGTGTATTTTATATTTCTTAATGCTACTGAAAGTAAAAGTCTTTTTATTTAAAAAATTTATATTTTCCAATTTTTTGTTGCTAGTATATACAAACATAATTGAATTTTGACCTTGCTAAATTTACTTATTGTTAATACTATCTTTTTGAAGATTCCTTAGAATTTTCTATTTTTGTAGTAATGCTATGTGCATATAAAAACAGTTTTTCTTCTTCCTTTCTAATCTACATGCCTTTATTTCTTTCCCTTGACTTAATACAGTGGACTCCTAGTACGGTATTAGAAAGAATTGATTAGAATAAACATCCTTGTCTTAAACTTGATTTTATAAAGAAAACATTCAAAATTTTACTATTAAGTATACTGTTAGCAGTGCACGCGTGTGTGCTAAATCACTTCAGTTGCGTCTGACTCTTTGTGACCCTATGGACTGTAGCCCACCAGGTTCCTCTCTCCATGGGTTTTTTTTTTCTCCATGGGTTTTTAAAGCATGCATTTGGTTTTGACTTCCCTGGTGGCTCAGACAGTAAAAGCATCTGCCTACAATGAGGGAGACCCGGATATGATCCCTGGGTCGGGAAGATTACCTGAAGGAAATGGCAACCCACTCCAGTACTCTTGCCTGGAAAATCCCAAGGATGGAGGAGCCTGGTAGGCTACAGTCCATGGAGTTGCAAAGAGTCAGACACAACTGAGCGACTTCACTTATTTGGTTGAGGACGTTTCCTCTTATTTCTAGTAGTTGAGCATTTCTATTAAAATTGGACATTGAATACTCAAATGTGGTAAATCACATTGAAAACTAACACTGTATTTCTAAAATAAATCTCATTTGGTTAGGAATATTATCCTTCTATATTACTGGATCCCACCTGGCTTGACTTTGTTAAAAGTTTTGCATCTACTTTAGGAGGGATATTATCAATTAATTTTCTTTTCTTGCAGTATCATTGACTATTATGCTGGCCTAATATGATATATTGGGAAGTGATTATTTCTCTTCTATGTTCTCAAAGTTTGTATAAAATTGGTATTATTTCTTTCATGAAGGCTTATCAGAATTCACAAGTCAAGACATCTGAGCCTAGAATTTTTCTCTGTGAGACGATTTAAAATTATGAACTAAATGTCTTTAAAAGATATAGGATTACTTAGATTTTTATGTTTTTTTTTCCTGTCAGTTTTGTTGAATCATGTTTAAAGAACCATGTTCACTTCATTTAGGTTGTTAAATTTGTTGGCATAAAATAGTTCACATTACACCTTATCGATTTTTTTTGTAACTATAGGATTAATAGGACACCTCTTCTTTCATTGTAAATTTATGTGTTCTCCCCTGGTGCTCTAGTTTTTTTTAAGCCTTTTTTGATATGTCTTTCTAGGACTTATCAATTTTATTAATCTTTCAAGAGGATCAACTTTTGGTTTCATTGATTTTTCTCTATTGTTTGTTCAGTTTCCATGGATTTCTGCTCCTGTCTTTTTGTTTTCTTCATTCTGCTTAGTTTGGATTTAAATTGCTCTTGTTTTTCTAGCTTCTTATGGTAGGAAGTTTAATTTACTTCAAAATATTTTCTTGTTTAGTATAAGCATCTAGAACCTTAAGTTTCCCTTTTAGGCCTTGCTTTAGTTTTATCACAGAGATTATGATATGTGTTCTCATATCATTCATATAAAACATTTCAAATATTCCTTTAAGTTTCTTTAATATATGGATTATTTAGAAGTGTGTTATTTGATTTTGAAATTTTTATAAATTTTCAGAGATTTGTTGCTGATTTTTAACTTAATTCCATGTGGTCAGAGAACATTCACCTTATGATTTCACCCTTTTAAATTTACTGAGATATTTTTATGCCTTACCAAATAATCTTGGTGAACAGTCTTTCACTTAAAAATGTGTATTCCTTAGTTGCTGGGTATACTGTCCTACAAATATTAATGAGGTTAAGTAGGTTTATAGTGTTATTTAAGTCTTTGATCTTTGGTAATACTCTGTTCTGAAGCCTACTTGGTCTAATATTAGTAAAGCAATGCCAGCTTCCCTATAATTAGCATACACAGACATTTTGATGCACAGAACAAAGATGAGAATAGTTAAACTCATGAACACAAATGGTGATTAAAATCCACTGCTCATTCATTTATGTGAAGTAATCTCTACAAGTATATATATAACCATTTCATGTACTGACCTCATCAATAAAAGGTATTAGTACCACAGCTTCCCATTCCTGTTGTTTCCCATTTAGGTCAGTTTTAAAATCAGGTGGATAATATTCTATAATTGGCGAGTCGTCACTGGTCATCAAATGCTGTGAAAACATAAAATAGTGTAATAGAAATGTAAGAACTAATATCAATGTAGCTTTTTGTTAATATATTTATAATATTTGTTTACCTATTACAATTTAAAATTTCTAAGCAAAGCAAAAGTAAGTTTTCACATCTTAGATATGTTATAGTATACTTGTTATATTTTGATTTTCAAATATGAGACTTCTAATTTCACTGCCACTCATCACTTTCTCATTCCACTAAGCTAGTTATATAGCCAAACTATCCTTACTCTGAATTTTATCATTTCTATCTTCTATAGTCTTTTCACTCTACAAGGCTTATCTAAATTCTGTTTTTCCATTCAGATTTCAGTTCATTTCACACACTCCATTTTTAATCTTAGACAATTTATTTTCATGTCATAATCAACTAATTTTATTAAGTTATATAACTGTCATCTAAGATAATTTAAAAAGAAAAAGAAATCCAAAAATACAAGAATCTCCTTACCACCAGTAGAAAAGATAGAAAGCCCAATAAGACGTTTTTATTAGAGATTTTATAACAGAAGAAGATAAAGAAACCTAAAGATATCCTCTAGGAAATGAATATAGAAGATCATGACATAAAAAATTTTAAAGAAATAAAAGCATATTTCTCACGGTAATATTCAAAATAAAATAGTCAGTATGTCATGGGTACAGAAGAATCAAAACAATATGTGGCTATAAAAACCTGCATGGCTATATTAGTCCTGAGTGGTTGAGTATCAATTCTTAATGTACTGAAGGTAGGAAAAAAAGCATCAAAGAAACTAAAGGAAGGAAGGCCATGGGCCAGGATGAAGGACAGGTTAAGTTTCAGAAAGATTTAGAAGGAAGCTGGACACTGTTCAAACAGCGAAGGTATGTGGTATGTATATATTTATGTGTGCCTATTTCAATTCCTGGCACCAGACCACAGAATTAGAACAGATTGATGCTCTAGAAGAACTAAACTGAAGTTTACCCTCAAAATCAGTTTAGTACGCTTAGTGTAATTTTGGTGACCCAATCAGCCCTGAAACAGCTTTCTCCTGTTATAGGAATTACGTTAATCAGAGAGAAGTTTTTTATTCCATAATTTGATAAATGAAATTCTTAAAATCAAAATATAAATGGAAGTAGCAATTTTGTTGAGATAAACAACTTATTAGAATCATCCATATTCTAATAGGTAAAGGGTAAAAGAGAAAAGAAACAAAATCTGTAATATCTGGACAGAGTAGATGGCTTTAGATTTTTCCAAGCTCAATTTACTTTCATCAGTGCAGAGACAAACTGGAGATGTGCTTAAAGATACTGAAAACAAAGAAGCCATGCTTTGAATGGTTTATGAAATGTGTTTGCATTTTTAAAACAAAGTTAACTTTAAATCAAGGAATTACTTTTCAAGAGACTTAAGGAATACTATATTTGAAACTGAAAATAAATATATTTAGCTATTAAAGAAATTTGGGTATGATGTTTCTAGGTTTGGAGGAGGAACTCCTAAATATTAAAAAGAACACAAATACATTTAATTCTAAAACCCACCTGGTAGCATGCAGGGAGTAAATTTTTGCTAGCTGCTGGAAGTACAGCAAGAAGTTGTTCAAATGGCTTAAAAGGTTTTCCCAGTTCAAAATGGATTTTGAGTGTACTGATGTTGCGGATATCAGACAGGAAAGGTGCATAATGGTACGGATAAAACCTGTAAGACAAAACTGAGCTCTGAACAATTGGCAAACTTTATGAAACAGATCAATAGTTAGTATATACTTTTCAAAATTCTATTTTAGCAGCTGTGCCTCTGTGCGTGTGTTCAAGTCGTATCCACAAACAGCAATAATTCTAAAGAAAAAAATCACTCATAATTCTGCCACATGAATATAAGAAATCAGCAATGTTGAAAAATGTAGATTATTTGATGACAAGTATTTTATTTCCTTAATTTTTAAAGTGCAGTTTGTATTTCAAAAATTTAGATGTATGTAATTGAAGGGTATATATATTAATAACACATATAAAGAATTTATTTTTTATATAAATAATACAATTACTCCAGTTTCAGAAGTATTGAGTGTGAATCTTCCAAACAATAGATTCTCAGAATGAACTGAGGCAGTCAGAAGACATTCAGTTACTTCATGTGGGCCTGAGCTTCTCTCATGAAGGCACAGGGAAGTCTGAGCTCATATGGTTGTACTAGTCAGCTCTAAGAGTCATCATCTTTGAATTAGTGTGTATACATATATATTGTGTTTGTGATCAGGATTAAACCATTTGTCAATCATGCACACTAACTTTTTGTTTTTAAAATCTTCCCATATTTAACATGAAGAAATATTTTTAGAAATTTCAAACATATAATGTTTTTACATTTTTTTGGTTAAAAATTAAAATTTTTAAAAAAGCCAGTTATCCTAAACATATAATTTTTTTAAAATTTAAAAATAATTTCAATGTTCTTAATGTCTGACTAAAAACACCAAAATAAAAGCCAACAAAATAATTTTATATTTCACAATTATGGCATACTTCAAAACAATGGGAAAGTTTAGGAGGCAGAATGGCATGTAGAACAATAAACTTTGGAAATCAGATAGGCATGTACTTGAATACTGGTGTGTGACACTGGAAAGGTTATTTAATCCTCTGAGCCTCATCTATCAAAAGCAGAAAACAATATTTACTTTAAACAGCTTTGAGGACTATATGAGCACATGCTTTACAAGTGCTTGGCCTCAATGCTTGGTAATATAATAGGTATAACTTACACTCACTCTCTTAAAAAATGGCAAATCAAGGATATTTTTTGTCACTAGAGTGCTCTTCAGAGATGCCCCGAGAATCCTGTTAGTTATTGCAGATATTTTTTTAAAGGCTATTAGTAAGCAAAATTCTATTAATAATTAATGCCACATTATTCTGCACTTTAAAACAGAGCCTAGAAGGTGCTCTGAAAACAAAACAAAACAAGCTATCTCATCACTTAAAAGTGTCTATTTTTCCCTGTATCATTTTTTGACTTGTTTTCTATTTCAGTGGATGGTTTGGAAATGTAGATGGAACTTGCTGGAATAGGAAATATGAGATAAATAGAGAATTATTACTATTCCAGGAGAAGTAAATTCTTTTCTCCTTTCTTCATTACCCTTCCCAGTCTAACATTCATATAATTCACTCTTCGTTACTCCTAACAGAAAAAATTTTCAAACACATAAAGATGTAGAGAAGAATATAACAAACAATCCCACTTAACCATCACTCAGACCCAGTAACTGTCAAGACTTTGTGACACTTCATTCATTATGATAGAAAATTTAAATCCTTAGATTAATAGAGAGCTTTTTATTATGGGCCATCTACTACAACTGGAAGTATCTTTGTTATAAAAGGATCTTTTTAAAATATTACAATACTAAAAAAGATTCTTTTTCCTTTAAACTTGGCTGTATGTACCTTTTAAAAAATATTATTCATATCATAAATAGAAGAGGAGAGATTATCAAATGAGCTTACAGTAGAATGAGCCATTATAAAATACAAAACTTTATTTTGGTTTTTATTCCCTCACCAGCTCCAGGACTGAACGCCGTGATAGTAATAGTGCAAAATCCACTGTATTGCCTGAACATAACATGCAGCTTGATCAGCCAGAAAGTCACTGAAAACAGAAAAGAATATTTTCATTTTAACATTATTTCCTGAAGACAGGCCACTGTGTTTAAAACATGATATCTCCTAATATCACATTCTGCCTCATACATTTTATTTAATCAATGAATAAGCCAAAAACTGCAATCAGAAAAAACCATAACTGTAAAAAATTCTATCATACCAGATTAAAAATTTGCCTTATAGTTTTCCTAAACCAACTATTTGATTCCTTAAACCTGCTGTGCACACTTACAGTCAATGTACTATATCTTTGGTATCAAGTTTGAAGGTTTAATGAAGCTTTCTAAACAGTGGCACTACCACTTTCTTAAATATTCAGAGTGTGATGGAAAACAAAGATGGAAATCTTATTTGGGAGGATGCCTGAGTGAATCACAGGAGGAAATCAGGAAGATCTTAAAATCTGGTTATAGCAGCTGGAACATATTTTGAAAAGTGTTAAATTCACTGAATAATATTCCCTTTAATGTCTTTTTCTCAAAAAAACTATCATTTAAGGTAAAATAATCACACACACACACAGCAAAAAAAGAGCACCCTGAGGACTTCCCCGGTGGTACAGTGGCCGGGAGTCCGCCTCCTAATGAAGGGCACAAGAGACTGATACTTGGTCTGGGAAGATCAAGGCTATGGTTTTTCCAGTGGTCATGTATGGATGTGAGAGTTGGACTATAAAGAAAGCTGAGCACTGAAGAATTGATGCTTTTGAACTGTGGTGTTGGAGAAGACTCTTGAGAGTCCCTTGGACTACAAGGAGATCCAACCAGTCCATCCTAAAGATTAATCCTGGGTGTTCATTGGAAGGACTGATGATGAAGCTGAAACTCCAATACTTTGGCCACCTGATGTGAAGAACTGACTCATTTGAAAAGATCCTGATGCTGGGAATGATTGAGGGCAGGAGCAGAAGGGGACGACAGAGGATGAGATGGCTGGATGGCATCACTGACTCAATGGATATGAGTTTGGGTAGGCTCCGGGAGTTGGTGATGGACAGAGAGGGCTGGCCTGCTGCAGTTCATGGGGTTGCAAAGAGTCAGACACGACTGAGTGACTGAACTGAACTGAACTGAAATGGGAAGATCCCACAGGCTGTGAAGCAACTAAGCCTGTAAGCCACAACTACTGAAGCCTGCAAGCCCAAGCCTGTGCTCCACAAGAGAAGCCACCACAATGAGAAGCCTGTGCACTGAGATGAAGAGTAGCCCCCACTTGCTGCAACTAGAGAAAGCCCGTGATCAGCAACAAAGACTCAGAGCAAACAAGAATAAAATTAATTAATTAAAAAATGAGCACCCTAGGTAAATCCCAAAGTGGCTATAAAACTTGTTAGTGTTTGTTACCAAAATTCAGGTGGAGGTTTACCATCTGAGCCAACAGGGAGGCCCTCAGGCAGATGTTTCTAAGTGAAATTGTAGATCTACATATTTCTGGAAGTTAAATTTTTTAAAATGAAATGAATGACTCCTATTATAAAAGAAATGTTTCATTATTGAAAACTGAGACAATGATGAAAAGCGTTTTTATTACCTTATAGTAATCACTGACATTTTGGTATGTTTTTCTCAGTCTTTTTATCCCCAAGTTTTTCCTTTTTAAATATAAATGACAGTATACTGTGTACATGATTTTGTATCCTCTTTTAAAATTTATATTTAATAATTTACTGAAAGTATCTTTCTAAATTTTTATTAACTTTTCGTAACTACCAGTTTAACAGTTCTATATATTCTCGAAGCACTAGAGATGGCAGAGATAGTGACTGTAATGAGGAGGAAGTGGAGACAATTATGATGAACCTTCTCACTGGACACGTATATTGTTTCTAATTTTTTACTATTTAAAAAAATTTCCTTGTGTATAAAGATCATATGTGTCTAAGTTTATATTTTTATGATAGATTAACAATTAGAATTATTGGGTCAAAGGCTTTTAGATACATACTTTCCAAAATATTTTTTAAAAATAATTTCTATTTATTTATTTTTGGCTGTGCTGTTCAGGCTTTTCTCTAGTTGCAGTGTGTGGGCTTTTCATTGCAGTGGCTTCTCTTTTTACAGAGAATGGCTCAGCAGTTGCAGTTCCTGGGCTCTAGAGGACAGGCTCAAGAGCTGTGGTGAACGGACTGAGTTGCTCTGCAGCATATGGGAACTTCCCAGATCAGGGATCAGACTCGTGTCCCATGCATGGGCAGGTGGACTCTTTACCACTGAGCCGCCAGCGAAGCTCTCCAAAATAATTTTGCCTACTTATATTTCCATCAGAAATCAAGGGAAGAAATCTACCACCACTCCTGGACCAACACTGAATATAACAACTTAAAAAGATTTGCTTATTTGCTAGGCAAACAAACAGTATCTCATTTTCATAACCTCATATTTTAACATATAAAAAGAAAAGGAAATAAAACAGAAGAGTAGTCCCCTAGCAAATCAAGCACTTAATTGCAGCTACTGTATTTCTCTATGATATAATCAAGGAAATATAAGAACTAAGGAATAAATAATTAAATGCATAACTGTTATTAATATTTTATTTCTAAGTCTCAAAAGTCCTACTTGCTAATGATCTCTGACAAAACTTCAAATGACCTCATAGCTGTACTATAATTTCTTTATCTCTAGCTACCAGAGATAAGTATGAATACACAGGCCTTACACAAAGACTATGTCTAGACTAGAAAACAGCCTGAGTAAATGGAGCAACACGGAAATCTTGGGTCTTTCCTTGGGCAGCTCTAGGAAAGATTCTTAGTATTTTATTTTTTTAAAAAGTAAAAATAATAGTATAGAAAATATCTAAGTATAGTGTATATAATAAGGGTACAAAGAATTTTATGAAACTTTATTTCACTGACAGAAAAACAGCCTCATTTCATGGTTAAGGATGGGCTCCGGAGCCAGATTGCCTGTTACTTATAGTCTGGCTTTGCCACTCATTACTTTTGCATATCACCTGGAGCAAATCACTTAAATCTCTCTACTCCTTAACTTCCTCTATTTTAAAATAATAATAATTCTACTTATCTTAAAAAACTGTTGTGAGAATTACAATTTAACATTTTCACATTATTACATATATTTATGTATGCTTATATTTTTAAATTATAAATGAGTTAATATTTTTTAAATGTTTAGGATAGTGCCTGGCACTAGACCAATAGTCAATATCGAGATCAGACTGATTATGTTCTTTTCAGCCAAAGATGGAAAAGCTCTATACAGTAAGCAAACACAAAACCTGGAGCTGACTGTGGCTCAGATCATGAGCTCCTGAGTGCAAAATTCAGGCTTAAACTGAAGACAGTAGGGAAAACCACTAGGCCATTCAGGTACGACCTAAATCAAATCCCTTATGATCATACAGTGGCAGTGACAAACAGATTCAAGGGATTACATCTGAAAGAGTGCCTGAAGAACTATGGACAGAGGTTTATAACACTGTACAGGAGGCAGTGACTGAAAGCATCCCAAAGAAAAAGAAACGTAAAAAGGCAAACTGGTTGGTTGAGGAGGCTTTACAAATAACTGAGGAAAGAAGAAAAGCAAAAGGCAAGAGAGAATGGGAAAGATATACCCAATAGAATGCAGAAGTCCAGAGAACAGCAAGTAGAGATAAGTAAATGAACAATGCACAGAAACAGAAGAAAACAACAGAATGGGAAGGATGAGATCTATTCAAGAAAACTGGAGATACCAAGGGGACATTTCATGTAAGGACAGGCATGATACAGGACAGAAATGGTAAGGTCCTAACAGAAGTAGAAGAGATTAAGAGATGGCAAGAATACACAGAGGAACTATACAAAAAAGGTCTTAATAACCCTGATAACCATGACTGTGTAGTCACTCAACTAGAGGCAGTCATCCTGGAGTGTGAAGTCAAGTGAGCCTTAAGAAGCATTACTACAAACAATGCTAGTGGAGGTGATGGAATTCCAGCTGAACTATTTCAAATCCTAAAAGATGATGCCATGAAAGTGCTGCACTCAGCATGTCAGCAAATCTGGAAAACTCAGCAGTGGCCACAGGACTGGAAAATGTCAGTTTTCATTCCAATCCCAAGGAAGAGCAATGCCAAAGAATGCTCCAATGACCAGATAATTGTGCTCATTTCACAAGCTAGCAAGGTTATGCTCAAAATCCTTTAAGTGAGGCTTTAGTATACATGAACCGAGAACATCTAGATGTACAAGTTGGGTTTCAAAGATGCAGAGGAACCAGAGATCAAATTGCCAACATTTCTTGGATTATGGAGAAAGCAAAGGAATTCCAGAAAATCATCTGCTTCGTTGACTATGTGAAAGCCTTTGATTGTATGGATCACAACAAGCTGTGGAAAATTCTTAAAGAGATGGGAGTACCAGACCACCTTACCTGTTTCCTGAGAAACCTGTATGCAGGTCAAGAATCAACAATTAGAACTGGACATGGAACAACAGACTGGTTCAAAATTGGGAAAGCAGTACAAGGCTGTATATTGTCATCCTGCTTATTTATCTTATATGCAGAGTTCAGTTCAGTTCAGTTCAGTTGCTCAGTCGTGTCGGATTCTTTGCGACCCCATGAATCGCAGCACGCCAGGCCTCCCTGTCCATCACCAACTCCAGGAGTTTACCCAAACTCATGTCCATCAAGTTGGTGATGCCGTCCAGCCATCTCATCCTCTGTCGTCCCTTCTCCTCCTGTCCCCAATCCCTCCCAGCATCAGGATCTTTTCCAATGAGTCAACTCTTCGCATGAAGTGGCCAATGTACTAGAATTTCAGCTTCAGCATCAGTCTTTCCAATGAACACCCAGGACTGATCTCCTTTAGGATGGACTGCTTGGATCTCCCTGCAGTCCAATGGACTCTCAAGAGGCTTCTCCAACAACACAGTTCAAAAGCATCAATTTTTCAGTGCTCAGCTTTCTTCACAGTCCAACTCTCACATCCATACATGACCACTGGAAAAACCATAGCCTTGACTAGATGGACCTTTGTTGGCAAAGTAATGTCTCTGCTTTTTAATATGCTATCTAGGTTGGTCATAACTTTCCTTCCAAGGAGTAAGTGTCTTTTAATTTCATGGCTGCAATCACCATCTGCAGTAATTTTGGAGCCCCCCAAAATTAAGTCTAACACTATTTCCACTGTTTCGCCATCTATTTCCCATGAAGTGATGGGACCAGATGCCATGATCTTAGTTTTCTGAATGTTGAGCAGAGTACATCATGTGAAATGCCAGGCTGGATGAATCACAAGCTGGAATCAAGACGGCCAGGAGACCACAGCAATCAGGGCAGAAAAAGAAGTAAAAGGAATCCAGATAGGAAAAGAAGAAGTGAAACTCTCTCTGTTTGCAGATGACATGATCCTCTACATAGAAAACCCTAAAGACTCTACCAGAAAATTACTAGAGCTAATCAATGAATACAGTAAAGTTGCAGGATATAAAATTAACACACAGAAATCTCTTGCATTCCTATACACTAACAATGAGAAAACAGAAAGAGAAATTAAGGAAACAATACCATTCACCATTGCAACAAAAAGAATAAAATACTTAGGAGTATATCTACCTAAAGAAACAAAAGACCTATACATAGAAAACTATAAAACACTGATGAAAGAAATCAAAGAGGACACAAACAGATGGAGAAACATACCATGTTCATGGATTGGAAGAATCAATATTGTCAAAATGGCTATACTACCCAAAGCAATCTATAGATTCAATGCAATCCCTATCAAACTACCAACGGTATTTTTCACAGAACTAGAACAAATAATTTCACAATTTGTATGGAAATACAAAAAAACCTCGAATAGCCAAAGTAATCCTGAGAAAGAAGAATGGAACTGGAGGAATCAATCTGCCTGACTTCAGACTATACTACAAAGCCACAGTCATCAAGACAGTATGGTACTGGCACAAAGACAGAAATATAGATCAATGGAACAGAATAGAAAGCCCAGAGATAAATCCACAAACCTATGGTCACCTTATCTTCGACAAAGGAGGCAAGGATATACAATGGAAAAAAGACAACCTCTTTAACAAGTGGTGCTGGGAAAACTGGTCAACCACCTGTAAAAGAGTGAAACTAGAACACTTTCTAACATCATACACAAAAATAAACTCAAAATGGATTAAAGATCTAAATGTTAGACCAGAAACTATAAAACTCCTAGAGGAGAACATAGGCAAAACACTCTCTGACATAAATCACAGCAGGATCCTCTATGACCCACATCCCAGAATTTTAGAAACAAAAGCAAAAATAAACAAATGGGACCTAATGAAACTTAAAAGCTTTTGCACAACAAAGGAAACTAAAAGCAAGGTGAAAAGACAGCCCTCAGATTGGGAGAAAATAATAGCAAACGAAGCAACAGACAAAGGATTAATCTCAAAAATATACAAGCAACTCCTCCAGCTCAACTCCAGAAAAATAAATGACCCAATCAAAAAATGGGCCAAAGAACTAAATAGACATTTCTCCAAGGAAGACATACAGATGGCTAACAAACACATGAAAAGATGCTCATCACTCATTATCACAGAAATGCAAATCAAAACCACAATGAGGTACCATTATACGCCAGTCAAGATGGCTGTTATCCAAAAGTCTACAAGCAATAAATGCTGAAGAGGGTGTGGAGAAAAGGGAACCCTCTTACACTGTTGGTGGGAATGCAAATTAGTACAGCCACTATGGAAAACAGTGTGGATATTTCTTAAAAAGCTGGAAATAGAACTGCCATATGACCTAGCAACCCCACTTCTGGGCATACACACCGAGGAAACCAGATCTGAAAGAGACACGTGCACCCCAATGTTCATCGCAGCACTGTTTATAATAGCCAGGACATGGAAGCAACCTAGATGCCCATCAGCAGACGAATGGATGAGGAAGCTGTGGTACATATACACCATGGAATATTACTCAGCCATTAAAAAGAATTCATTTGAATCAGTTCTAATGAGATGGATGAAACTGGAGTCCATTATACAGAGCGAAGTAAGCCAGAAAGATAAAGACCATTACAGTATACTAACACATATATATGGAATTTAGAAAGATGGTAACGATAACCCTATATGCAAAACAGAAAAAGAGACTCAGATGTATAGAACAGACTTGTGGACTCTGGGAGAAGGCGAGGGTGGGATGTTTCAAGAGAACAGCATCGAAACATGTATATTAACTAGGGTGAAACAGATCACCAGCCCAGGTTGGGTGCATGAGACAAGTGCTCGGGCCTGGTGCACTGGGAAGACCCAGAGGGATCGGGTAGAGAGGGAGGTGGGAGGGGGGACCGGGATGGGGAATACATGTAAATCCATGGCTAATTCATTTCAATGTATGACAAAAACTACTGCAATGATGTAAAGTAATTAGCCTCCAACTAATAAAAATAAATGGAAAAAAAAAAAAAGAAAAAGATGGCCAGGAGAAATATCAGCAGCCTCAAATATTCAGATGACACCACCCTTATGGCAGAAAGCAAAGGGGAACTAAAGAGCCTCTTGAGGAGATGAAAGAGGAGAGTAAAAAGCTGGCTTATAACTCAACATTCAAAAAACTAAAGATCATGGCGTCTGGTCCCATTACTTCAAGGCAAATAAGGGAAAAAAAGGAAGCAGTTACAGATTTTATTTTCTTAGGCTTCAAGATCACTGCAGACAGTGACTATAGATATGAAATTAAAAGATGCTTGCTCCTTGGAAGAAAAGCTATGCAAACCTAGACAGCGTTATTAAAAAGCAGAGAAATCACTTTGCCAATAAAAATCCGTATAGTCAAAGCTATGGCTTTCCAGTAGTCATGTATGGATGTGAGATTTGGACCATAAAGATGGCTGAGCGCTAAAGAACTGATGCTTTCTAACTGAGGTGTTGGAGAAGACTCTTGAGGGTCTTGAGAGTCCCTTGGACTGCAAGGAGATCAAAGCAGTCAATCCTAAAAGAAATCAGTCCTGAATATTCATTGGAAGGACTGATGCAGAAGCTGAAGCTCCAATACTGTGGCCATCTGATGTAAAGAGCTGACTCACTGGAAAAGACCCTGATGCTGGTAAAGACTGAAGGCAGGAGGAGAAGGGGACAACAGAGTTTGAGATGGTTGGATGGCATCACTGACTCTATGGACCTGAGTTTGAGCAAGCTCCGGGAGTTGGTGATGGACAGGGAAGTCTGGTGTCCTGCAGTCCACCGGGTTGCAAAGAGTTGGACACAACTGAGTGACTGAACTGAAGTGAACTGTTATAGAGGGCTGTAGTTCAGAATGTGAGCCACCATTTTAGAGGTCAAGCTGTTAAGGAACTTTTATACTAGTTCCTAACCTGAGGCTGAGCCAGGTAGCCTTTGAGATAAGTGTAATGTGAGCTTTAGAAGAAATGAAGCAAAACACTAACCATTTTCTATCTGGCAATTTTTATCATAGGCATACAGTTGAGACTTGAACAATGCAGAAGTTAGGGACGCCAACCCTCTTGCAGTAGAAAATCCACTCATAACTTTAGATAGCTCTCTGTATCTGTAGTTCCACATCTATGGATTCAACCAACTGGGAAAAAATGTAGTACTGTATTAAGTCTTCACTAAAAACAATCCACATGTAAGTGGACCTATGCAGATCAAGCCCATGTTATTCAAGGGTATACTGCATAATACATGCCAATGAATATTATCTTCTCCAAAACCATAGTAGTTGAAAGGTCTACAATAATTTGCGAAACAAAAAACCCTTTCTTCCCATTACCATAACCATCAAAATCATGCTGTTTTCTGTAGAACTGCAAAGTCTACTTTTTCCTACTTTAAAGTAAAAGCAATGGCAAGAACATACTCAGAAACTACGTCAACTCCCATCTTTGTCATGTAATATGTTCTTTTATATTGCCTAAACTCGGTTTCAAATAGGTCATCATCTTCCATCTCTTCTTCTAAATTACCTGGAAAAAAGATAAACAGACAGTGGCTGACAATTATGAACATTCCACTTTTCCATTTAATGCTCTGATAAATACATGTCATAGTAGATGTTTATAAACTATCATAGAAATCTGTTTCATCCAATATTACTGAATTAGTCCTAATAATGGAATATAATAACTATTCTGTCAAAAAAAATAACATATATTAAAATACAGTTTGTACTCACTCACCCTTAGAAGTTACCACTTCTCCATTTTTGTCTAAAGCAGCCCAACACATGGAATTTTCCTGGCCCTATTAAAAATTATAAATCAATATAAAAGCAAGATATACTTCAAGATGAGACATTTAACAGAAAGATTTACAAAATATTAAAGATAACTGAATGATCTTTAAGTGACATACTGTAAAAGTTTATTTTAAAAATAATCCTCAAATGCTGTGTAAATGTTTTTGGTTTTATATCACTTGTTTCCTGAAGCTAAAATCTTTATTATTACAACTTAACATTTAGGCCCCTCAATGATAAGTAACAATGCTCACCAATACAAAAGAAAAATATATTACGTAAGTTTTCTAAGAAAAAAACATTTCAAAAACATTTCATTTACTTAGAGAAAAGTACACAATCAATATCAAATACTTTCAACTTCAACATTTTTATATGTCAAATTCTGCACTACTGTTAACAAGAAACAATCTGTTTATAACTGAGTCCAATAATTACAACTATTACCTATTTTTTATATCTCTGGTTCCCATCGTTCCTATAACTCTACCCTCCACTTCTATTTTCTTCCACACAACTCATCTGCTTTTCTAAAGTTCTTCCATTTCATCACATTGTTCATATCCTGCCCATCTATTTTTCCACTCTTGTGATTTCATCCTTTCTTTTCTCTATTTTCTGATTGCCTACCAACTGCCAGTGACTTTCACTAGTTCTTCCAATCTAGGGTCTCTGCCAATTTTCTTGTCTGGGCTGTTTCTCCAGTTTCTTTGTTTTACCTGTGTCTCTAAAGTTAACTACATACCCCCAGACGACTTGTGAAGTTTGAGGAATGAGCTGAGGTGGGTGGAGCCAGGGATTACTGATATTTAAGTTTGGAGTAAACGTCCCCCAAAAGTTGCAGAGCCTGTTTTATTAAGATAAAAAACAGAGTAGAATGCAGACTGCTGCTAAGTCCCACAGAGGAAAAGCTAAGCAGTTAGAAAGACTACACTAAGATCAGGATAGCTGCCCTTTCTGGAGTAAGAGCTATAGGCTTGAACTTAAATAGAAGCAATACAGCAAAGAGACTGCAGGAAGCTCAATAATTTCACCAGAATCCAATAACTATGGACTGGCTGAGGAAAATTTCAGAAGAGGTTTATTTTCCAAGCTAACACACATAAGACATTCTTTATGGCTTATAAAAGGTGGTTTTACAGGGTACTAGCATATTCTAAGTGGCTCTATTATTCACTTATCAAGCACCTAACATTTACCATATATTATGACACTGTATTTTATATATGATTTTATATATAAATTATTTCTAGAGAAAAATAAGTGATCTTATAACATTAAATGCTATTATAAATATCCACATTTTTAAAGAGATAACTAATTTTCTGGGTTCTTAGAAATGTCTCTACACTTATTAATAGAATGGAAGAACAAAGAAAATGCAATGCTTTCCAATGGCAAAAATAAACTGCTTTTCAAAGATCAGATTTAAATGATGGTATCTAATACAGAAAAAGAAACCAAACAATTTTTAAAATGAACATAAAGGAAAAGAGGAAATGAAACCAAAATGAGGAACCCCAAAATTATAAGAAAGAAAATGAGAAACAAGGAATATCAGTTTTACCTTTACAGGTAAAAAAATGAAAGGACACCTAAAAAAATGGACACCTTTGATTTTTTCTTTTCCTTGAAGTTCTTGGCTTCTTCTGCTGCAACACCTGCTGCTTCATTGAGGTACTTGTTACCAACTTTGCTTTCAAACCACTTTAGGTCCACAAAAACTTCACTGAAGTGTTCTCGATCAAACTATACAGAAACATTTAAATTTATTTTAAAATAACAAGTATGTCTAGAAGAAAATAAAACAAACTTTTAACAATGACTGCTTCTAGGGCATAGGAAACCAGAAGATATTACTTTTGATGCATATAGGGACTTTATTTACTACTCTGAAAACTAAAAATAAAAAGCGAGTAGAAATAAAAATAATTTAGATGAAATTATTTATTCAAAATAACCAACTGAGTAGAACTATAAAAATTTTTTCTTCTGGTATTATGTAACTGGTTACTTACCATTTATAGCTACCCTGGGACAGAAAAACAAAAACTTATAGTTACTTACATCTGATAGTTTCACAAGGTATTTCTCAAATCGAGGTAAGTTGAGATGCCCACTTTCATTAATATAACCTAAACGGAACAAAAAATGAATTTGCACTGAATGATGACATTTAAAAAAAATAATTTTATAAATTCTTTTTTTACAAAACGTTGAGTTTCGATTAATCAAGAAAAAACACTCAGTGTTGGACCATATATATAAGTGACCCTAGTTTCTACAGAATTGATGTTATTGTAATACACAATATGTAAGAATTGAAGCAAAATAGAAAAAGTTTCAGGTTTACATAATAAGAATCCTCCCAAATTTCCAAACACTGGGTGACAGTTAATTAAATTAAGTAAAGTTCTAGAATTGAGGTCATTTATTTGATATGGTAACTTAAGAAGAAAAAGACAAATATCCTGCTACTCGATTGATTGACTGATTCACTGTATGGTTTGCAAGATCTTAGTTCCCTGGCCAGAGACTGAACCTGTGCCTTTGACAGTGTATGTGTGGTGTCCTAACCACTGGACTGCCAGGGAATTCGGCTGTCTGCTTTATTCAGCATCAGCACTACCTGTCAGTTTCCCACTGTAAACTTAAAAGTCTCTCCCTGATAGTAAATACTCTGATGTTTATCCATTCAGAAAACTGAATTTCTACAGTTAAATATGAAAAGAGCTAAGTGAAACCAACAACCTTTGCAGGCTTTTGTAAACCATTAAAGGTAGATTAGTTAGGTATCTATGAATAAATGAGATTGCTTAACTTGTGTCGTCTTCTCTGTTTGTGAACCATTGAAAATTGCAACTTTAGAACTTGGTGCCTTAGACTAAAAGAAACTCCAAATTCTTTTCCTACTTTAGCTGTGCATGCAATAATCTAATAAACTGAGTGACATTTCCAGGGTTAGTTGAGTTTTAAATTAAAGTAGCCTCAAATGAATATTAAACTTTTCTTACCCCCAAGTTCTGGCAGGATGGTAATATATGTTCCATAAAGAAGAGGCAGTGCATCATGATTAATATGTAAATGAGGTAGATGAGGGATAAAATCATTGCCAACAAGAAATCCCATCAAAATCCAATCATCTATTATCCTTTCAATATCATATTTAAATGTGATCTTGTCCTATAGCAATATGAAGAAAAGAGTCAAATCCTTTGGAAATTTCTGCATATTCACCTCTGATCTATTTATGTTAATACTTACTTTTAATGCTGAAAACTCATAGTCAATATACTCTCTCATTAAAGACAAGTGTAGGAGGTGAAATGTGGTTTCTTCTGGTGCGCATACCCTGTAATTAGTCAGATGATCAACACAGAGTTAATTATATTTTTAAGGTTCAAGTTTAAAAGTGTGGCTTAAAATAAAATTTATCACTACAGTATAATTAATTCTTGTCATTAAGGCATGTAATTTATATGTAAGCTGCACGGTAATGGTAAGACAAAAACATAATAACAATTATAATAGATATAAAGTTCAAAATAATTGGTTTACAGCACGCTTTCTGTGGAAGGACTCACAGAATTAAGAAAGTCTAAATAATAAATAACAAATATAAGAAATCAATGGGATTTGTTCTGGCCCACTTAAGGATGGCTACCAGCAAAAAGCATATAGATTAGTGAGTATATATACTTTTATATCTACTGCAGTATAGGTTAAGGCTTCAATGGTGCAGCACTATTACTTTCTCCTCTTACCTTTCCCTGGCTTGGTCCAGGGGTCTATATTCCTGGCTGTTGGCTTATATTCCAAGATGAATTACAAGTAAGAATGTAAGTTTTTTAGAGCATATTAAAAGCATTTATCCACCATGAACAAGTGGCATTTTCACAGGAATGCAAAAATGGTTCAACATAAATCAATGTAATACACCATATTAATAAACAAAGGAAAAAAACCCACATACTCATTCAACAGAAAAAGCCTATGTCAAAATTCAACACCCTTTCATGATAAAAATACTCAGCAACGCAGAAATAGAAAGGAATTTCCTTAGAATGATTAAGGGAATTTATGAAAAATCCACCACTAATAGCATAATCAATGCTGAAAGACTGAAATTAACTTGAAATGGATCAAAGACTTAAATGTAAGAGTTAAAACTTATAAAACCCTTAGACTAAAATGGGAAAAAGCTTTATGACATTGGATTCAGCAATGATTTCTTGGATACTACACTAAGAACTGTACATGACTCAATGGACATGAATTTGAGCCAACTCTGGGAGACAGTGAAGGACAGGGATAGCTGGCGTGCTGCAGTCCATGGGCTCGCAAAGAGTTGAACATGACTAAATGACTGAACAACACTAAAATGTATACACAACAAAAGAAAAATATAGACCGGAACTCATCAAATTTAAAAATTTTGTACATCAAATGACACTATCAACAGAGTCAAAAGGCAGCCCACAGAATGGGAGAAAATATTTACAGATCATATGCCTGTTAAGGGATTACTATTTCTAATTTAATTTCTGGTCTACCTTCCAATTTATAGGCAGTATGATTTACCTTTGTGTCTTTTTGCCACCAAATCGAACTTCTTCTCTTAAAAGAGAGAAATGTGCCTCATGACTTGTTAATCCAAGCATAATCTGTTGAAAAATGATTAAGAAATGTTTTTATTCTCTCACTTTTTATAGCATCAGATTCACAAAAGCAATCAACAACATCTCTATATAAAGAACATGCTTATTTAAGGAAAATAATTAGCAAGTTAAATATATAAACTTCAAAATATGATCCATTTATAGGTGATGAATGGGGTAAATTGTGTGTACTTTCCTAAGAAAACAATGTTCACCTTAGACTCACATAACCTTTACAACCACACCACTGCATCCCTATAATAATAATCTCTCTTGGTTTTTATTTCTTTCTACTTGCCATGAGGGAATGGGAAGGAATTAGAGGCAATAGCATTTCCAAATCAGAAAAATACAGGACTCTTCTGGAGGTCAGGATACCTTTAGAAGGTGAAAACTTGGAAAAAGAAACTGGGAAAGGATCTTTTCAGTTAATAGTCCCACATAGTATTCTAATCCCCAAAGAAGTCAAATAGTTTAGTGAGACATATCAACCAACTGCAATGCAGAGTTTAATTTAATCCTGATTCACACAAAATAAAACATTTATGAATCAATCAGGGAAATGAGAATGCTAAATGGTTTTCTATATATTAAAGAGTGATTTATTAATATTGTTTTATATGGGATAATGACACTGGAGCTATTTTATTATTTTTAATATTCTCAATCATGAAATATTTATAGATTAAATAATATAATGTCATATACTTCAAGAATCCAGAGGAGGAGGAGGAAGGATACAGATGGTTAGGAAAAGGAGCTGAAAGTAATTGAAGGAGGAAGGAGGACACAAAGACGTTCATTATGCTCGCTCTTCTATTTTTGTTCATTCTTTCAAATTTCTGTAATAAAAAGTTAAAAAACGTCTAGCAGGGACTTCCCTTGGTGGTCCAATGGTTAAGTATCCACCTGCCAATGCAGGGGACACGAGCTCAATCCCTAGTCCAGGAAGTTCTGACGCTTCTGTGGAGCAACTGAGCCCTTGAGCCACACTACCAAGCCCATGCTCTGTAGTCCACGCTCTGCAACAAGAGAAGCCACTGCAATAAGAACCCTGCACAATGCAATGAAAAGTAGCCCCCACTCACTGCAATTAGAGAAAGCCTGAGTGCAGCAATGAAGACTGCAGCAACAATAACAACAAAAAAGTCTAGCAAACTTGGGTTGTGGAGTTATCAGGTGGTATTAAAGACCCTGTATTAAGCATGAGGATAAAAAGGGTCCTCTACCCAGAACTCAACAGAGAATTCATGGAACTAAGGTCAGTCAGGTGTGAATACTAACTATATGCACCTGTTGATCATAAACAATGGCAAAAGAACACCTTTTCCAAATGTTTTGAACTTTGGTAACAGCACAAGTAGCAATTATTATCATGTCTCTAATATTTCTTTCCATAACCAGAAATCTGTTAATATTAAGACTAAGTTTCCTAAACAGATATTTATCATAATGGCATAAAACTACAATAACAATAAGCATTTTACCTACCAAGTCAGCATCTAAGCCATAAAGACAGTGTCTGGTGTTTGGATCATGATCTGGCTTTGCCTTCTCGGATCTGATAAACTCCATGATTTTATGCTCTCCTTCTCCAGGAGTCTAGATATAATGTTGAAAAAAAATGCAGTAATATGCTACATTTCTCAAGATTCAGTTGAAAAACTGTTTAAATAAGAAAAGATAATAACCTCATGGCCTGAGAAGTAGATGGTAACTCCTTGCCACGATTTGTCTGTAGAAATTTTCATATTTACAAAGTACTTCAGATGTTCATGTAACCTGGCCATGAATTCAGTCCCTTTAAATAAAAGGATTTTAGAAATTTAATCTGAGTGAGATATAAAAACAGAGTTATCAGTGATAGCATGAAACTGGATATGGGTGGGGAGGTTGAAAGCTCTCTTGCTTATCTTGAAAAGAAAATCATGTTGCATCTTTCCTGAGGAAATATCACAACTATTTCCAATTTCACTAGTCAGACCTAAATGAGGTTAATGTCAGATATAGAAAGTCAAAGAATTTTACTACTGCCTTGGGACTATAACTCAAATATCTTCACATAAGGGCAGTTTCAACTATCTAACAAACTTCAATCTTCTATCTCCTCTGCTGGATTCTAAAAGTTTTTGTTTTCTTTTTGTAAGATTGCCAATAACAACAACAACTGTTATTATTACTACTTTTAACTAAAAAAAATTACTATTAATCTGGAAACAGAGTATACAATGATTACATTTTAGGAAGAGCCTAGATGATCAACAGTCAAAGGCAACACAGTCTTAAACCATATAATGATAAACTGCTTATTAAATTGTGCACTGTCATTAGGGCACGTAATGAAAGAGAAAACTACCACAGTAAGAAATTAATGAGAAGATGCAATTTTAAGACTTTTCTTCAATGTGAAGGGTTATAATGATGTTAGACTCTAGGAAGTACAGACTATGCTGTTGCATTTAAAATTAAACTTGTAATACTGATAACTAATCCTTAAAGTCACATAAGTCTTAACCACCTCTGAGGAGTAGAACAGTAAGCATTCTAGATAAGGAAAATGGGTTTCTCATCCTGAATAAAACAAGCTGGCTAGATGAACTTGGGTGAGCTACAACCTCACTGAGTCAGTTCTCATACAAATAAATGTCAAGAGTAGTAGGACTGATCTTGTAAGTTCGTTCTAGGTCAGGAAATCTGTGCATGTGGGAGAATCCTGTCCATAGTTGCTCTTATCAGCATCTATAAATTCCTACAGTGGGTCTTCATAAGGGCATTTATAACCAAGGTGACCAAACCATCTTATGAAGTGACATAACTGGGAAAATATAACAAATGGAATTCTAAGGACAAAAAAAAAAAAAAAAAAAAATAGAGGTTACAAAAGAAAACTAAATTTACATTTTAAATTTCCTAGACTTTTTCTCTCAGTGAATTTACCTGGTGTAATGCAGTTGGAATCAAATCTGGCCTCTGCAGGAAGAGTTTCTCCTTTTTCTATTGCCTTTTTAATTTTGTCTTCAGCCTCCTTTGCTGACCTTAAATGTTAAGGGGAAAAAAACAATCCTCAACTTTCTGGGGAAAAAAAAGAGATCTCTACATACAGTAAACTGTCATTTAGAAGCTTTTGTAACTAAAATACTAATTCATCAATTTTAAGTTCAAAACGTGTAAGTTTTGAAATGACTATAACCAATAAAGATGAGCCTCAGAGTTGCTTGTTTTATTTATTTAAAGAATTAAGTTTTTCGGCTATGGACTATAGAAGCAGAACATTATAATGGTATAAAACTGACAAAGAATGTTATAAATACTTATTATAAAATAATTCTTATCACAAATATACATATTGGTTCTAGAAATAATTTCGAAAGTATAGCATAAACATTCATTATACACACTACATTTAATAACATCAAACAAGAAGTACATTACTAAAATGATCTCTAAGAATATTACATAAAAATAATTATAATTATAATGTACACCTTTGGATTCCCTCATGAAAATATCTAAAATGAAAGCCTAATAACATTAATGACATCAGTAGCCAAAATGATTTCATTTTTGAGGCAACAGAATTTACTAGGAAGAAGATGATTATTTTAGAGTCTGACAGAAATAGGTTTGAATATCAGCACCCCAATTCCAGTATGGTTTCTCTGGTAACTCATGTGTGGCACACAAATATGTCACAAGGCACATAATTTAGTAAGTCCTGCTTTATGTACATTTTCTACAGCCCTGTTACTAGTTCTAAACTACTGTGCTCTGTTGAATTCTATTTCTGTGATAAACTCTTCTTTGTTTGAAAGAAGAGTTCACCTCTCTCTCACCAACCTCTTCAATATAACAAAAACTTTGAAGATAACAACTCATTTGTAATCTCTCCAATAGAAGCCATTCTTTCCTCATTTCTCCTCTTTCTTCTTTGAAGAAATGATTATTCAATGTTACTATGTGCTAAGTTCTTGGGCTACATCAAAAAAGAAATGATTCCTCCTCTTAGAGTTTACACGCTAGACAGAGTGTAAGAAAACAGTGAAGAGATAGTCGCTCAGTCGTGTCCGACTCTTTGTGACCTCATGGACTGTAGCCTGCCAGGCTCCTCTGTCCATGGAATTCTCCAGGCACTAGAGTAGCCATTCCCTTCTCCAGGGGATCTTCCAGACCCAGGGATCAAATCCAGGTCTCCTGCGTTGCAGGCAGATTCTTTACTATCTGAGCCACCAGGGAAGCCCTAGAGTATAAGAAATAGATAGAAATTAAATACACTGTTTAATGTAGCTGTAATACAGAGAATGTCTTGGACAGGAATAAGGTAAAACTATTAGTCTAGGTAGAAGATTATGAAGGCCAGACTGACGCAGTAGCAGTAAAGATGAAAAGAAGTAAATAGATATGACTTAGATGTGAGGAATGAGGAAGAGGGAGAGGTCCAAATTTCTCTTGGACTTTGGAGTTGAGCAGCTATTTACACGCTGCTTTCACAGAAATAGGAACATAGAAGGAAGGCAAGTTTGAGGCAAAGATGAGTTCAATTCTGAATATGTTAAGCCTGAAATGTATCTGTGGTATCCAGAAAGAGTCATTTAGCAGGCATTTGGATATATAGAAGTTCTGGGAAGAGATATCCACCAAAAAGATAATTTGGGAGTCAGTACAGTTTCAGTAATTAAAGCCATTGGATAAATCTCTCAGGACATAGGACAGAACCTTAAGAAACATTAGTTTTTAAGAAAAAAAAAGGAGGGGAAGAGAAGATAAGGAGATTAAGAAGGTAGAGTTGGGGACCTCCCTGGTGGTCCAGGGGCTAAGACTCTGTGCTCTCAATGCAGGTGGCCAGGGTTCAGTCCCTGATCAGGGAACTAAATTCCACATGCCACAACTAAGGCCCAGCACAACCAAATAAATAAACTTTTGTTTTTCTTTTTAAAGGTAGTGTTGGAGGGAATTCCCTGGTGGTCCAGTGGTTAGGACTCAGTGCTTCCATTCCTGGGACCCAGGCTTGACTCCTGGTCAAAGACAGTAGTTACCTGAAGGTTATGGGAAAGAAGTTCAAGAGAGAAATAATGGTCAACACCGCTAAATACAGGAGATAAATGAAGCAATATAAAAACAGAATTATTCTTTAGTCTCTTTAAGAAATTTATTTGTAATTTTGTAAGAAGTTTCAGTGGCATGAGAGGGATGAAAGGAGGAGATTTAAAAATGAGTAAGAGATATGTAGAGATTATGATCAGAGAATACGAATGAAGGAAACAGTCACTATGGAGAATGAGAAAGGGCTAGCTGGGGGACTCTGGGGAAACATGGAGCGCGGGATGCCACCACAGTATTGAGTAAATGTTTGTGGTGGTTATGGTGAATTGGCCCTCAACATCCACTCCTTTCTTCTAGTTCACTTTCTGAGGTGGGAAAGCTATAAAAAATTAAACTCTCAGGCTTCCTTCAGCTAGGCTTCTGGATGTGACTTAGATTTTGTCAGATGTTTCCATAAAACATTTGGAAGGGAGAAGTTTGGTAAAGTGTACATGAGAGTTGTGGCACTGGGGTTGTAGGCAGGGGTGTGTTTTACCAACAGTAAAAGAGATTTCAATATTTAGCAACTTTATAAGTGCTGAGAAGCAAGGTGCAGGGCATCTGTTTTTTTTTTCCAGTATAGATATGGCAGGTATATTGGGGCCTTGGAGCTAACAGATAAATTTATGGCTTCTTTATTGTTGAATTATAACTAAATCGACCCCTTCATGGATCACAGCCTTGTCATGGTGAAGGGACTTACATACTTGATGAAGCTATGAACCATGCTGTGCAGGCCACACAAGACGGACGGGTCACAGTGAAGAGTTCTGACAAAATGTGGTACACTGGAGGAGGAAACAGCAACCCACTCCAGTATTCTTGCCTAGAGAACCTCATGAATAGCATAGAAAGGCAAAGATATGACACTCGAACAGGAGTCCCCCAGGTTGGAGGGTGGGTGTTCAATATGCTACTGGGGATGGGTGGAGGGCAATTACAAATAGCTCCAGAAAGAATGAAGCAGCTGGGCCAAAGTGGAAATGACACTCAATTGTGGGTGTGTCTGGTGTTGAAAGTAAAGCCAGTGCTATAAAGAACAATACCACATTGGAACCTGGAATGTTAGGTCCAGGAATGAAGATAAATTGGATATGAGTAAGGAGATGGCAAGACTGAATAGCGACATCTTAGGAATCAGTGAACTAAAATGAACAGGAATGGGCAAATTTAATTTAGATGGTCATTATATCTACTACTGGGGGACAGAAATCTTTTGACTTTCACAATGATTTTATAAGTACCCAATTCTCTGTATTATATCCCTTTCTGCTTAGACCAAACTTCTATTACCTGCAACTGAACAGTGACTGACACAGTGGGCTTATATAATCCCTTTTCAACACTAGATTTTCTAGCCCAGCAGCTCCCCAAAATTAGTTTAACAATTATCAGGAGAATTTGGTAAAAAAAAAAAAAACAGTTTCCAGGGCACAGTTTTTGGAGATTCAGATTAAAGTCTTGGGTGATACTTGAGAATCTAAATTTGAGTAAGAGATGGCCCCTGTCTTCAAGGAGTTCATTGTTCCAGTATCTTCAGTGTCTTTTCTCTTTTGATATTTAAATCTCTATAGTTTACCATCCTCTGTTTGATTCAACAAAGCCCTTTCTCTCCTTTACCTACGACTGTGATAAAAGGAAAGGATCCATTATGCTAATGACCTATCACACTCACTAGACTCAGGGTTTCTTTCCTTCACTTCCAACAACCCTCTTAACTTTACTTTTGCTACTCAAAACAAGGACACAGCATGTTTTCACTGTTATTTAGAAATATTCCACAGGTACAGGATTTTTACTTTAGCATCATTTTTCTGTGTACAACCCTTTTCCAACCTTTTACTTCTCCTACTCCCCAAGTTATCCAAAGGGTTATAATACTTAAGTGTCCTAACTCAGCTCTCTTCTACTCCATAATCACCTTCCAGTTTCATTTGCCTTTCTATTCAGAGAGGATCCATATTCAAGCAGAGTCAGAATCAAGCCCAGGGTCAAATTAAATGTCAATGACATCCTCATTAGCACAATCTCTCACTCACTACACAGTTCCATAGCTCAGGATGAAATACTATAGGAACTTTACTACGACTATTCCGAATTACTAAGTTTTGAGAAGTCTGAAAAATCTGTAACAGAGAACAGAGTAACTTTATCTAATCCAACATATAGCCTGAGAAATAACATGTCATTTGAATAATTAATTTGTTTACTTGGTAAAATGTGACATGGTAAGTGCGAGATACTTCCATTTCTGCAGGGGATTTAAGCAGAAAAGGAGACGCACTGTGTTAAGCCAAGCCAGTTATCTTTAAAATATTATATTTTATTAATCTAAATGGCATTCTAAAACAAATCATAAATGTTTTACCTAAAACGCCTCCCACGCTGTTGGTTCATCTTTGCTCGAGGAGCCACACCATCAACAGCCATGAAGAATACTTTCCTGGGCTTAATAATGCGGAACAACACCTCCAAGTAGTGAAAAATATCAGTGAAGATTTTATCATCTGAAATTCTGAAGTGAACATCATCATCATTAGGATGGGAACACTGATGTATAATTCCATTCATATCCAGGTATAAGTTATCAAATTCAGGAATCTAAAAAACAAAAAAATGACCAAGACCATTATTATAATCACATATATATAAGAATCTGATAAAAAGCAGGATATAGGGGATTACTCTGATTATATAAAAACTCAGTAAACACAGTTGAATAAATAAACAGGAGGAATAAGGAAGACAGAGACATATTATGTGGTTACACTATGCACCAAAAGCTTGATCACATTTACTGCCAGGAAATTATTTACTTATTTAAAATATGATAACCTGAGAATACATCAAATAAAGTACTTGATTGATCTGGTACTCAAAATATTAGTCTCCTTTTTTCAGTTTGAGATTAATTTCTAAAAGCCTCAATTTTCTCTATAAATGGGTAACATGATACATGTTTATATCAAATGGCTATATGCACATGGTCATTAAAAGGTTTTACAAGTGATTTAAAGCCTCATTGAATATTTGGTTTCACTGAAGAGTGTGTGTTTGTGTGTGTGTGCGCGCGCGCGTGCACGCTCAGTTGCTTCAGTTGTGTCCAACTCTTTGCAACCCCGTGGGCTGTGGCCTGCCAGGATTCTCTGTCCATGGAATTTTCCAGGGGAGAATCCTGGAGTGGTCGCTATGCCTTCCTCCAGGGGATGTTCCCAACCCAGGGATTGAACCTGCATCGCTTATGTCTCCTGCTCTGGCAGGCAGGTTCTTTATCACTAGCACCACCTAGAAAGCTTTCACTGAAAATAGAATCACTAATTTAGTTATATTAATTTAAAAAGCTTAGATTATGCAAAGAAATTTAGGCAATTTTGAAAACTGGTTTTTCATACATGGATTAAATAATTTCTAAATTTTGGCTAAGAGGCAACTCCTATTACAGAAAGGCCTTCATGATTCTGATTCTGATCTACTTTTCCTCCATTTAAATATTTATGAGCAAGGCTTCCCTCATGGCTCAGACTCAGGTAAATAATATGCTTATAATGCAGGAGACCCAGCTTCCTTCCCTGGGTTGGGAAGATCCCCAGGAGAAGGGAATGGCAACCACTCCAGTATTCTTGCCTGGAGAATTCCATGGACAGAGGAGCCTGGCAAGCTATAGTCTGTGGGGTCACAAAAAGTTGGACACGACTGAGCAACTAACACTTCACTTCAAGGCGAACGCTCTGAAACAAATATACAACACAAAAAACTGAAACAGGCACAACGTAATATCTAGTAAAATAAAGGAACGTGAGAGGAGACTGCCTTATATGCTAATGACAGAAAGGTATTTTGAATTTTCAAATATAAAAACATAATGGGCTTTCTTAAACTTAATGAAAACTATCTCTGAAACAATTATTCAAATTTTACCACAGGCATAGGTAACAAAGGGGCTTCCCTGGTAGCTCTGCTGGTAAAGAATCCACCTGGCAATGCAGGAGACCTGGGTTCGATCCCTGGGTTGGGAAGATGCCCTGGAGAAGGGAAAGTACTCCAGTATTCTGGCCTGGAGAATTCCATGGACTGTATAGTCCTTGGGGTCTCAGAGAGTCAGACACTACTGAGTGACTTTCACTTCACTTAGGTAACAATATACTTTCTTATTATTGAGAAAACAGTATGCCTTTGAGTTTTAGGGGTAAAGTTTTGGTCTTTGAATCAATGAACACCACAAAAACATATTTATAAAATACCCCTTTACATAAGATTGTACTAAGTATTACACAAAAAATAATTTAAATGCTCTTACTGAGTAACAGGTTCAAATGAAATGACAATTGTGATCATGAGGTTCTAAATGTACATTTAAGATTTACTGTTTGGGGCTTCCCTGATGGCTCAGTGGTAAAGAATCCCCTTAACAGTGCAGGGGACACAGGTTCATTCGATCCCTGGCCTGGGAAGATCCCACATGCCTCAGGACAACTAAGCCTGTGCTCCACAGTTATTGAGTCCACATGATGCAACCACTGAAGCCCCTGTGCCTAGATCTCATGCTGCGCAACAAGAAAAACCACTGAGGTGAGAAACCCAAGAACTTCAACTAGAGAGTAGTCCCCCCTCACTGCAACTGGAGAAGGCCTACCCACAGCAACAAAGACCCAACACTGTCATAAGTAAATAAATCTTAAAAAAAAAAAAAAATTACTGTTTGTTTCAAGAAATCTAAAAACCTCAATCAAAATCTCAATGTGATTATTTTTTTGGAGGGGGTGGAGGTACTTTATAAAATGATTACAAAGTTTCCTTAGGAAATATCATGCAGGGATGCATATTAAAGGGAGAGTAATGACAGAAAACCTGCCCTATATGATATTTTAAATTAAAAAATAGTTTAATTGAACCAAATAGTTTAGCTGTAGTCCAAGGAGACACAGAAATGTATTACATAAGATACTCCAAATAAGTGAAAAAAATGGATGGGGCACCTAGCTAACTACTTGGAAACAAAACTGTAATCCAACTTAGAACAAAATACTGTCAGAAGGATTAGACATTTTAATGTGAGAAATATAAGTCAGAAAATTATATACAAATACATTGGCAGTTTTCAGGTGGGGAAAGTCAAAAATCATAAATCAAACAAATGATGAAGTTGGCTACCTGAAAATGTATTTTTAAAATCTTGTAGGGTTAACAAGAAAGTGTCATAAACAAACTCAACTGAAAAATGACAAAATGCAGGAAGATGCTTGCAAATGAGGACAAAGTCAATACTTCTAATATACAAAAAAACCCCTAAAATATTAAGAAAAACATTATATGTTAAAAGCATGGAAAATGCAAAGCAATTCAAAAAGGAAGAAAAATAAAGTTTAAATCATATGAAAAAGATGCTCAACATACCCGATTTCTAATTAATATGATACATCATTTTTTCCATAACGTTAGCAAAAGACTAATGTTACCCATATAGGTAAGGGTTTGGAGAAATGCATATTTCATGTTAATAAACAAGAGCTGGCATTTATTAAGTACTTACTAGGTGTCAAACATTGGGTTAAACACATATTTATTCTCTCAATTATGGTTAAAAATCTTAAAAGAAAAGATATTTAGATTTCCCATTTTACATTAGAGGAAAATCACAGAGTCAGAAAAGAGAGGTGGCATTTACACACAACAGTCTGGGATGGTAATATAAACTGGTATAATGAACATGAAAACATATATCAAAATCTGAGGTGTGCAATCTTTGACTCAGGATTTCTACTACTAGAAATTTATCCTGAGAAATAATCAGAAATGTGAAATGTGCACAAATATATAACTACAAAATTATTTACAGTAGTATGCTCAGAAAAGATAAAAAATGAAAACAATGCCTAATAATAAAGAAAACTGAAAATGGTACATTAACACAACCGAGTATTACAAAGCACTTACAAATTATGAAATTATTATTCATATTTTGGTACGGGATAATGTACAAAATGATTTCCAGGTGGCGCAGTAGTAAAGAATCGGCCTGCCAATGAGGGGATCTAAGAGATGTGGGTTTGATCCCTGGATTGGGAACATCCCACGGAGGAAGGCATGGCAACTGACTCCAGTATTCCCTGGAGAATCCCATGGACAGAGGAGCCTGCTGGGCTACTAACTGGGCATGCACACACAAAGTACATAATATATATGGTCAAGTGACAAAAGTAGGTTATTAAAACAGCAGGTAAATTATTCTCCCATGTTTTGAAAATACTTATCTACATGTGTATCTGCATAGAAAAGTTAGAAGGATATAGAAACAAGATGCTACTGGTGGTTAATCCTGGATGATGAATCTCATTTGCTCTTTTCTTTCCTCTAGACTATACACTGGTCTTCCTAGAGAGCCCAGACTGGTAAATAATCAGCCTGCAATTTTGGAGACCTGGGTTTGATCCCTGGGTTGGGAAGATCCCCTGGAGAAGGCAACGGCTACCAGTCCAGTATTCTGGCATGAAGAATTCCATGGACAGAGAAGCCTGGCAGGCCACAGTCCATGGGGTCAAAAAAAGTACAAGACAACTGAGCAACTTTCACTGACTGACTGCGACTATATGATACCTTTCACATCTTTCTGCATTATATGAACTTTTATATAATGAGCATCTTTATAAACTGAAAAAACCATAATTTTCCTTTTTGACAAAAAAATTTTAATTCCCTTAGGTTTCAGATTAGTAAGAAAGATACGGAATGATAATCATCGGCCAATGTGGTGAAGAAAATGATCACACAGAAGAATCCTGCTCTTTCACTAAGACATAATACTGAGTTCTTACATCTGCAAGTTAGAAAGTATCTTATACTTTCCCCTCTCCTTCTACTCTATATCTAATTAGCCATAAAGATTTCATTTTGTTTTTAACATCTTAAATGTTCCCAGAATATCACCTTCCTACCCATTCTCATTGTCTTAGGCAACCCAATCTTTTTCTCCATCCCCGTATTTCCCACCTTACTTCATACCTTCAGTTTTCCATCTGTAGTACCTGTTTCTAGTTTTCACACCACAGCTTAGCCATTTTCCTAAAGCATAATCTGATCATGTGGCTGCCTTTTTAAACTTATACTACAAATTCTTTTTTTTTAACTACAAATTCTTAATGCCATAAAATGTCCTATATGATTTCGCTGTTATCTCTCTCTTCCACCAGTTGCAGTACTCCTTCCTGTTTCCACATATATCCTACAAACTAAAGGCAGTAAATTACTCAGTTCAGCTCAGTCACTCAGTTGTGTCAGACTCTTTGCGACGCCATGGACTGCAGCACTCCAGGCTTCCCTGTCCATCAGCAACTCCCAGAGCTTGCTCAAACTTATGTCCAGTCAGTGATGCCATTCAACCATCTCATCCTCTATCGTCCCCTTCTCCTCCCGCCTTCAATCTTTCCCAGCATCATGGTCTTTTCTAAGGAGTCAGTTCTTTGCATCAGGTGGCCAAAGTATTGGAGTTTCAGCTTCAGCATCTGTCTTCCAATGAATATTCAGGACTGATCTCCTTTAGGATTGACTGGTTTTATCTCCTTGCAGTGCAAGGGACTCTCAAGAGTCTTCTCCAACAACACAGT